AAACTTAAGTATAAAAATAGGAATTTCATGGAATCAGTCTCTCCTTATATAAAGCGAGCAAAAAACATAACTAAGAGGACTGGTATATTAGATCATTTCATTTATTATGGACACGACTCTAATCGTTTAGTTATGCAGCTATTGAGCTTTGATTTAGGCGTTTAATCATTTTCTTATACATAAAGACCATTAGGAAAGTCAATCAAAAGCAAAATATTTGCAATACTTTGGATGGAAAGCCTATTCTAAACGATTGCTTTCGTATGACTTTCCTCTAAATCTTAAGTAAGAGTTGTGTGTTTGTCTGTATGAGCCGTTTGGTCGTGTTTTTGCCTCCTTTTATTACATTTGCCATCAAATTTCCTGCTTTATAGTATAATAACTATACATTTACTATACGCTACTCTTTTTCTTTCCAATATTATATGACATCTCAAACCCATTGCTTTATATTCTAATTTAAAATTAATACTAAAAACAACCGTTTAGTTCATTAATTGTAATGTAAAGGTTGTTAACATATGATTAGTCTTTGTGTGACCGCTAGGAAACAAATAGCAAACAACAACATTACTACTACTACTACTACTACTACTACTACTACTACTACTACTACTACTACTACTACTACTACTACTACAATGCAATAAAATACAAAAAACAATTTGGTATCCGATGCCAATCCCATTGGATAGAGATGATCGATATGTTAATTTGCAAACCGTAATCAACAAAATTACTTTTTGACTCTCAACTAAAACAATCAAATACAGTGTAACTAACATTTTCTATATAATACTAAAGCAAATGATCTTTTTATTTGATCGTTGATTACAAAGTAAAAGTCATGGCATTTAAGGACCACTTGAGTGCACATTTGAATTCATTGTTACACAACTTTTGTCAAATGATTCATAATTAATGATTTGGTATTAAAAAAATAAATTGCTTTTATATAACAATTCAAGAATATTTGTATTGTGTTTTATTTTACACTTTAGATAATTTTTGCCTTAATTCTAATTTTATAAATAAATTTAATGCTAAAATAATTTTAATTATTTTTTTTTAAATTGAAAAACAAACAATGAAGAAAAAACATCATTTAAAGTAAACTCTAGAGATTTACTATAATAATATATTTTTACTTTTTTTGTTACTTATTATTTTTAAGTTTAACGTTGAGTTTTTTTGCCAATAAAAATCTGTCAAAAGTTTAAATTCAAAGTAATTAATTTTTGGTATAATATAAATGTTATAACTTATATGAGACAAACTCTGATGTTTTAGAGTTATTTTTCTCTACACTTGCCTTCAAATTGAATCCAATTCTCTGATCAATCTTTTCTTATATCAGTACTTCCTCTTCCATACTCTCTATTAATGTGTTATTTTAGTCCGGTTTGCAGTTTCTTAACTTTTTTTGTTTTATATTTAATTAAAAATTTGATAAATTGTAAAATTAAATCCTTTTCTAAACTAAATTAAATTCCTGTAAAAGAAAACACTAATAATTTTTATTTATTTAATATTTTCAAATTAAATTAGAAAACAAATGTTGCTTACATTGAGAGTGTTTGTCGTAATGTGTAATTTCATTAGAAAAATGAGTGACTCTATTATTAATGAGTTTTACTTTTACAACAACAAAAATATAACAATTTATGAAAATTTGATGATTTATTTTAAAGGCGGTTATAATTGCTTTTATACGGACCATTAGTTTAGTATTTTTGTGCCATTTTTTGTCAGTAGAGAGTGTTATCATAAATGGATAGGAAAGTAATTTTTAGATTTTTTATTATTATATTTTTATTTTTTTGAATAATGCAAAAGTTATAAATTGAGAGCTATATTGACGAAAACACATTAAACTTTGTTGTGTTCTAAACGCTAACTGTTATGTAAGTCTTAAGACTATATAATATATTTGAAAAGTTAAACTAAAACTCAACTATTTTAGAATATAATCAATTTTTCTTCACTAGAAATCCATTAATTTATAATCCAATAAAAATTTTTCGTCAATTCTTATTACATTCAATGCATGATTTTTGATGGCATTCACGAAATATAAATAAATAACATTATATTATATTATTTTATGTTGTGTATTATAAAATTAAATTTAATGCAAATATAAAACATTGGATAATTTAATTTAATGTAAAAATTTGATTACTCACATGAACTTTAAAATGTTCAAATTTTTAAAAATAACAATTTTTAAATTTTATAAGCTTATATTTTACATAAAAATTATTAACTATTCAACATATGGTCTATTTTTATAAATTAAATTATTTATTAATAATAAGTATACCATGTAGCGATACGTATATTAAAGTTGTATAAAATTAAAACTATAATTATTTTTAATAAACAATTTTATTTAAGCATTTAAATATTTGTAATTAGAATCGTATTAGAATTGTATTAGAATTATACATAATAAACATAAATTTATCATATTATATTATACATACACCAAGTTAATACTAAATATAATTTTACAGCTTTAAGATAAGTTTTAATATAGCTTCAATTTGAAAATTAATTTAAAATATAATATATTTATCATTACTTTTTTGCTTTTATGTATTTTTTGTTTTGGTTAGAATAAAATATTGAAATATAATATTTTTAAATAGAATATTTTAAACATTTATACTTTCATACATAAATTTACATAAATAATAACTTAATTAGCATTTAATTTACTAATTAGTGTTACAATAGTATTTATATTTAGTTTAAAATTAGTATCAAATTATAAATAAACTTTGACAGTGTTACATATAAAAATGTCTTATATTACAATCTATTAAGATTATTTAATTAAATACTATAATTTGTAAATCATAATTAATTTCACTTTTAATTTAAAGTTTTTGATTTTGATATAATTAATCAAAATTTATTGATCAATTCTTATAGTTTATTATAATGATAGGCATATAGTATTGATGTCATCGCTAAATGGATTCATTGTTAGCACACAGGGGTGTAAATTCCAGTGCCAGTGAATTGGTGTAGACTATAGTTATAGTTTACTTTAAAAAGTTGACAATTTTAAAGGATTTGGTATTATTGTTGAAAATTTACGCCAATCATTGTTGACACCCGAACAAGAAAAAGCTCTTTATTTTTCTTACTTATACTTTTACACTACTTATTGCTATCTTATCTGCCAATAATACTTTCAAATTTAATAGTTTTACAAATTTATTTTCAAAATATTTGTGTTATTTTTTTAAAGCAATTTAGGACTTCTACTCTACAAAACAAACTAACGTTTCATTTACAACAATGTCTTCATTCATTTATATAATATATAATTTATATATATATATATATATATTTACTGTATATATATATATCTACTTTCTCGTTATACTATTACGACTTTAATAATATATTGTATTTATATAACATTTAATTTAGAAATTTTTTTGTACAATTTTGAAAAATTTTAACGATCCCTCAGTGACACCAAACGATTATATTTGACAACATTTATCGATTATTTTTGTTTTTATTTCTAAAATAATCTTAAAATTTTATATAAAATGTTATTATTATTACTTAAAAAATTAATTATATAGAATTATTATTTATTGTAAAGAATATATATATATATATATAATGTATGTTATTAAATTTAAAGCAAATATATTTATTTTAAACAAAACTAAAAGTAAACTTATGTTTTGAATATAAAATTTATGAAATTAAATATATAATTTAGTCAAATATTAAAAACGGCCATTTTGTTGTATTTCAAATTTATTATTTATACATAATTTTTAAAATGTATGTTATATTTATTTAAATTTGTTATGTTTTTCAAATTTTATATATAATCAGTATAATATAAAATAAGAAATTTTATAATTAATTTTAATTTAATTAATTAGTTTATTAATTAATTAATAAACAATATAAAATTTGCCATTATTTTGTTATTTAGTATATGTTATATATTATATTAAAATAATACATATATGAAATTTAAGCAGTAAACAGAATCTATATTGTTGTTATATTTTAATTTTAGGCACAATTTTTAAGTAAATACAAAATAGGCAAAAAACATTAGTTTAAAAATGTGTAATGATTTCAATTATTGACAAATCTATCGTTATTTTATGTACTTCTTATACATTAGAATTTAGCGAAGCCTTGAGTTTATTATTAAAAAAATATTTATATAAATCTTTAGGAATGATTTCGTGCTTATTATGTGAAAAGAAATTTTATATATTTATATAAATATACGAAAAAATGAAAGAAAACTATATATATATATATAAATTTATATATTTGAAAACTTTTTAGAGACGCCTCAATAAATTTTCATTTCATAGTACTCGGGAATTATACAAACATTTTTAAAACTGCATCTATAGCTGGATTTTGATGAGATTCACAAACTATATTGATATTTGAAAATGTAATCTCATATAAAAATTTCTAAGTAATACTTGTACTCAATTCTTACACTGTTTTGTATCCATAAGAATACCATTTTTAGGATCAATATATCAGATATTGTTTTGATGAATAATATCTCACATTTATTGATGGATTCAATCTTTTATTTTTAACTTTTCTCTCTTTATATTATATTTTTTATAAACAAATGGTCATATGTTACCAAAGTATATGGATATCAATATAAATATAGTCATAGATATATATATATATATATTATACCAATATGTCTGTTATTACGATTACAATATTATACTGAAAATGCTGTATTTATTTTTTATTAACAATTTTGATGTTTTTTAAATAAATAAAATGTATTTTTTTAAATAATTTTTTATTTGAAATTCAAGTCAATTTGAGTATTTATAGTATTTTTTTGTTAATTAATTTTTTTAATTTATTTGAATTAATTAATTTAATTTATAATAACTGAGCACAAAAATAATGCATACAATAAATTTATATTTATGTCATTACAGTTAAAATTGAAAGGCAATACAGTTCGGTATAAATAGTGGTCTAATAATTAAATTAAATGATTATGTTATCTGTTGTATGGATTGGATTGAATTGATTGACTGGTTGTGTAAGACGAGGCCCGGGAGACACTCTCTGGTTTTGAGTGTTGAGTGGTGGCAGTGGTGGCAGTGATAGTGGCGGTCGTACTTGAACTCGGATAGTCGTGTAAGTCACTTATGGGACGAGTAATGGGCACATCCACACAACTTTCCCAACAATCCTCTTCAATGCTCGAATGAATCGTATGATGATTGGGATAGTTTGGATGGTTAGAGTGATAGTAATAAATCGGATGACTTCTGAAAAATCGATGCGTTGATGGAGATGTGATCATAATCTTTGGTCGATCACTGGATGTGAGTCCTTCATCACCACTTGACTCTTGAATGCTAGGCTTTGACGACGACCTAAACTTTTGTCTTTTAATATCAGCCGTACTATTCTTCCTGTTCTTAGAATCCATTTCTTTGTCCTCAATTGACTCACAAGACATGAGTTCAACCCGTGATTTATAGCCAGAACTTTAAGCATTTTTAAGAGAATAAAAAATTATTATAATATAAAATTTAAAAAATTTTATGATATACTTGTTTGAAATATGCATCAAATGTTAATTATAATATAAATCAAAATAAAAATCATAAAAATAATGATTTTATTTTAAACTTAATTTCCATATCTATTAACTACTAGACAGCAAATGCATAAATCAAATGCTATGCAATGAGTTAAATAACTTAGAGATAACTAAATAATTATTATATGTAAATTAACTTGTATTACATGCCATCACTACAATAGTTATAATTTTAAAACTAATGAATTGTATAAATTTCTAAAAATTATAGTATTTATAATAAAGTTTTAATTAAAATATTTTTACTACATTTTTATAAAATTATCAATTTTTCATATCATTACCGTAAATCAAAATATAATCTGAACAATGCATTTAAAAAATGTTTTTTAACAACTAGTGTATAAAACATTTAAGGATTTAGTCATAAATTAAGCGATGTTTACCAAACATGCTATTATAAATGCACTACAACTACACTATTTTTAATTATAATCCTCTAAACTAATGCCTCTATACCTGACTTACAAAGCAATTATGTTTTGCATAACAATCAGTTGATGAGACTTTGAGTTTAAATTCAATGAATGAAAATACAAATGAGAGACATGTTTATGATTTGGACGGTGAAGTGTTTTGGGAACTGTTGGTTAAGGATTAACAGCAAAAATACAGTCATGTTTTTCACACTTTTTTATATTTACACTATAATTAGAAAATGCAATTATTGCTAATCTAAATACAAAGCAATGGGATTCACTTATTATACAGAAAACACTAATATTATTTATATGAATTTCCAAACATTTAAAACTTTGAGGTTATCATAATGTGTAGAAAAGCCAAAACAGTGAACTAGGAAAGTAGTCTTTAGTATAAATTTTGCTAATAATAAAACATTTGTAATATTATAGATATACTTTTAAATAATACTATGTGAGAAAAATTTATAAAACTATAAAATACTTACTCAAATAATATCCAAACGATATAATAACATAAACAGAAACCTCCAATCATTACAATACCGATAATCATTGAAAGAGTCAACGGAACGTTTGAACTCTTTATAAAATAATTGTATAACAAATATATTAATTGATAAAAATTTAGTTTAACATAAATGACAAAAAACCTCATTTGAATAGTCATCGAAATATCGGTCACACGAAAGATAAGAGCAAATGCTTGCAATTAAATCATATTCAATATCGCGATAGTCTTTAGCGGATATGACAGAAATCAAGCCTTGAGTGCACTGACGGACCACTGACTGACAGCGACTCTCCAATTGTTTCATTAAATTTGGATCACATTTGGACTCACTTTTTAAATCTGTTATATTCTTTGATAATACCATTGATCGCAATCGGTTCCGACGATTTCGTTTGTTTGCTAATATGACATCACATCTCATTATATCGCAATAATTAGCCAAACAAATTGAATCTTCAGACTATTAATAAAATATATTTGAAATAAATTATTAAAATTATAGTTTAGTAAAACTTGCGTGAAATAAATCTTTTCGATGTTTTTCATCCCAATGAATGGCCAGTCGTTCAGAGCATAGAAAAGTTGATCCACAGAAAGGACAGGTCCATTGAAAACTGAGCTCATCCTCAAACTCTTGTTCATCTTGCGGGTTGGGCCACCACAATAGGTCCCGATGTGGATGGAAAGGACAATCCAATGGCATTTGGATGCGATACCGGTCTAATATAGGCATAAATTTCTAAAAATATATAATTATATATATTTATAATTGTTAATTAATAATTGACTAATGTTTTAGTTTCTAAAAAAATGTTTGACTTTTTGAATAATACTCTTAACGATTCTTGACTTTTCCCGCGAACATTGCCAGAGCAGGTGTTTGTGGTCATACCAACCGACGTGTGTCAACAATACTAGTAATATAGCCTATTATTGATTATATATTCACATATTTTATAGTTTAGTATTTATCAAACATAAATCATTGCTTTTTTAGCAATTGATTTCATTTTAATTAAATATAATTAATTATATTAATATTTTTTATTAATATTTAATACTTACCTCTAAGCATAGATAATTTGAATACATTTATAAAAACAATTTTTAAATAAATTTGTTTCATTTAGTTATATTATCAATCAATTAATGGACAATAATAAATTCATAATTGTATAACAATTTTTAGATTAATAATTTTTACTAGTAATTATGTAATCAAGTATATGTATATATAATTTATTAAAAAAATGTAACCAAAAAAATGTTACAATTAATTTTTGACTAAAAACATCAATATTTTTGTCATAGTGTAGTCAATACGCAATCTCTTTAATAAATCAATAAATTCATTTAACTTATTGTCTATAGACTGTAGTATTTGTTGATTTTGTCCTTAAATAAACATTTAATTTGTGAATAAGATTTTAAATAGACTATAATTAATTCATAAATTAATAATTATCAATAAAATATAAATACTATAGAATAGTAAATGAAATAATTATATGTTGTATTTTTAATATTAAAAATGTATTATACAATAGTATTAATTATTGTTTTCACTTCAATTCAATCATGAAATTTATTAATTTGTGTGAATAGCATCAGATTATTTTGTCAATTTAATTTTTTTAAATAATAATAAATTACATTTGTATTGTACTTAAAAAATAAATTACCGTAATATTTATATTTTACATTATATTTTTTAGGTCTAAATGTTGTAAAAATATTAATATGTAACTTTACAAATAAAAGGGCTGTCTGCAATATTATAATCACCCCATTTGACAATGATGACATAGTATCCAGGTCGTCTAACTTGATATTGTACTCTATATTTATAATTACCTATTGATGTGAACGACGCCTCAATCACATCATCGGAGTCTACACTTTGGACGCCAATCGCTAAATAACTTTTTCCGCCGTCTTTTGTCGACACCTGCAAAATGTTGATAAAACATAATAATCATAATGTTATACAATATTATTAATTATATTTAATAATTACTATATTATTAAATATATTTTTATATCTTTATGAATACATACAACAAACTTATTTATAACGCCCACCTGTCCATAATAAGCTCCAGCGCCTAACACCTGGCATTTTTCGGGATAAATACCCAGATCTTGAACTGTATTTTGATATAAATTTAAATTTAGGTCATCTTCTAGTAAATCATCAAATTTAATATAATCATATGTTGTGGGTCTTTCATTGTTTAGCAATCCTGTATATGACACATATCTACCAACAAAATAATTGCTATAATCAGGAATTTCGTCGTCAATATATTGTCCCGAAAAACATGAGTTTCCAGTTGTTTCTCCAATTATTGATTTGTCGTCACTTTTGTCTAATAATTTAAGATTTGGATAACTTTTACTTTTGCGATATAAAAGATTGTGATTAAACACTTTTATAGTATGACTATCGATACCACTGTCTGTTTGTAAACTATCCGATCTTTTTGTTTCTAATACTTGATCATCAATTGTATCATTAGTTTCAATGCAACCATTTGTTTCATTTGAAATCATATTTAAATTTGTTATCGATTTAAAACATTCACTTAACTCTAACGAATCACTTTTTTCTAGTTTATTACAATCATCTATTGAAAAAAAATCAAAATACTCTTAAAAATTCGTAACGATATGATAGCAACTTTGAGTGACTCACCTAAAAAATAATTGTTTTTGTTTATAATGGATATGTTTTTCTCCATAATCTCACACCTGTTGCGGACATCAACATTGGTTACGATTTTATTATTCTTGTGATTATTCTTACTATTCATGACATCATTGCTTTGATTCAATTCTTTTGTGAAAATTGTTTCCCAATTTTGTATCATATTTTTTACGGGAAGATATGAACGATTGCAGTAATTGTTATTAATGTGTGAACTTATATAAGTTAATGATTTATCTTTTTGTGTATCATTTGAAAACATGTTTTTTTCTTTAATATCATTTTTATAGTCATCTTTGATACACATATTTGTATTTGTTTTTAGTCTATTCGACAATTGGTGAAATTTATCAATTTTTTGTTGAATATTAATTTGCTGATCAATTTCATCGATTTTATTTGATTCATTTGATTTGATTGATTCACATTCTCTTATATCATATAAAGTCGAATAATTATTACTATTTTTTACTTCATTTAATAAAAATTCATTATTTGCAAAATTATTTGAGTCTTGTGTTAAATGATATAAATCGTTGAATACTTGATTGTTACTGTTTTTTGCATTATTGATAGCATTGTCATTGGACTCAATTTTGTATATATCTCTAACAATACATTTGTTGAAGTTGTCAAATGATTGTTGAATACCATTAACAATGACAGTCCTCTTAAGCACTTTCCTGCCGATAACAGTTGCGCATTCGTCCAATGAAAACGAGTCCTTACGATTCAAGGCATTGACCGGGTATTGCAATCCGGGAACAAACTTTGTCGGCGATGTCGAGCCAGTCGTTTGTTTCATGTCTTTTATGGGCTCATTATAGCATTCTTCCACTTTGACAGTATAGGGACTGTTGAGAATATGCTGTCCCTGCCATATAATAGACAGTTTATGTATGCCTTTCATCAATGGTATATATGTGACCACAATTTTATTTGAAAATACTTCATAAAACAAAGGAATTTTAAGTGTATTTTCAGATTTGTTTTTATGAATAAAATGTTCGATCAGTGAAGTGGTCACCACATCGGCTGAGAATCGCTTCTTTGGATTAAATATAGCTATCCTTTCGCTGCACATAGAGTTGTTTGGACCCATTATTTCAATTATTAAATTTAATTTAGGTGTCGGCTTACAAAATATATTAAAGCGAGCCTTACGGGTGCGGACACCTAGTATTAGACCCATTCCTTTAGCAAAACAGGCCTTTTGGTCACTAAATAGCGATTCAAACATTTTGTGATTATTTCCAAACGAATCCTTTTGATCGATGATTGATCTCCTAATAAGTGATTTCATTAGTATTTTCATTGATTCAAATTTGACTCTCGACAGCAAATAAACAAATTTTGCCTCTTCTTCACAGTCATGTATTTCTTGAGATTCAATAGGCTATTAAATATTCAAATTTAATTATAAATATAAAATTATAGAAAAACTCACATAACTTACGGAATCAATATTTAGGTGTTTTTTAATTAAAGACAAACCAAGATTTAAATTTTCAATTTCTTGTTCTGGGTTTAAGAGGTCATATCGGGGACAACTGCCGGGAACGACACCTTCCATAAGAGCACATAAAAGTATGCCATTCTTCCAGTCCTCTCTGAAATTGTTGACAACCAGTGGTTCTCTAAGTTTAGACCGAATCCATTGCAATAAGTTTTTTCGTTGACTCGAATTGTTGTTGATTTCTAGAGTTTAACAAAAGTTAGGATTTTTTATACAGTATATATTAATTGATAAAAATTATATAATATATTATTCTTATACTCACTAGCCTTAACATTATAGATGACTTTTTTTACTAAATTTATAAAAATATCGATTTTAAGCGTACGAATTGACTTTATGTAAAACCATAAGAAGTAAGCCTTCAATAAACAATAAGTTGTTTCTAATAAATTTGAAAATTTTAATTCCGATTCATTTACTATATGTTTGCCATTTTTATTATTATAGCTAATGTTAGGCATTGTTATGTATACTGGTTGACTGTATCTACGATAATAACTATAATCACTCATAATTATTAAATAGTAATTATTGCCAATAAGTTATCAATTATTTTGAGAGGAGGTATTTGTTTTTACAGATCAAATATTAATTTAGGTTTCTCTCTTAATGTTTTAAGTGCTATTTTAATATATATACTATATATATATATACGATAAATAAAAATTTATATAAAAAGTTAATAAAATTTTGAAAAATATCTGTCACAGTGCAATGAATTTCATATTAATAAAATTAATTATTTATTATACCTATTAATGTGTTAATATAACAATTAAACAATAATATGTAGTTTGAAAAATACTGAAATTTATATATATTTGCCATTATTAGTAAAGTTGTATAAACTATAAGATAAGTTATCTCTTAAGATTTGCGTCAATAGTTGATCACACATTACACTTATTTTAAACACAACTATCATTTATAAATTAGTTATTAATAGTTACATTTATTATACTTGACTACTTGTTTTTATGATTTGATAATTTATATTTATTTTTGGCAGTTTTAATGTAATGATTAGTTTTGGCAAAAAAAGACAAATTTGTAGAAAGTTTTTAAAATAAATTGTCGTCTATGGGATCTTTATGTTAATTTTGTTTTCTCGATATTAATTATTTTGTAACAATACATTTTGATTACACGTAATAGTTAAATATTATAGTTAGTAGTATTTTAATTAATAATTAAAGTAAAAAATTAATGTTTTTTATTATATTAAACTAAAAATATAATTAAATGATTAAGAAAATTTTACAAAACTATAATTTTATATATAGGGATCCCATTTGTATGTATATACCGGTATGTATTGTCTCATTAATATATTCAATAGTATTACAATATTTATAGATATGAGGATCCCAGAGTACAGCATAATAATTAAGTTAATTTCTATCGAAATTTATTTTTGAGAAATTTTCTCATTGAAATTCATTAGAAATTTCTATTTGCCCATCACTAGTAATGATTTGAAATAATTTCTAATTATGATAATACTTGATATAATAATTAATTTCCGTACTTTCTTTATAAAAATAAATAATAATATAAATAATTTTTTATTTATTTAATTTTTACAGTCTATTTTTATAGATACATTATAAAATAAAATATTCAAATAAAATTATAAATAATTTATTGTTTATTTAATATGTTCAATAATTATATTAATATTTGCATTATTAACACAATTATAATTTTCTTATTATAATTATTTATTATACAGTATATCATCCAAAATAATATTATCTAAAATAATTATAACAAATGATTTTATGTTTTGAGTAATTTAACCTAGACAATTTTCTACAATAATTTATATAACGGTATATTTAAATATTGTAATAATCAAAATCTATAGTTTTAATTAAGTACTGATAAGTATTTTATACTTTAATTTTCTATTTATATATTTTTTTTTGATAACATAATTACAATAATAATTATTAATCATTGATTAGTGATTTAACCAATCAGTAATTTTATGTACATTTTAGATAAATTATAATTAAATACTAAATTTTGTCAAATAAAAAAAACACAAATAAAAAGTTAACTAATTATACCATTATATTATATTATATTCATTATATTTCCAATTCAAATGCCACCAAAAAAACAGTCTCCAAATGGACGCGAACTCACATACTCTGTCTGTTGTGTAAATGTTATGAAGTTTTATGAAGTGATAGCTATAGTCTATAGTCTAGAGATGTCGTTAAAGTTTTGTCAAAAATAGATGACATGTTTGTGTGAAACAGTGTTTTATTAATACTTCAAAACAATAATTATCTCAATCTTTGAGTCATTCAATGAGTTAACAATCAATTGTTTATCATTTATTTGATCCCATATTTGTGTTTCATTTAACACCAAACAAGTGACTCAATGAGCGACGACTTGGATCTCGAGGCCATTCGTGCCAAACGTCTTCAGCAGTTACAGCAACAGCAACAACAACAACGAAGTGGTGGCAAATCTGATGAGGTTTGTGCCCAATTGTCACCATTAATGGATCCAATGTATTGGATTGTATTAATTGATAAATGATTTACTATGATATATGTATCGTCAGACACAAAGGGAAGCCATCGCTGAACGCCAGGCCAAAGAGGAAGAGTTCAGAAACAATATATTGTCACAAGTGTTGGACCAATCGGCCAGAGCTCGCCGTATGTCTTATTTTTTAGTGATTTGTTGATCCATTAAAGTGATGTTTATTAACCTATTGTTTGTTTGATATATCGATGAATAGTTAGCACACTATCGGTGGCCAAACCAGAAAAAGCCAAAATGGTTGAGAATCTGTTAATACAAAACACACGAATGGGAGTCATCCGGAGTAAAGTCTGTTATTTTATTTTTTAAGACATTTATCATTTGTTTTGCTAATCTATCGAACAGTTATCTGAAGATGATTTGATTGGACTTCTGGAGAAAGTGAGTGAACAGACGTCCAAAAAGACGACCGTTAAAGTAGGTGTTGACTCATATTTTGATAATTAACAACTCTTTGACCACTTGTTTATTGTTGAATCAGTTTGACAGACGAAGAACAGCATTGGATGACTCCGATGACGAAGACTTAGAATAAAACAGTGATTGTGTTGTTGTTTAGACCATATTATCGATAATAAACTTTTTTATTTGTATTACTAATTACTCTTATATTACTAACATTTTACAAAAATAAAACTTCAATTATGAGATCATTTTATATTATATTTATGTTTTGCTTAAATTTTATTAATATTTAAGTTTTATTATACAAAATTTAATATTATTATTAAAAATTATTTATATTTTAATATATGATAATTAGAAAAGATTAACAATAGTTATGCTCTTAATTTATAAATATTGTTTTGCGTTGATTGCAATACTAATTTTGATAAATTTAATATTATAATTTGCAATAATTAATATGAGCCAATTCATCATTAATTAATTACTAATAAAAACATTTTACTTTTAGTTAAATGTACTGATATATTGCTTTTAAATTATAAACTCAAAATAAACATTAGCAATATTGCAAACTATATATTTTTAAAATTTATTTACTAATCGATATTTGATATATTTTAGAAAATTAAGAGATAGTGATGTAAATATATACTATAGTTTAGTGTATAATACATTTGCATTATAAAATAAATTAAATATACAAAATGTGAGTAATGAACGACTATGGTTACCAAATAAAAGTTATAAACAATTAAAAAGAGGAATTTATATTAAAAGTACAATAAATTAGATTTAATAAGCTCTGAATCGTTACTTTTTTCTGTTTATAATTTAGAATTTATTTGAAATAATATATTATTTGTTTTTAAGAATAAAACTTTTATTCCGTAAATATAATTGTCATTTAATGACTCACTCACTCTGTAGACAATTATTTGTCACTTACCGTATGTACACACATATAGTCATACTTCAAAAATCACATTTACCCCCAACACTGGCATAAAATGTTAACTAAATCCACATTTTGTCCCATAGTTTCACATTTAATGACTGCAACTTTTTCCGCTTACAAACCGTACATTGAAATCAAGTGCTTTTATAAATATATTGTTAAATCGATTCAATGCATAAATATATATTGCATTGCATTTTGTGATTCATTTATTTGGTCCATAATTTCATTGGAAGACAACAAATATTAAGACTATATATGATATAAAATGAATCGTTTATAGCATTCTTCACATTCATTGCTTTTAATTGACGCAAAAAAAGTCGACCAATGATTCAATAGGTTTATCACAAAATTGTTTCATATATTTTATTAAATACTTTTGTATTAAACAAATACAATTACATTGTATCATAAAATCAATTATTAAAACTTATAAAATTATACTATAGTTTCAACAAATATAATCATTTTATTTATTATAAATAAGTGATGAAATACTGTACTTACAAATGATGGACTCGAAAATGAAATTATAATAATTAAAAAATAGTTTTCTATTTATTTTTATTGTAAACTCAATCAATAAGTTAAATACAAACACGAAAATAGTTAAACAAATAACCAGTGATTAACTTTATATTTAGAAATTTTATTATTATTATAATAATTTATGAAAAGAACCATGATACAAGTAAATCACACATATAGACTAATATGTATAAAATATTATTAGATATTATTTATATGTAGTTTTATATTTTTGAATTACTTAAAAATTATTATATTTAGACTCTAAACCATACTTTATCAACAAATTAGTGAATTTAATACAAGTCTTTTGTTACTACCAGTGTTTTAAATGTGGCAGGCATAAACAATAGATGCCAATTTTGCCAAATTCCTACCCTGCCTCTGCCATGCCCTGGGCATCTATTTTCAGGTGGTGACACCTATTACTATGATTTTATATTATTTATTTATTTATAAAACATTGTTTTATCTATATATTTGTATTCCTTTAATTAAAAGGTAATATCATTGGAAATAAGTATATTAATTGTAAATTTAATTAACACGCTAAAAAAAAGTAAATTACATTATTTTTATAAATACAGTTGCTTTTTAGCAATTTAAATTGGCAGGCAAATAAAATAGATGCCCAAAATGCCAGGCATTTATGGCATCTATTTGGGCATTGCCAGGGCATGCATTTATTTACTTAAAACCCTGGTAATGACTGAAACAGTTGGCGGTATTGTAGATATAAGTAGTTTTAGACGAGTGAAGGAGTTGGCAAAATCAATATTAATTAGAAACCAAATTATTGGTTAATCTCGAAAAATGTCAAACATTTCTTAAGATCCAGAAATCACAATTCCGTTGGTTTTTTCAATCACTGAGAATGTGATATTCAAAGCATTTTATTGAATACAACCGACAAATTCAGATCTCAAAAGACAAGGATGTCTGTAACGAACGGTCTTAGGCTAAACAGTTAGCACTCGACTTGGGGTTCGAACTCAGATTCAGATCACTGCCAGAGATCGACATTTGTAAAGAAATCACAATTAGTAGTAAATGTTTAACAATTAAATTATATGAAATTAATATTTAGAAAAATTTTAATGTTTTCAATATTACGCTAAAAAATCAATTAAATAATATTTTTAATTTTGTATTTAATAAAATCATTTAAAAGGATAAAAACAGTACTAAAGTTTAGTAACAAAGTAAGTATAAAATAGTATATTTGTAATCATTTTTATATAATAACTAATTTTATAACTAATACTAATTACTGTATCATAAAAAATAATCCTAAAAATAGTTTTTAATAAAATCATATTGTGATAAACCACTAATAACTATGCAATTAATACTGTAGTTATTTTAGTATACATTTATTAGTAATAAATAAAAAATTTAATTAAATGAGCCGTAATAATATTTAATAAAATAATAACATCCTTTAATTTTTTTATTAATTGATAATTCCGTTCAATAATGAATATTAAAAATATAGTTTTGTCAACTTTTTATACATTTAACCCATAAATGACTTATAAAAACTTTGTTGCTTTTTTAAAAGACATTTGACTTATTTTAAATTAATTATTTTAATTTGTTGTTAAAAATTCTAAGTAATATAAATTATTAATATAATTTATATTAATAAAAACTTATTTAATAACAAGTATTTCTGCATTATTTGTTTTACACTATTATGTACAGTATATGACTAAGAAATTTTTTTAATAAGGACGTCATATAATTAATTAACAATATATTAATGATTATTAATAATAATCAAGTAATACCATATTGTCATTACGTTAGTATATTTATTTGCATTTAATTTGTTGTAAATAATATTGTAGCTTAATATTATTTAAATATTTAAAATATAAATTTTTATAATAGTAAGTATACTTAATGTAAAAGGTTTGTTATTACGAAAATAAAATCCATTTACAAAATTGTATTTATTTTAAAAACAACTATTACTTTATTACAAATGTTGAATATAAAAATCTCTTGAAAATAATATCTTTTATATCTTTTATATTATTTTATATATAATAAAATGTATTTTAATATATAGTATTATATATGCTGGTGTTATGAGTATAATTATTATTTATAATATAGCCTTAATTTATAAAACTTGTGTTTTTACAATATATAATATTATGCTGAATGTAATTTATTAAATAATACACAATTAGTGTTACAAAGAGTATATTTAGCTCTTAATTAAGTAAATGATTTTCAAAATATATCAAAAAATGTCAAATTTATTTTAATGATACTTAATTATATATAATATTCCACTACTGTTTTATAATAGTAATTGTTTTGTAAATTAATTAATTATTCAGTTGTAGAGAATTACATGAAATGATTTTTTGATGACATTTTTTAAGGGCAAAAGTCTTCAAACCACAAATAAGACATAAAAACGGATTGTCATTCAATAAAATTATATACTGGTATTGTTGTTAGGTTTTGACGTTAAAAAAGTTTGTTGTGATAATTGTTTAATTATTACTAATTATCCATGTTAACTTTAGTAATAATTATATTAAGATATTAATAAATAGAAATTTTTATTGTATTTAAGTTATTACTAATAATTTTTTTTTTTAAATTTGTAAATAGTAATTAAGTTTTAAATGCAATAATATAGTACTACAGTATGTCCTCTTACGTTAGTCTCGACGTGTTTTTACCATATATTTAGCATTTTTATGTTACTATTAAATATTAATTAAATAAATTTCAAATATTATTTTTATTTCAATCACATGTTTTACAATACACTCATTTTTCCGTCTGAAAAGTGTAATATTTTTCACAAATAAATTAACATTTTCTAAGACATCTCTGGTTTTTTTAGTACAATATCTGTTTATTTTATAACATTTTAATGCAATAATTGAAAAGTATTCGTAAATAATGTACTCTATGTTGATATCGATCAAATTTAAGGTTTACAATTTTATTAATTGATATTTTACTAAATTAATACTGTATAGCGTATATGCAGTGATTGATACTTTTTAAAAATATATTATTTATATATTTTGCAATATTCTGTTTCAATATCGTTTAAATTAAAAGATTAAAGAACGTTTAAAAAATAATAACTTTATTTAATTTTCTATAAGACTACTGTTAATGAATAGTTAAATATTTTACAAAATGCATAATAGATTTAAAGTTTGTTTATTACTGTCCATAATTTGTAATCAAAATGAACAGTTGTTTGATGACTTGAAATATTATAAATCATATCTTATGTAAAGCTAGTATGTAATCCATTGGTGTCTCAAATGTCAAACTTTGTGGATCTCATCCAAACTTTGCAAACAATTGGTAGAGAAAGAGGGTATTAGCACTTGTAATCAGTGGTAATGTCTTTAAACACTATGTCCCTGATATGCCTTTTTATTCATTAATGTTGTTATATAATGGTTACGGTATGTCTAGTGTCGTACATAAGACTGTGCGCTTGCGTTAAGCGCCAGAATCATTGTACACAAGAGACTGTTAGACTGTCAGTTCATTTGTGTGATGCGTGCCTCAAATGCTCGACCAGTGTGTGTGTATATATATGCTGTCTATTATTAAGCACTGGGATGTCAAAAGCTGGAGCACTGAGAGATACACACGGATTGTATGTATAAATATACTGTATATACAGTATTTTGAGAGTGTAATGGCAACAACACTAGCATTAATACCATTGTGTTTATTGAACTAATATTCTGGTGTTTATTGTATTTAATGAATATTCTGTGATCATATTATTTTTAACAAAGACTACATATTTATATATTTAAAAAACATTGATAAGTAAATGTCAATTAACTTTAATTTAACTGGTGTTCAGCATTAATAATGACTAACTAACTGATAATATAATATTTTTACTGAATTACAAAATATTAATGTGTTTACTCTTTTATTAGTGTTTTATTTTGAAAAAAATATTTTCCGCCAATTGCTGCTAATAACTAAACTGCTAAAACATATTTTTATTGTATTTATAAAATATTATTAATTTAAAATACATTTTGTACATATGTTTTTATGATATATACAACAACAACAACAATTTGATATATTATGTGATGAGTTTTATATATAGTATAAATTATTTGGTTGCATAGCAAATGACTATTTGTTATCATCATATAATTGATTAAATACTGTGTTATATTTATTTTAGTTGTTATATATTTGTTTTATAAACTAATATTACAATTATTTTTTATTTAATTTATATGAAATGTATTAATTGAATGAATTATAGTATAATAGATGAATGAATATTAAAGGCAATGAATGCCAGTATTAAAACAGTTGTTAGCGACCAATGATTTGAAATAAAATTAGTTATTGTTGTAATCATTTGATACAAATGGCTTCATCGAAACCATCAAAATCATTATCACAGACTACTCAACAGTCATCGCTATCATCTGATCAACCAATAGTACCACACGTTTCTTGTCCGTCATCGCCACCAACCACTCATTCTTCTGGTGTTTCATCCATAACTTCCAGTGCCAGCGCTGATGCAAAAGTGAGTTCTAGTCGATTGTCTTCACACACATCGACATCATCGACGTCTTCGTCTTCATCCAACTTATTTGCATTCGGTTGTAGTCACCAATGGTCTCGACAATCGAGTCTAGACGAGGGTGTCTTTCACTCGACATGCAATTCTCCGGCTAAATCTATACCAAGTAGTCCTATTGGACCTAAGTTTAAGTTAATACATGAGGGAGACATACAATTATGTCGACTCAATCATCAGCGAACAGTTATCAGCAAAATCTTGAGCTCTAAATTCTTGAGGCGATGGGAATCACACCATCTTTACTTGACTTCTGTTAATATCACATCCAAAACTGTAAGCATATCTTATATAATATAACCATCTATTTGTTTAGTGTCTGATTCACATTACTTTAATTGCTATTTTCATTTTTTATAAACATATATTATATAAAGTATATACTGTATAATAAAATTAGTAGTTTAATAAATACAATAAGAAGTTATATTATTAGTAATAATATAGTCATATATTTTCTAATTATTTTTTTATAGTTAGATAATATAATTTAAATGTATTTGACATATACGGTAATAATAAAATCTACAATAATAATCAAGTTTAATATACAGTATAGAAAATTTAGTTTTTTATTTATGTAATTTATATAGCAATGAATTAATCATTTCTTAAATATTTATTTATTCTACACATTACTATTAGCTTAAAATTATCGGTTAACTATAAACTAATCATTATTTGTAAAATTAGTATCAGCAAACTATTGTATTTGTTTTCTAATTATAATAATTATAACTTATAAATACATTTTATGATTTACAGTATTATAAAAATTAAATGAATTTTAAAATATAATAATGACTTAAATGCAAGTTAAATAACATTTGGTAAATTGATTAATAAATTGATTTTATTAAAATTAGGTAAAAACTGTCTTTTATGATTTAGTAATATTTTATATTTGCAAAACTGATAGCAACATAAACTAATAAACTTATTTCATTATATATAATAAATTAAAGATCTAACAAACAAAACAAAATCAGAACCGGATTTATAAAATTGCAAAATTTATTGATAAAAATTTGCTTTACTTTTATACATATTTCATACACATTTTGGTATTCATTACTACACAATACTACTAAATATAAACAATTGAAGTGAAAACATTACATAACAATATAACACCATATCATTTGTTTTGTCGATAATGTTATATTTGAATAAAGATAAGAGTTTGCAAACAGCATACAAAAATGTCAAACAATAATGAAAATGATTAATATATTTGAAATAGTCATGTGTTGTGTTTAATTTTAATACACTCAACAAAACACTTTTCAACAATTTAAAAAAAAATATTGAATAATTTCAATAATGTTTTTTATTTGTCAAGTTATGTATTAGTAAAATCTCTGTACAATTTCCTATTTGTTTAATTTCAAAGATTTATATCTTTCATGCAATTGCTTTGAATCTATCAATAATATAATACAGTATATATTAATCTCAGATATTATATACACTATATTATATGACAATAATACAGTATATTGCTTATACAATTTGCTGCACAGTTTATAATGGTAATATTATACTTATATAAATTTAATTTTAATATGTGATTTTTGTAGACTTTTGAATTAATGGATTCAAAAGTATGAATAGAAATATCAGTTAGTTTTTTTTAAATTTGTAGTGTTTTCAATTTATATATATATATACTTTATATAATATATATTAATATCATAAAATAGTTATATAATATCTTCAAATTCAATTTGTAATTCAATTCGTAAAGTTGATCAAAATATACACAATTTTATTTTTAATACAAATAATAAAATATACAGTACTTTTAATAAAATATTTATAAATATACATTAAGAAATTAAATGTTTTGCTTTTAATTTAAGTTATACTTTTTATTAGATAGTATTTAACTATAAATACTGTATTATATATTAACAAATGTATTTATATAAAATGTAAAAAAATAAATTGTTTGTTTAATAAATATAATAATTTATTTTATAGAGTATACATATATTGATAGCTTTCAATAATAACTGTTTAAACTATAAAATGAAACACAATTTGAACACAACTTAGAGTTTTACTCTTAGTCTCTCAGTATGTGATGAACACCATAGACGTCATTGCATAAGATGCCAGTCCTCCCAGTGCTGAATAAAGACAGTAATATAATGCTTGTGAATATAAAATTGCCAATTATTTCATTTTTTTCATAAGAAAATAATTATTAACTAATGTTCAACTAAAACAAATCAGTTTTACATTTTTGACTTCTATGATAGTATACAAATGTTTAATAAAATATTTGATTTTTAAAGACGTCCTTCAAGTGTGACGTCAATGATTACAACATTGAGGATGTAATACCTATTGTTGGGTACGGTTAGTGATGTTAACACAGTTAACACTTGTTGTAAGCAATTCACTACTTAATAGATTTAGTATTTGTATTATCAAAATTTGGTAAATTTACAAATAATATGCTTAAAGTTTGTTCAATACTAATGTAATTTTTGTCAAATATTTCATCTCATAAATTGTGTATCAAAATCCAGTCTTATAAAACTAAGAGCTTGTATTACATCACTTAAATATTTCACTGATTTTATGAATTGAATTTTTTATGATTAATTTTAAACAAAATTAGGAGAAACTATTAAAATAATTATTAATTTAATATTAATAGTTTTGTCATTAATTTTAAAGCTTATTTTATACATTTTTTCCGGTATTTCCGAAACTGCATTTTATATTTGGTTACATAACTTTATTTTTTAGTGTTTACACCGACACAAACTGTTTGTATTATGATTCAAATTTTGTTTAACAAAAACAGGAATCAATGGTTAAAGAATTTTTAACCAATTTGTTACAGAATCGGATCTAATAAGACTCAGAAATAATGAATGAATTATTAGAAATTATTAAATGTTTGTAATTATTTTGTTTGCATTTCATACTTAATTCTATTTAAATTAATCATAAAATAGCAATTTCAGCAAAATGTGTGATTGAATAAAATTGCAATTATTTAATAAAATTCATTTAAAGCAAATTTTATAATTGTAGAAATTTATACTTTATATATGCAATCATTTTTTATGTTATGCTTGATATATATTAATAGTTAAACTCAATATTTCTATAAAGTAGACGAAAAGTAGGTCACTCTTACACATAACTATCCTTTAGAGTGCACTTCTATGACGTCTACAGACGTCATTCCATTGAGAGAGAGAGAGAGAGAGAGAGAGAGAGAGAGAGAGAGAGAGAGAGAGAGAGAGAGAGAGAGAGAGAGAGAGAGAGAGAGAGAGAGAKAGAGGACAGGGAGAAAGTGAGATCCGATCCAAATCCAAATACCAAGAGTTCAATAACTCAATGAATTGTATGGATTTGTATGCAAAGGCAAGGGATGGCATACTTTGTAAACTATTCCTCAAAAACATATAACACAGCAATTGTTTGCAATTTATATAATAATCATATACAAGGAAATGGGGTCAACAAAACTAATACTTTATATATTCTGTATATTTTGTTCTTAATATTGTATTTTTATTTCATAATATTCTGGTCTTTTATTTACTTGTATTTACGTCACGAAGCAATTTTATGACTGAAATTACATTTTTTTTCTAGTTTTTTATATTATTTTCTAAAATTCAATAAAAACAAACATTTTTAATTTACGCTAATTTTTATTGGCCTATATATATATATATATATATATATATATATATTATCAATAGTAATAACTTAAATTACAATATCATAAATATTTTTATAACTTATTCAATCAATTTGTATTTATTAAGCACTTTTTAAGACACTATTTGTTAATATTTATTTACAATATAGTGTTTATTAAATGAATGATAATAACTTATTGCATTCTATAACTCTACTATAATGTTAGACAAATTAAATTATCTTTAGATAACATGTATTTTTACTAAATTAAGATTAATTTTAATGAATTATTAATTGCATTATTTTTAGATTATTACAATTAAAGTCAAAAAATATAATTTTTTTTAACATTCTCATACTGCAAAAAACTTAAGAAACTTAAAAAACAAAAAACAATTTATCAATCATTAAAATTAAAATTTATATATTTTTACAAATAAAAATTAATTTATATACTAGCTTCAATAAAAAGTATCTTACTTTATTAAATATATTATTTTATAGCCTAGACTTGTTGATAATTTATATACATTAACAAATAATATATGCATTTATATTATATTTATATATAGTACATTATATAATATAGTTAATATCTTATTACAGTATATTAACTTATGTATTTATCTATATTTACAAACTAAAGGCAAATTTTTATTGAAAATAATTTAAATTACTAAATAATTTTACTAAAAATATTAAAATAATAAATTTTAAGACTAAAATTATAATATTTTCCTTAAAACTACCAATTAATTTATATTTTTCAATTTGTAAGCAAAACACGATTTATTTGAAAATAAATAAATGTTTAGAATTATTTTTTAAACTATTGTATATTTTATTTTTAAAACTCTAATTTGCCATGATTATTAATTAAAACTTGTTAAAAAGTTAAAAAACTTATAAACTGATAAAATATATTATTTTTGATCACATTTACACATTTAATGTATTATAGCTAATATAGACAATTAAACAATTAAATAATTTTATTATTTTAATTTAATTTTAATTTTACGCAAAATGTAAACATAATTTGCATTTTCCAATATTATAAGTTACTCTTATTATTTTCATTACCGGTAATTGTATTCAATTGTTGTTAAAAATCTATTTCATCTTATACTTTGAATATTAATTATATTTTTTAAATACTTTATTTAAATTTTTTCAATTAGTAACATATATACTATTATTGTTATTACTAAAAAAGCTATTTCATTTTCAATTTTTTATAATACTTGTTTACTATTATTACTTAAAAAAAATATTATTAAAAATTTATTTTAAAATAATTTTTATTAAATATTTTACTCATTTATTAAGTTTTTTAGTTATATTAAATAAGAATATATATAAATTTATATTATATTTTATAACTAACTTAATTTTATATTTTATATTATGTATACTTATTTACAAGTATATTGTTTTCTACTTATATATCATTTAAATGAAAAAAAGAATTATAATAAAAAATTGTAAGATAAACATATTTAATGTTATTTAGAAATCTATTATATATTAGATCTATTAAATCTATTATTTCAAATATTAAATTTATTAGTAGTATTATAATTGTGATATCAATATTGACTTAATTAAACCTAATAACATTGTAAAATACGGTATACTTCATATAATTTATATTATATAACTAATGTTAATTATTTAATTTATTTAACAGCCGATTGGGTTTTTGGAAGTGCCCGTAGCCTACAGTCAAATAGAGGACGTATATATAGTTTCGCGTTGGGATAGCAGTCAAAAGTTCTGTATAAGAATCGTTATACCCGACGGATCAGTTCTACTTCAGGTATGAACTAAACTATGGATTTTGTTTTATGCGATAATAAGTATATAATTAAACAATTAAAATATGAATTTCTATAAATAGTTAATCGATCTATATTTGGTTATCAATGCTTATCAATTAATTGAGTGCTTCAGTAACACATTGTTTTATACTAAATTTACACTAAATAAATAAATATAACAGTATATAATAATATTGAATAATATTTTTTCATAATAAGAAATGTTTGTATAGAAGCTCTTATGAAAAACCAATCTTAAGAAATCTATGGATTCTTAAGTTCACAAAAAAAATTATTTATTTTTCCAAAATTACTGACATTTTGTCTGATAATTGAACCAATAATCAGTTTTTAATACGCATGGCTTCAGCTTTTTATTTACAATAATACACAACACAAATGTTGCAAATAAATCACATTTTCAACCAATTGTTTAAGTGATGTCAACATTAAATACTGTTAGCTATTAAGCAATTAATGCTTTGGATCTCTGAACGCCTGTTGTGATCACAGTTTCTCAGAAAATCAAATCTAATTACAAAAGAAATGCTTTTATTATTATATTAAACTAAGTAAATGTTAATATTTTTAATATAATAGTATTTAATATTATATAACTTTATTTATTATACTTAGTAAATGCAGATATTTAAATGGAAAATTTTATTGAAAAATTTGTATATAAAATATTTAATAATATATAATATTTAGCTATCTTTTTCAATAGCAACAGTTATGGCTATGCTTAATACATTTACACTATTTAAAACCAAATATTATTGTTTTAATAATATTTTATTATATTGTTTATATAATGCATTTATTCGTCAATATAATAATGAATTAACAAGATTTACTTTAACAATATCAAAATACATATTCCTATTATATATTAAATAACAATTATAAATTATCACATTTGACAACAAATATTGTGTCATAACAATTAAATTACATTTTTCACATAGATAATATTTTGCTTTATTAATATCACTTAAATCTAATAAATGTAATTAAATTTAGTTACCAAATAAATGGTTAAGAGATCAATGGTTACATTCAATCAATTGGAAAGTATGTATATTTGTATTTAATAGTTTACTAATTATATTAAATAAATTGTTAATAATTGAATTGAATATTATATGAATAGAGGAGCATGCTCAAATTTCAACTTATTCTCATTAATTTGTCCATCAGAAGTGATGTCATCACCAAAGAGCTAAAAGTAAGTCTAAAATCAATTTAAAAGATAAACTTATAAATCTTGAGACTTATAAAAGTCATACTATTTTTGTCAAATTTATTGATCTTTTAATAATACTCTAAAATATTTGAGCATTTTTTTTAATAAATTGAGTCATTTTTAATAAGGTTACTTTTATTAATTTACAATTTTTTTAAATTTTAATTTTGACTTATATACAGTATATGCTCAAATTAATATTTAGATGTATGAGTTATAAATTTTTTGTAATATTATTTGAATGACATTTTAAGTAAAATATGTGTATAACCATAGTTTTATGGGAATTATAAGTGCTATTAATTCTATACAATTTTCAGGATTTTGAATTAAATATATTTTATTAATACTGGTAATAAGTTTAAGTCAATTTATGATAAAAATTTATATATTCCTGGAAATATAACATTGTTTATCATAAACAAGTTTTAAATACTGTATATTCATTACTTATGAAATGTATTTATTAATATTATTTATAATATTATATACGGTATTGAAAGTAAATAAGTAAATAAATTATTCAGAGATATAAAAAAGATATTTGAGCTAAATTTTTTTATTAAATTCTAAAAAATAATATCTATAATTCAAATAAATATATTTGTTAAGACATTTGAGACTTATGGGACATTTAAATATTATCTGAACTATTATTATAAAAACAAATATTAATTAACTAATTTTGTATTTAATTGTAATAGTTTTGCAAATCATATATAATTTACATTTTGAGTCTAATTAATTGACATTTTATTATAAATATTATTACATTTTTTAGTTTAAACTTAAATATTTTATATTAAATCTAAAAAACCTGAATTATCAAAAATCTCTTTTTTTTTGTTTATTTGTAATCCGCTTAATACTATATTTCATCCAAATCTTTACTATAATAGTAATTTTTGTTATAATTTTGATCAATAATATTACTTATATTTACAATAAGAATTCTAATAAGTATTTCAATTGTAATAAATTTAAATTATTGTATTTATAGATAGCAATTAGTTTAGTGAATTTTGCCAATTGACGTATATTTAGTTATTTAAAGATTTTTATAGACTTATATTAATTGATAAAACGCTTTGTTGCAAAAATTCTTGTTTTCTGTTTATGAAATATTTTTATGATGATTATTACAAAAATTAATATTTTTATTATTATTAGAGTATAATAAATATAAAAAGCATTTCATAAAATTAATAATAAAATAGATAACTAGTCCATTCATAGTAATATCATGAATACATTAATAAATAAAAGTGTTAGAAAATTTAGCAAAATTTTTTTTTGTTAGTTTACGGACAGTTCTAAAATAACACATTCAAATAATTTTTATGTATTTTATACGTATATTATAACTATAATTAAATTTCTAATTAATGTGGTTATTATGTGCACACAACTCGTAAAATATTGTAATAAAATTTCTATATAAGAACTAAAAATATTCAAAAAATAATCTTCACGTAAACAAATAAACTAAATCTATTAGTGAATTATATTTTTACAATTAACTTATTACTATCTAAATCTTAACTAATATATCGATTTAATTACTATTAACAGTTATATATAAATGAACTTAATACATAATAAAAATTTTCAAACTATTTATATGTCTTAATTGGAAACACCAACCCTGGGGAAATTCCCGGGAAACTATAAAATGAAAAATTATATTTTTATGAAACAAATATATTTTTTATTGTTTCATTATTTTTTAGTCATATTATATATCTGATTTAGCTTAAGATGATATTATGGGTTTGATTACATTAGAGTCAAGTTAAATTAGGTCCAGGGTAAAACAAGTATAGTATTTTTAATTATTTAAGTAATCGATTATATATTATTAATAGTTTTATGTTTTAATGAGTTATCAATATATGCGATTACCAACAAAACATTTAATTGATCAAAACAATTTATTTTATTATTGTTCACAATTGATATAGGTTTTTTTAATTTGTTACTATTTTCAATTTATTGTTTTAATTAGCTATATAATTAATATGTTTAAATATAGACATAACTTATAGCCTATAACTATATATTTTATAATTTACAAGCGTACAAGTAAATTTTAGAAATAGATATATACAGTATATAAAGAGGCAGTCAATTGATCTTGCGCCGCGTATTTTTTGAATAACTTTTGAACGGTTAGAGATAATTTAATTCTGTAAATTACATTTAAGAATATCATATCGACCACACTTAATATACACGCAATCACAAAACTAGGATGACCAGATATACAAAATATCGGGACCAACGAAAGACACTATGCTACAGGTTAAACTACAACTGACAAATTTATTATGATAATGAAAATTTGTAGTCAATAAATAATAGTTTAATATAAAAAAAAGAATCATTAAAATCGGATTGGTAGTTTTGTTTTTATGACTTGTTAAGTTTGTCATAAATCATATTATATAAAATAGTCTAAAATAAAAATGACGTTATTTATGGATATTCTATATTTATTAGATTAATTTTTGAATTATACTACTAATTCTAAAAACAAAATTTTAATATCTCGACTCGTTTTCGAAATAATCAAATTTCAATATAAATTATAATATCAAATTACAATAGTGTGATTTATATTGAAATTCGATTATTTCGAAAACGAGTCGAGATATTAAAATTTCGTTATTAGAATTAGTAGTATAATTGAAAAGTTAATCTAATAAATATATAATATCCATAAATAATCTGGTCATCCTAGTTTTGTGATTGCGTGTATATTAAGTGTGGTCGATATGATATTCTTAAATGTAATTTACAGAATTAAATTATCTCTATCCTTTCAAAAGTTATTCAAAAAATACGCGGCGCAAGATCAATTGACTGCCTTTTTATATATAAAATGTTAATCTTTTGTCATAATTAATATCGGACCATCTATAGTTGCAAAAAACTAAAAACTATAAAATATTTTGAATGATAATTTTTAATTTTAAAAATTATTTATTAAATATATAAGTAAAATTTTATTATACTAACTAGTGTAAACTTTATATTTAATTTTTGGTGTAATTTGTAACATTTGTCAAATTTATATTGTTATTTATATATTTATACCATGTGCATTTTAACTTATAGTAATTAATATAAATATTGAAAAACAATATATTACATAGTTAATTTTAAATTATAAGCATATTTTGTTAATTTAAAATTTAAATAGTATAGTACAGGACATTCTGTACATACAGTAATATCAATAGATTAAAATGTATAGCTTTAAATATTTAATAATTACAAAAGCATTGAATAAATAAATGGTTTTATTTTTAGTACCCTAAATGACAATATTATTTGGGAACAAATGTTTATGTTATGTATTTAATTTTAATGCATTTTCTTGTTTACGTTAAACTCAATTTTGCAGAAAATTATTAATGAGAGGCAAATGTGAATAAATAATTGTTTCTTTATAGACACTTATATTAATATTATATCAAATTCTATTTTAAATTATAGATTTTAATAATTTAAACGTATAAATACTTTTAAAACTAATATTTCACGATATGTATTATACATCTATTAAAATGGCAAAAATATGGTATTTTTAAATGATAAGACATTTTAAATGTAGTGTTATATTTATTTACAAATACTGTATTATAGTTTTATTATTTTTTTTAATTGTATTTGAGCGACTTGTTTATATATATAACTTATAATACAATTGTCTGCATTTAGATTTCATTTTTCTAAATAATAATAATAATAATAAATAGTTAATACTGTATTTTGAGATTTTATCACACCTTTTGAATGAAATTCATTCATTTAAGTCAAAATTTTCTTTAATGTTTTAGCTTTAAACAATTATCAATCAACTACAGTGTCATTATCCTAAAAAGAAATTATTTCATATATATATATTAATTATATATTCATAAATTTCACATGAAATGACAATTTAATAAATCATAACTTCATTTAATCAATTATAATGTAATATTTCGATTATCTCTTAACAATAAAAAAAATAATTGAAATTTTCTGTATTATTAATACCAGAATTTGATTGATATGTCTTTAACGACTCCATTACAAGACGAGTGTATATATCAAACACCACTGGAAATAATAAGTAAACTTTTGAATGACAGACAAATTAATGTATGTTTTCATCGATATTCTATAAAATAAAAAATAATGCATTTATTATAATCACAATTTTAATACACATTCATATTATGTGTTTAAAAATAGATAAACTCTAGAGAAGAGACACCAGAAATGAGAGCACATAATAGAGAACTAAATGAAGAAATCATTTCTATATTATCACCACTTCTGGAGAGAACTAATCCAACTCAAGAAATCTGTCAATTTCTAAGTCAAGTTAGTATAAACACTGGTCTTTCATAATAACATACTTTAATATTTAATTATAATTATAATTAAATCTTTAATTTTTAAAATTGAATTCAATTTTCTTATTTAAATATTAATATATACTATATATATATATATATATATATATATATATATATATATATATATATATATATATATATATATATATATATATATATATATATATATATATATATATACCTGTATATTATTATAGCAACTATTATTATATTATGTTTTATTTTTATTTTAAAATTCAAATAAATATATAATTTAAAATATGTTATTTTGATGACTTAGATGACCTTTTTTGCTAACTAGGTTTTATTATAATGATTTAAAAATTATTATTATTATATTCATGATTCGTATAATTAATATCTATTTTAGATAATATCAATTGATATATTTATTTACATTTTATTAGTTATCATGTTTATAAAATAATTTTAATTTCAAAGCCTTTTATTATTTATTTTCATATTTAAAAATATATTTTTATTATGTAACTATCACTTAAAGTGAACTATAAAAGAATTAATTTATGTTTCTTTTTGATTAAAATACATATCTATATATAATATTAAATAAATAAATATTAATATGTATAAAAACTACAGTTAATCATAATTTAATTCATTGAATATATGTTGTATTTGTTATACAAAGTAATTCATATATTAAATTAAAATATCTGTTTGAATAGCACTGTCGTCTAAATCCCAGATCACTGGTTGTTCGCGAGTATTACAGCGAAATAACTCAACGAATCCTTAAACATAACATGGATTTCAGTAAATATCCAAAAATGCGAGTTTTAGTTCAGGACTATGTCCTTGCAATCAACTCGCAAAACGATGGCACAAATCTTGTCAAACTTTTCATTAAATGGTATATAATTGTTATTAATTAAAATTTTATTTTAAATATCATTATTGTTTGTCAGTGTTCACGGCCTAAGCAGTACATGTCCTCACCCACGAGTGCTTATTAATATTATAAACGTATGTTTGGCCGCTTTGTCTACACTTTTCGAAGAAAGAAGAGCTGAACGGAGTTCCGATATCGACACAAATAAAACTAATTATCATATCATTGAAGAAGAATGGAAATCTAAAATCAATTGTTTTATTAATATTTTGTATTTTATGTATGTTTTATATATGTCATGAATTATACATATTATATACTTATTATATAGTTATAAAAATTTTAATATTTTTTATAAATTAGTTCATTTCATGAAGATTGGAGACCAGGATTGGCCCAAATATTACAACCGATTCCTTTTCCAGACATTGCATTAACTATACCAGTGTTTACATCGTATGTATTATTATTAGAAAAACAAATAATTGTCTCTATATTTATAAGTTATTATTATTTTTATATTTAGATCATTTAAATCTGTGATAAAAAACATATGTTTAGATAATAGATGCGAAGTCCATCAGTTATTATTAGGGGTCAGAGAGGAAAAGGAGAGTTGGCTTCAGACCTACTGTCCGGGAAGTATTGCTTGCGATGACGAGGGAGACCTTTGGAGTTTCATTGTATGAATTATTATTATTATTGTTATTGTTGTCTATAATGCAAATAATTTTTTGTTTATATAATTAATAGCTAAAAAATTTAATCAATTGTTGCTGTCGTCGCAAAGGCTTTTTGATGACACTAAACAAGAGTTTGGGTCCGATTATGTTACGGGCGCTCAGGGATGACGATACCTGTCAACAAATATTGTGCGCTATGTTAGAGCTTAATGTTGTCGATAGCATTGATATGCAGCAACAGATCATTACAACATTGCAAACCACACAAACTGGAAGATCATATTATAGTGATCTTTGCCAAAGACAACTACATCTCAAAGAATTGGTATGTCTTTTATGTCTATTTATTTTTTGTCAACTTATTTGTTATTTATATTTTATTAGTCGTATATCATATACAATACATCAGAATCATATATCCCTTATAGATACAACTCATAGATTTCCCCCAACTTATACATAGAAATTTGATTTAATATAATAATAGTATAATAGTTGTGGCCCCTGGAAGTTAACTTTACAAAATAAATATCTATAGCTTCCAGTGTAGAATCGTACAGCCGATCTGTGATCATAATAACTATAATTTATGTCATATTATATTTATCAATATATTGTATATTATTAGTATTTTTATTGCTATTATAAAACCAAGTATAAAGTATTGATTAAATTTTTAATTAATAGTATATTATATTTTGTTTACAATGAACAAACAAACTTTTTATGTATTAATTTATAGTGAAATTATTAAGCCATGATAATAAAATAGACTGTTTATTAATAATCAAATTAACTAATATTATATTATATCAACTATTATATTATATTATAGATAATAAACAGATAAACATTTTTTAGTTAGATTACTTTACCATTTATGACAGTAATGATTAGCTCAAAATGTTAGTTTAGTTGAATATGTTTGTATTAAAACCATATAACCAAATAAAACTATATAAATATCTAACAAAATCGATATATAAAAATGTTTGATTCCAGTAATAAATATCAGACAATACTCTGCATATTATATAATCGATCTGTTATTTTGTAAAAGTATTTTTATCTGCAAGAAATTCATATGACTCGTAGCATAATAGAGAAAACATATGACCTTTAACCCAATACAATAGTATTTATTTGTTATAATATGCATATACTATATAGAAAATTATATAAATTTACTTATTTATATACTAAACATCTCTCATGTCTATAATAGATTACTAAACGAATTGATGAAACTTCCCGGGAATAATAATATATCAATACCTGTATAATAGTGTTGTTTTTATATACAATTTCTGATAATTTACTAATTAGAAATAAATTATGATGAATTAAAGATTTTAATAATTAAAATTTAAATAGATAGCTTATAGATTCCCAAAATTTGTTATATTATATGTAATTTTATGCCATTATATTGTTTAAATTTAAAGATAATAAGTATATCATTAATAAAAATTACATTATATAGTATAATAGATGTAGAGATATCTTAGAATTTTGTGAATGTTTTTTCTATACTAAAATAATTTTAGAAAATTATTAGAATTTAATATTAATATAAAATAAATGATTTGAATAAAACTAATTGTAAATGTGTTTTGATAGCAACAGAAAGGCGGCCCAAAAAAGTTGACACTTCCGTCGCGATCGACAGACGCCGACGTAACCAAACTGTTGAGTTGCGGCTCATTTGGAAACCTCGAGTGTCTCTCATTGGCCTTCACTCAAGTGACCAGTGCTTGTGCTGAACAACTCATTAAATTGCCTTCACTTAGATATTTGAATCTATGGTCAACTCAGGTATTTATTAACATTACGTAAAAAAGATTTGTTTTATAAGTTGTCGAATATTTTATCGACAGTTTGGCGATAATGGTTTGCAATTGATATCAGAGCACTTACAGAAACTACAAGTTCTTAATTTATGTGAAACACCCGTCACCGACAAAGGATTGAAATACTTAACGGGTAAATAACTAAACACAACAAACACAACATTTGACATTTGAAAAAGTTGTTTATTTTGATAACTTTTATAAATTGATAGCAATGAAGAATCTCCGTAAACTTAATCTAAACAGTACACGCCTTTCAACCCAAACCTTTGAGCGCCTCAAACAAAAGCTACCGGCCCTTCAAGAGATTGATATTAGATATACGGAAGCATGGTGATGATGGTGTCATTATATATTGTGTACATCATTATAAACACAGTATATTTTGTGTGCCGATTAACAAAATGTAGATATTTATTATTAAATCATATTATAAACCACGAATATATAGTGCACTGGTTGGTGATAATATGCAGAGATGGCATGGATCAGGTAATAGCTGGTCATTCCACTCAAACCTATAAAACCTTAATATTCATTTATATTATGATATATATTTCAAATTATATACACATATATATACAGCTATATTAAATTTAAATTATAAATATATTTGGTTTTCAAAATATCAGACACATTTATTTGTGCTGATGGTATAAGTAGGGCAGTTATGGTGCCCATTGAAAATGTTTTTATTATACATATATTTGAATTAATATTCACTTTTTAGTAATCAATTATTATTGATACATTAAAAATAAATACCGTATATATTAAATTTATCATTCATGTATTAGTATCTTGAATGCACAGAAATTTATAATTTATTTATTATTTAAACAAAATATTTTTTGTTCATATAATTATTGCTAAATAAATTAGAAGTTGGTGTAAATAAACTCATTAATATTTATGTATTTATTATTTGCTATTATTAACAAAATATTCTCAAATCTGTTGTATACTTAAAAATAATAAGTGAAACAAATTTTAACTATTGGTTTAAAATCAACAAATAAACTAAATATATCTTTTATTTGCACATAATGTACACACATATATGTAAACTTATAAATATACAGCTAAATATTAATTGTGAAACAATGTTATATAAATTTTATTTAATTTAAATATATTTGTGTTTCAATTCTGTTTTTAAAAATTCTGTTAATACTAATACAGTAGTTATAGTATTGAATGGATAATTTATTTTTATATTTATGTTTATGTGCATAGCTATTTAATTATCTTGTTTTTAAGTTTTTTAAACAAAATATAAACAAATTTTATTTATTTAATTTTAATTTATTACCTATTTTTATTATTTATTAAACATTGTAATTATTATTATTTATTATTATTATCAATATTGTAATCTGTATTAAAGTGATAATTAATTTTACAACTCTTTTTAAATTTTAGAACAATTATTCTTAATATTTATTATTTATTTAATTTAAGAACAAATTATATTTAAAAAGATTAAAAATTTTAAAGTTATATAAAATTTACAATTTTTAGAGGTAAACATTAATTTATTGAAAGTTAATATAAATTAAATTAAATTAAAACAATCTGCTTAATGTCAAATAAAAAAAATTCAAATAATAAATAAATAGTAAATTATTTACATTTTGTTACTAATTATAAAATTATTGCAAAAAAATATTTATTTTAATAGAATATTCTGTTTTTTGCAGTTAATGTCAAATGTATAGCAATATATAGCAGAGTATAGACAGTGCTCTCTATTGATTTGAAACTGTATTTTGTAAATACAACAAACATTGGATACAATAAAAGGCTTAACTTATCATTAATATGGGCTATAAGTTATGCCTATTTAACAAAAGACAGAGTTGTATGGAAATAGCGGCAAATGTTTGATACAAACAGTAAAAGCTATCATAAAATAACATATCATTTGATTGTTTCAACACTTGTTTTCAAGTGATCCCAAAGCGGTGATCAACAAAATTGTTGGACAATAATGGCATCAATGGATCAACAGATAAATGTGTGTCAACTCATATCACTAATGGAGTCAACAAAGTGTTTGTCACAGACAGAGGTCGTCGTGTCAGTCATGGGCTGTCTGTCGGGTTCGCCGTCCGTTTGTTTTGATTGGTGTCCAACGGAACAGCACTTCTACGTCAAGAAAGGCTTGAGTTGCGACCAATTTCTTAACCAAACACTTCTTCATAATTATCTCAACTATTACTGTAACTTTGGAACTGCTTTTAGAGTGATGTTTGACTTCTGCTATAATGAAGTCAAGAATGAAGACGAAGTCATCTGTTATACGTTTAATGCATTTCGTTCTTCATTGAGATATCTATTGATTGATTGCATCAAACATTTCAACACTATTACTGATTATCTAATAAACAACAACAATGAAGACAGAAAAATATCACTATTGGGTCTTAAATATTGGTTAAACAGTGACTCAAACCATAACTTATTGCTTAGGATTGAGATCTTATGGCAAATCTTTGAGCGGATCCGCGAAATTGCATTTTTGCAAAATAATAACTATTCGCTGAGTTTTACTATTTTGAGTGCAATTTATGAAAGAATTGACTTTCAGAAGTCTGACATCAGAAATATAATCTTCAAATTGTTGATCGATTGTCTCAAACCCACTCTCGACTACTTCGACCACATCCTCACCGATGGCGAGATTCGCGACTTTCATCAAGAGTTTGTCTTTATTGAAAGCGATATCGAGTTATTGTCAAATAACTTCTGGAGTGAATGTCTTAAAGTCCGTTGCGATACTTCAGAAATGCCACAGTTTTTAAGCAAACATTTAACTATTATATTAATTGCCGCAAAATCGAGAATAATGAGTCAAAGAGTAATTGTAAAGACAGACAACAAGACAAACGAAAATTTAGATTTATTTAACAAATTCTTTAATATTGTCAACGAATTGTTCCACAAAAGTGATTACGATATAAATAAAATGTCATCAAATGAAACCAACGATCAATTAGTTGAACCAATCGTTGAGATGAATTCAAATGATACGATTGTTCCGCAGTCACTATCAATAGATCCAATGGAAAGAACAGAATATGATTCAGATCTCAATTTCTTTGATGTCTATTCTCTATATACTAACAAATATTTTTATAATTTTAATATTGGTTTTGAATTAATAGAAAATAACGATTTCATTGACTATGAATTGCCTCAAAAGTGTTTCAAACCCATTGAACTCATCCTTAATGAAGCACTAACTCTGACTTTTGGCAAAATCTGTGCCGACATATCGTCACAACTTATAAATCAATTAATTAATGAATATAAAAGATATTTCAATAATTTTTGTGATTTTTATTTGTTACGCTCGAGTGTAATGATTCCCAGTTATTGTATGGATCTGTTTCAGACTATTAATGCCATGAATTCTTCAAAGTCTCTTTTCGACAGTTTATGTCATTTGGAAAATGACAACACATTTGATACATTGACTGATATAAAACCATTTATAAGTTATAACGAATACTTAACAGATCCAATACAACTTTTCAAGAATATTCATTTGATTTATAAGTCAATTGATTGGCCATTTGATAGTATGTTTGATCATCAGGTGATTGAGCTCATGGATAAAGTGTTTCAACTATTGTTGAAAGTTAAGTATAGTAAATGGGTTTTGGATCAATTAATGTTTACTCCAGAGTTTAAGTTGTATCAAATCAAAAATCGTTTGCAATACATAATGAGATTTAAACTTCAAAACAGTGTTAATAAGTTATACAATTATTTGATGAACAGAATTGACGGTTATATTAATGAAACAATTGATTCATTTGAAAGTTTAACAAATTTTGAAGAACTCCTTGAAATTCATAATAAATTTCTGATTCATTTAAAGCAAACAATATTTTACAAACAAAAGACTTTGAGAAATATAATCAACAAATTAATTGAATTGTGTTTACAATTAGAAAAGATATGGAAATCTGAAACTAATGTTAACGACGGGTCGATAATTAAGAGCATCGACTTAGATATTGATCGATGCAATCATTTACTCGAATGTTTCTATGATGTACTTAACAATAATTAATTGTATCATAAAATTGTATATATTTTTTAATTTCTGATTTATTAGTTTTAAAAAACTGTTTATGTTATAAGTTATAACGTGTTAATTTTACCTGTAATTAAGTTAAATATCTTAATTTTTGAATATTTTTGTTGTATTACCGATAAATATAATGTAGAATGTATAAAGGAATTAATTATATCCTAATTTAATATATTGTATATAAATTTTACAATTTAAGCCATTTGTAATATCGGTAATTGTATTTCAATAAATTGAAAATAAATATTAAATACAAGGTTTGAATTTTAAACCTTTTATTTATAAATTAATAGACACTCTCTGTTCAACAGTTATGATAAAAAATAGATTATAAAACTGATAATAAATAAATGGGTATAAATAAGACTGACATCGAGTGAATCTTTCTCTTTGAATCCAACTTTTTATTTGAAAACATTAAAGAAATGGGAGCTTAATTAAGCTCTAATCAATTCAGACTATTTGTCTATTAAAACATTGCACCAAAGTTTTTATAAATTGTAATAACTATTACAGTATAATGAGTGGCTAATTAATACAGCATTTTATATTTATAAAAACTTTTGAATTATATAAAAATATGTAAACCAATTAAGATTATTATTAGAATAATGATGTTTATACTATACTGTATAAAAATCCAATAATTTATAGAAATTATATCACATAAATCATACTTTTTTTTATAGTATTGTATAAGTTATGATGAAATACAATCTAATTAAAAACATTTAAGCAATCATTATATTAAACAATAAGTGATAAAAATATTTTTAATTATTTAAACACACTTTCCTTCCCATCCCATAATCATTTGCATTACTATTCATAAACATATTCCAAGAAAGTTTCCGTAAACTTATTTTGAATAATTGACATTTAATTAATGAACATTATATAACATATAAAATTTTAAAGATAATTAGTTATTACCTCAGATAACTTATCACAATTAACTGTACAATATATATATATATATATATATATATATATGAGACGATCAGTTGTTTAAATAACTTGGTTAAAGTCAATACAAATTGGATACGATATTAAAATTATTATTATTATTTAATAATTATAAACTAAATGTTTAATTCAATTGCCTTGAAGTTTATTTCACTTTTAAGATATCAATGCGAAGGACACATATGTCATCCGAGATTATCACTGTTTACTCACATCAAGTAATAATAAAACATATTATTTCAATATACAAATTAATCAAATATTTATAATTAAAACAACTGTATAAAAAAATAGTTTGAATAAATGCCATTAAATTAATTGACAACTAATTTACTGTATTATACGATATGATAATTATATAACAGTTTGTATAACAGGTGTCTCTCTTAACAGTTTTTTATAATAAATAGTTGACACAAAAGTCATGGCAACCAAATGGGGTATAAATAGAGGCAAACATTGACTGAATCTTTCTCTTTGAATCTCACATTCAATTCAATTGAATAAACTGTTTGTAAAAACAATATCAAAGCAATTCATAGCTTTAAACCAATTGACTGTCAAATCATTACAACAATTGTTTTATAAGTTTTTTTTGAAAAAGTATTTTAAGACTTTAATTATTATATAATGAGTGCACAAAAGCCTGCCTATAAAATTGGTAAGTATTTTAAATTTTAATTATTTAATTAAAAATACTATACTTTTAAATATTATAATGTATATAATTACCGGTATATTAATACAGTACTTATTATTGTTGTTTGTATTGTATATACTGTATATAAATTGTATTAAAGTATTATTCTATTAATCGCTATAATAATAGTAGTGTTTTAATAATAAAAAGATTTTTTTTGTAAGATTTTAAGTCAAATTTATATTAATATTTATAAAATTTTATGTCAAATGATATTTCAAATTTTTATCTAAACTAAAGTATTTTCGTAATTAATATTAATATATGATAACACAATAATTATAAATTTGATTACTCGGCAAATAATGTTGAATCGGTATTTGTAAAAAAGTAATAAAATTTTAATTGTTTTAATAAATTAATAGTTAAATTATTAAGAAATTTTTACATATAATTTCATTTATTTTTTATTGAATGATATTTAATTTTGTATTTTTAAATGACATGAAAATAATTTTAATGTTTAGATTAAAAGTTATTATTTTTGAATTATATATTTTTTATTATCATTACGTAAAATATGTAAAATAAATTCATGAAAAACTAAATAAAAATTGATGTTTTCATAGCTGACATAAGTTTGGCCGACTTTGGCCGTAAAGAGATAGTATTAGCCGAACATGAAATGCCCGGATTGATGGCCATCCGCCAGAAGTACGGAGTGTCCAAACCATTAAAAGGCGCGCGAATTGCCGGATGTCTGCATATGACTATTCAAACGGCTGTTCTCATTGAAACTCTTCGTGAATTGGGTGCCGAAGTCCAGTGGTCAAGTTGTAACATCTACTCAACTCAAGATCATGCGGCCGCTGCTATTGCGGTAACTGGTGTTCCCGTTTATGCCTGGAAGGGAGAGACTGAAGAAGAATATATTTGGTGTATTGAACAGACAATTGTCTTTAAAGATGGACAGCCTTTGAATATGATTCTCGATGACGGCGGAGATCTGACCCGTTTGTTACTTATCCTAATTTGATGTAAATTTTTTAGTGACATTTATTTCAAATGACAGGTCATGTTCATGAAAAATACCCGCAATTTTTAGCAGATATTAAAGGTATATCTGAAGAGACCACTACAGGTGTTCATCATCTCTATCGCATGTTTCGTTCGGGACAATTGAAAGTGCCGGCCATTAATGTTAATGATTCGGTAACAAAGTCCAAGTTTGACAATCTTTATGGTTGTCGCGAGTCGTTGACTGATGGCATCAAAAGAGCAACCGATATAATGCTTGCGGGAAAGGTATGCGTTGTCGCAGGTTTTGGTGATGTTGGCAAAGGAAGTGCCTCCTCTTTGAAAGCTTTTGGTGCGCGAGTGATAATCACTGAAGTTGATCCAATCAATGCATTACAAGCAGCAATGGAGGGCTACGAAGTAACGACAATGGAAGAGGCGGCGCCAAAAGCGAGTGTTTTTGTCACAACCACCGGATGTGAAGATATCATTCGTGGAGAACATTTCGAGCAAATGCCCGAAGACACGATTGTCTGTAATATCGGTCATTTCGATTGTGAGGTCGATGTCAAATGGCTGGACACTAATGCTGTGGAAAAGATTAATATTAAACCACAGGTATTGACAATTACTATACCGTAATATAAATTAAATTTATTTAATATAATGTAATAATTTTAAATAACAGGTCGATAGGTATAAGTTGAAGAACGGCCGACACATTATTTTGTTAGCTTCGGGACGATTAGTCAACTTAGGCTGTGCTACGGGTCACCCGAGTTTTGTAATGAGTTGTTCCTTTACAAATCAGACATTGGCTCAAATTGAATTGTGGACTAATCCAGGCAAATATGAACTGGGAGTTCATATTTTGCCCAAAAAGGTTTTACTTTACTAAATATACTGTTGTATTATATTTGTAATAAAATTGTTGTCAATTTTACTAATAGTTGGATGAAGAAGTGGCTGCTCTTCATTTACCTCATTTGGGAGTAAAGCTAACAAAGTTGACCGAAAAACAGGCCCAATATCTTGGTATCCCAGCTGAGGGTCCGTTCAAACCGGAACACTATCGATATTAGTCTATCTGTCGAATCTTTATTAGTGATTATATAAACGAATCTTATTTTTTTTTTTAATTATTATTTGATGACTAAAACTTTTAAATAAATAAATAGTTTTCCTCAAACATTATTATATTTTATTTTAGGTTTAGTATATTGTAATTATGAATTTATAATTATTTTAATGTATGTTACAGTTTCAAGCAGACATTGACTACATGAGGTACCAAACACTAAAAGTTGGGTTTTTTTACTATACAATTCAGGGGTTTAATTCATAAATGGCTTATAAAACTGATGGCTCATCAAAAAATAGTACTAATCCTTAAGCACTGAAAACTTTCTTTTTCTCTATCATTTAATTTCAAATATTTTTAAAAATAGTTTTTAATTCAAAAGTTTCTGTAATTAATTTTGTTTGATTATATTTAGTAATAAAATTATTTTTTAATGTTTAATTTATGACTACCGTATAGACCCGCATATAGCCCCCTGACGTTTTTTAAAAATTTTAAAATCAACATTTGGTAGGGGGCTATTTTTCACTTATTGCCCACATTTCCACATATAGCCCCATATGTCCAGGGGGCTATTTGCGGGTTTATACGGTACTTTTTTATTATTTGCATAATACTAAATACCGTAATTTGGGACTATTATAAATAAGTCTAAATAACTATAAGCTTTTAATGACTTAAAACCCTCAATTAAATAATGAAAAAATTGGTTTAAATGGCGAACAAAAACTATGATATAACTTGTATTAATAAAAACTAAAATTGCTAATTATAAAATTAATTAAATATTTTTATAAATCAAATCAATTTATATATTTGATTCTTATACTTAGCCCAACAGTAAGCAGAAATTGATAAGAATTTAGATATTAATTTTTAATATATTATTTGTTTTTTATTTTTATAAATCATGATAAACATAATTGATGAGTTGTGCAATATTTATGACGATGGCTATAATAATTTTGAATTTTAAAATAATTCATTATTTTATAAATATTTTTAATAAATTTTATTTTTGTATTTGTATAAATAATTTAAAAATTATATTATATTTTTATATTACAATTTTTGTTCACCCTTTAAACCAATTTTTTCATATTTAATTGAATTGATTGTTACCTCTCGTAGCCAATATCTGGTACTGTAACTAACTATAAGTTAAATTATTTAATATATTGTATAATATATTTGTTGTTAAATTAAAAATTTTAATTAAAGTACCGGTGACAATAAGATTTACCGTATGCTCCCGTATATAGCCCCCTCAAAAATTTAAAAATAAACATTTGGTATGGGACTTAATATCACATTTATCCCATCATTGGGATAAAATTTGAAGTCGTGGGGGTAGGAGATGATTGGGTGATGGGGTAATATATAAGACTGTCAATTGTAATCAAAAACTATAGTCCAGTCAATAGAAATTATATTACATATACCGGTAATTTGAAATTAAATAAATTATAATACAGTAATTATAGAAATAATAATTAATACAATAATCAGCTTCCAATCGGTCATTAAATTGAAAATTACCCCCACTTGGCATTATATATACCAATCAATGGCATATTTTAAAGAGGAGCTAATTACAAACATTCAAAAAAAAACTTCAATAGTAATCCCAGAGGCTATTTGCGCTTACAAACGGTAGTTTATTTTTATTAAATATTGTATAAATATTTATATATTTAAAATTAAAACACCGGAACTTAGTAAACATAAAATTAAACTTATTGTAAATAATATTTGTTTAATTAATGTTTACACATTTACCGGTAAGTTTATGTAATACAGGAATATATTTTTATTTAGTGGTAATTTTAAAGTACAGAAATACATCATATTATATAATATAATTTATACTGTAGTTACTATACCTTACTATACCTACGGTAGTATAGAAATACATTGTACAGTACAATATCCAGTATACTACTGTATACAGTATATCTAAATATACTGTACAATAATAATAATAAAGTGTATTAATGTACTGTACAATAAAATACAGTGATAAATTAATATCATAAGTTTGATGTTATACTGTATTACCGGTACTATTAATAGCAATGATTATGTAAGCAATAATATTATTACTGCCTATTATTATCGTCCAAACCTACCCTCCAATTTATAACTACAAAATTGATAAATTAAATTAAACCAATTATTTTCAAATATAATGAAATATAAGAATAAAATCTATTTTGTATTTATAAAATATTGTTTGCATTCAATTTGTTGATAATAATTAATATTTTATTTTCACCAAATAATTTTTGTGCATATCTTCTGAAAATTAATTACTTTTTAATGTGTTATTATCAAAAAATATTGTATAAATTTAATTTTTGAATGTATTATATATGTCTTATAAATTGAAATCGTATTATTCAATTTGATATCAAAACTATTGATTTTGATTGATTGGTAAATAAAAAAAAGTTTAAATTTTAATGATATCATGATTTTTGTGACACAAAATAAATTTGTTTTGTAGTCTATTTGAATGTTTTACAAAAATTTTATATAAAGAAATATCACTTATGATCCGTTATCTACTGTTATCTACTATTTAATAGCTTATCAGTCTATTATTAATATGAAAGTTGAAATATTTTAAGTTTATTTATTTCAAAAAGATATTTTTAAATATATTTATAACTAGATGTTATTAACATCAACTTTATCTATCAAATAGTTTAGTTTAGATTATTAAGGTATAATAAGTTACTAAAAAAATTAAATATTGACAACTGTTTTATAAAAATTGTCATAAATATTGTTGAATTTCAAATAATACTGTATTTATTTTTAATTGATAGTAATTTAAGAAAAATGCCAGAAAATCCAACAAATAATTTAAGTGATAGTTTAAATGAATTAAATGGGACCAAAACTGGACATATTTTGGTGACGGGAGGCGCCGGTTATATTGGATCATCACTGGTTCCCTTATTACTTAATGAAGGCTATAAAGTGACAATCTTTGATCGGTTCCAATTCGGAGTGACACCGCTATTGGCATACATTTCAAACCCTAATCTCGTTCTTATAAAAAGCGATATCAGACTAAAAAACGAAATTAAATCGGCTCTCAAAGATGTCGATGCGGTCATTCATTTGGCAGCTATTGTCGGATACCCGGCTTGCGATAAGTATCCGGAACTGGCCGTCAAAGTCAATGAAATGGGAACCCAGAATGTAGTGGAAGCACTGGAATCGCATCAGAAGATAATATTTGCGTCAACCGGTTCTTGTTATGGAGCCGTTGATAGCATTTGTACTGAAGAAACCAATATCTCTCCGCTAACACTCTACGGAAAGACTAAAGCAAAGGCTGAAACACTTGTTCTTAAAACAAATGGAGTCGTCCTTAGATTGGCCACACTTTTTGGTGTTTCTTCGCGAATGCGATTGGATTTATTGGTTAATGATTTAACCCAAAGAGCTCTAAATCATAAACAGATTGTTTTATATGAGTCTCAATTTAAGCGCACATTTCTTCACGTCAGAGACGCCGCCAAAGCTTTTATATTTGGTCTTAAAAATTATGACAAAATGTGTGGAAATGTGTTTAATGTCGGCGACGACTCTATGAATATGACCAAAGCTGAAGCAGCTCTTCATATATCAGATTTTGTTCCCCAATGTGTGATACAATTGTCGGAAATCGGTGAAGACAAAGACAAACGCGATTATATGGTTTCATATGAGAAAATCGCTAAACTTGGCTTCAAATCTCAATTATCATTAAGGGATGGCATTGAAGAGTTGGTCAAAATATTACCACAAATGTCTGTCAATGAAATTCAACTCTCAAAAAATATTTGATATTTTCTTAAAAACATTTTAGGCTTTAAATATTATGACAATTTATTTTTATAAAACTTATTATAATTACAGTAGTTTTAACAATATATTTAAATAGGATTTTTAATAAATTTAATTTTTATGTATTAATTAATTAATTTTAACTTAATATTTTACAATAAATAAATAATATTTGATAATTGATATTAAACCTAATCTAATAATAATAATAATTTAATTTAAGTTATAATTTGTAGATTTATTAAAAACATTTAGTTTAAAGTACTGTTTAGTGACTATACTATAGATTTGTTAAAATAATTTGAATTTCAAACTTTGAATATAGCGCTGAACTTACAGTTAAAGCAATGAATGTTTGCAATCATTTGTATAAACAGTTTGACATTTGATTCATTGAATTCACAAATTATACGAAACACCGACTATTGTGACCACTTTTGACCGCAAATTATGAGACCCGTGACTGAAAGTGCCGTTCAATCGCCCAAAAGTCCGAAATCACCCGAAAGTGAGAAAAGCAAACGATATGACCGACAATTGCGGTAAATAATTGCAAAAAAATTGCGGTTAAAATGAATGACTTCTTTGATTTGATTGTTATCTGAATGTAGTCTTTGGGGAGATTCAGGACAACAGGCGTTGGAGTCCTCACATGTCTGTCTCGTCAACGCAAATGCTTTGGGCACTGAAATACTTAAGAGTTTAGTTTTACCCGGCATTCGGGCCTTTACTATCATTGACAACAATATTGTCACCGAAGAGGATGTCGGTAACAACTTTTTCTTATTGACTGAAGACTCAATTGGCAAAAATCGAGGAAAAGTTACCACAGAATTGTTGGCTCAAATGAATAACGATCTCAAGAAAGGCGACTATTTAGACGAATCATTGGAATCAGTATTGGAATCAAATGCCAACTTCTTCAGCAATTACTCACTTGTCATCGCATGTGATATCAATAATGAAAAATCGTTGAATCGATTGAGTCAAGTCTTATGGCAAACTAATGTGCCGTTAATTGTCTGCAAATCAATTGGTTTTATCGGTTATATTAGACTTCAAATACTTGAACATACAATCATTGAGTCACATCCAGACAACACTTTTGAAGATTTAAGACTTGATGAACCATTTGATCAATTGAAGCAATATTTAGATTCTTATGAGAGCTTTGAGCAAATGTCTCGTAAAGATTTATCTCACACACCATTTCTTGTGATTCTTTATAAATATCTTATAAAGTGGAGACAAGACTACAACAGAGATCCTAAAGATTTACCCAAAAATTTTAAAGAAAAAAACGAATTAAAAGCAATTATTCGCAATGCTATGGATTCACTAAGAGATGCCATCAGATCTAAATCAGGTGACGAAGACATGAAAGATTTGGATTTAGAGAACTTTGAAGAATCGATTAAAGCTATAAATACCGTATTTGTTGTCTCAGATTATATCCCATTAGAAGTTAAATCTCTTATCAATGATACAAAAGTCTTGTCCGATGAGACCAATGATTCTTCATTTTGGGCGCTAATCAAAGGATTGAAACAATTTATAGCAAAAAATAATTGTTTGCCATTAAGAGGAACTCTTCCCGATATGACATCAGATTCTTTCAAATATATAACATTACAACAGATATATAGAGCCAAAGCTAAAGAAGACGCCGAAAATGTTTATAATATAATACAAATGCTACCGAAAGCCCATAATTTGAATTTAACAGAAAATGATGTCCAATTGTTTTGCAAAAACACTCAATTCTTGCGAGTTGTCGGTACCTCTGATATCGAGTCTGAACTCAACGGTAAAGCACTGAAACAAATTGTAAACACCATTGGAATAGCTGATGAAGACACTGAAGACGATGCTCTTCGATATTATTTGTTGATGCGTTTGGTCGACAAATTCTACTCAATTCACAATCGATTTCCCGGTGATCGCAATGATGAGGTCGAGAGTGATATTGCTATTCTTCGTGTATGTAATATTTAAATGTTTTTTATAAGTTTATTAATTAGTATTTATAATTTGATTTTCAGCAATATCTTAAAGATTTATCTAACGATTTGGGCACCAATTCACTGATTAAGGATGACTTGATTCATGAAATGTATGATTTTTTAGATAAAATATAATTGAAATTATTAATATTTAAGAAATTATTTGATGATTTAGTTGCCGTTACGGAGGTTCTCAGTTACACACAGTCTCTGCTTTTATTGCCGGCTGTGCCGCACAAGAAGTCATCAAAATACTGACCTCACAGTACGTTCCCATTGATAATACATTTGTTTATAATGGTATGACTTGTGTGACAAAGACTTATAAACTTTGAGTTAATTATTAAATAAATCGTTTGTTTGTTTATGTATTTAAAACTAATTAAAACATATTTTGTATATTAATTATAAGTTATAATAAAATAATTTTAAAATATTTAATTAATGACTGATTGAACGTAAATATTGTATAAAAATATTGAAACGTTTGAAGCATTGCGTCAGTGATTGGCTGAAGACGTAAACAATGATTGTTTTGATTGAAGTGTTGACACAAACTAAGAGAGAATGCAATCATTAATTAATTTCAGACATTATATGAAAATTTCGACTAAAAGTCATTACCATATTATTGGCCACTCTGTGACCTCGGAATTGCCGTCAGTTCTACAAAACAAGTGTCCAAACTATTCAACGATCACTTATTTGAACTCAAATTTAAATCAATTATTACACTCAAGAAATGGCCGCAAACTTGTGGCCGAATATCGGGCCGTTCGGCGAATTTTGCTCAACAGTCGGACAGTGCATAGTATGACCAATAAACTGATCCATTCATCACTTGTCAATTCAAGCGACAATCAAAACCCGAAGAGTCAGCAAAATAAATCAAATGACAGTAAAAAGTCGGAACCGAACCGTAATTATGACAATGAAAACAAAGACGAAGAAGACAACGACGAACCCAAGTCTTCACTTGTGGCTAAAGCCGTGGTTTGGATGTTATCCGGGTTTGATATAAACTAATAATAATTTTATCATTTAATCATTTATTTCTAATTTAATGACAGATATTTGGTTATAACAATTATGTCGTTATTGTTTCCCAACTCTAATACACCGGATGTCTTGAGATATGTTTCTTGGAATGAATTCCTTCACCAAATGCTGGCCAAAGGAGAAGTGGAGCAACTGGTGGTGCGTCCAGAGCTTGATTTGGTTACCATTTATTTACACGACGGCGCTATCATTAAAGGCAAAAGAGCTGATCATAAGACATATCACATGAATATCGTAGACGTGGCCTCATTTGAAAAGCGTCTCCGAGTGGCTGAAAAATGGCTGTCAGTTAAACCCGATAAAGCAGTTCCCGTTGTCTATGAGCGCAATCAGGAAAGCACTTGGCTTTTACTGGTCTCATTGGTTGCCGTTTCTCTGATGATATTAATTATGTTCCGAAGCGGACAAATCAAAACTCCCGTTAATGTGGACTTCTTTGTATATTTTGAGTGTATTAGATGTAAATTTATTAGATTGTAATTTATAACTTTATTATTTTAGTCACAAATGGGTCGGGCAAAGTTTACTATGGTTGACCCCTTAACTGGTGGCGGTAAAGGTGTCCGATTTAAGGATGTGGCCGGACTTAAGGAAGCGAAAGTGGAAATCATGGAATTTGTTGACTATTTGAAAGCTCCGGAAAGATTTCGGGTATGTTTTTGATTATTATTATTTGATTCTAATTATAAATTCATGATTCGGTTATTAAATGTTTAATAGGCTTTGGGAGCAAAAGTACCCCGAGGAGTATTATTATTAGGTCCGCCCGGTTGTGGTAAAACAATGTTAGCCAAAGCAGTGGCTACTGAGGCCAGTGTCCCCTTTCTAGCAATGAATGGATCAGAATTTATTGAAATGATTGGAGGTTTAGGTGCGGCCCGAGTTCGCGATCTATTTAAAGAGGCACGAAAGCGGGCGCCTTGTATTGTATACGTTGACGAAATTGATGCCATCGGACGTAAACGAAGTTCAGGCAGTATTCAGGGTGTAAGCGGTGAAGAGGAACAAACTCTCAATCAATTGTTGGTTGAAATGGACGGAATGAGTCAAAGAGAGGGAGTTATTATGTTGGCCTCAACTAATAGGGCCGACATTCTGGACAAAGCATTGTTAAGACCCGGAAGGTTTGACAGACATATTCTCATAGATTATCCAACACTTGATGAAAGAAAAGACATATTTCTACAGCACTTAAAGTCAATCAAATTAGAGCTCAATCCAAATGAATATGCTTTACGTTTAGCACAATTGACCCCTGCTTTTACTGGAGCTGATATTGCAAATGTTGTTAATGAAGCCGCACTACACGCGGCACGTGAGGCCAAGAAATTAGTCAAAGCAGAGAATTTGGAGTATGCCGTGGAAAGGGTTGTCGGAGGTACTGAAAAACGAAGTCAAGTCTTAAGCACTCAAGAAAAGAAATTGATTGCATATCATGAATGTGGACACGCATTGGTTGGATGGCTATTACCTCATACCGACGCTCTGCTCAAAGTATCAATAGTGCCGCGAACTAGTAATGTGTTGGGATTCTCACGTGTTTTGCCTTCAGATCAAAAACTATATACTTATGAGCAGTTATTTCAGCGAATGTGTATGGCTTTAGGGGGTCGAGTGGCCGAAGCTATCATTTTTAATAAAGTGACTTCTGGTGCACAAAATGATTTGGAGAAAGTGACAAAAATGGCGTATTCTATGATACAAAGTTATGGTATGGATCAAGTGGTTGGACCACTTAGTTTTGAAATCAATCAAGAGAAAGGTTTTGTCGGCAAAAAACCTTTTAGCAAACAATTGGCAAATACTATAGACTTTAGGGCCAGACATTTGGTGGCTAATGTTTATCGAGAAACAGATACATTATTGACAAACAATATCGACAAACTAAAGCTAATGGCGGATACATTGCTTCATAGAGAAGTACTCAACTATTCAGATATTGAACTATTAATAGGTCCGCCACCACACGGAAGTAAGAAAACTATTGAGTTCTTAGACTTGGGTACCACTCCTGATGTCGAAACATCGAGGACTACAAATGATGAACACAATCAAAACAGTTCTGAATCTAATAATAATAATGTAAATAATGAAAACAATTAGAATAAGTTAATTACAAATAATAAATCAATATTTATCCAAAAATTCTGTAATTACTTTATTTTATATAAATAAAAAACTTTAATAATTCACAATTTGTGGCATATATTTAGCCGATTTTTGTCTTCGACCTTAATTACAATTAGCGGACAAATTATTGCAATATATATCGTCTAAATATATCTCACAAATTGTTAGTTATTAAAGTTTTTTATTTATAATGTGTGATTGTGACAACTTAAACTTAAATCAAATTATTTTATATATATTTTATTATCATAATTTTTTAAAACTATCCAAAATTTGGATTTGATAGAAATGTTTTTAATAGTATAATAACAGCATCTATATAAACTCATTATTTAATAATTTAATTCAATAAAAATTAACATAAATATCATAAAAACAATTAATCCCTAAATAATCAATTATATATATTTTTTACCAGTACTTATCGGTAATTTTTAAAAGTAAATTCAAACATATTTCAACATTTGTTATTTACTTTACTATAATTTGTTTACTATAGCAAAAATAAGTGATTTGTTGTAATAAAAATTTGTTGTTGTATTGTATTTACCTGAATTATGCAATATATCTAAATATTATTTGTATGATGTATTATAATATAACTTTATAATAAATTTTATAGCAAAATATACATTAACTGTCTATAGAGTTAAAATTTAATTATTAATTAAATATATTTGATGCAATAAGGCGATAATAAATCACTGATTATTATAAATTTTAGTTTAAATTAAAATTATTGTCAAAATATAGTTATTTTTATGGCTCATATCTAAGCTGAAGCAAAGTGTCACTGAAATTATTATATTTATCATAATTGACACATTTGTCTGTTTAGATACTCTGTATAAAAACGACTGATTTAAAGTAAAATATTTTACATTTATTTATAAATACTTTGAGTAAATTATTAATTATATTTAGTTTATTTATGAATGAAAAATATTTAGTAATTAATTTTTTGATGAATAAACATTGTTTCCTTTTGATACTAAATAAAACATTGAAAATTTATATAAATGTTATTATTCTGTTTTCAATTCATTCTAAAATAATATAATATATTAACTTAAATGACAATTAATTTATATGAGATTATGAAATATAGTAATAACTAATTCATTAAAATAATTTTTACGGTATATTATAATTGTTTCACGGAATAAATGGAAACATTGAAAACAATCATTACATTTGTGTTTCAGAATTAATTTAAACAATTATTAGCAATTGGATGCTTAATATTAAAAGATAATTAAATATTATAGTAATCTTTTTTATTAATTTTTACTATTATAAGTCATTCAATTGTTAGTATGTATCTCTCTCTCTCTCTCTCTCTCTCTCTCTCTCTCTCTCTCTCTCTCTCTCTCTATAGCAGTGAATAAGCACTTTAATAGCACTTATTAATTATATTAATAAAAAATTAATTATTTGTTTTGAAAATACTGTACATTATTGTGTGATAATATATATCACACAATATATTACAGTATATAGGTATGTATTTATAGTATAGGATAGGATTGGATTGGATTGACTTTAGTTTTATTTGTTATAAACACCAATCATTTTACAGATGATTTATTTATAATGAAGTTATGAATTCTTAATATAATTTTTTTATTAATATTTAAAGTAATATTTGTAACAATAGTTATAATTTGTTGACATTTACTTATTTGTAACGTTTCACAAGCAATTTTACATCAAATTATTTGTAACGGTAATCAAGAATATACTGTTTTTTAAATAATAATAATAAATGTCTATAATTTAAAAAATAATTTTTTATAAGATGCCAGTCGACGCCGTTTGGGTTATTATAACAGTTCCTCGAAAAGAGTACGAAAAGAATCTGAAAAAAATAAAACTTCAAAACTCCAAAAATCTTAATATTTCAGGTTTTTATTATAATTTTTAAAGATATATTTAGAAAAATAATTTTTAAATATTATTTTCTATCAATAAATATTTTAGTTTTTTTAATTTCTATAATTTTTCATTTAATTTATAATTAATGTTTTATTTTAATTTTTATCAAATCTTAAACCACTTGAAAGTTTCATTCATTAAGTGCTGAATTTCAATGTCAATACTACAATATTTTTTATTTGATTATATTTATTAATTATAACTTATATAAATTTAATTACATGTTTTCAGTCAATTGTATGTATGCTATTATGTTGAAATAATTAATTAATAAGATGTTTATTATTTACTTAATATATGTTATCAAAAAACAAATATATTATTATTAAAATTATATATCATATTTAATTATTAGTTAAAATTGTCATTTAATGAAATACTAATTTCTATAAAGGAAATAAATTGTTTATAATAAGATAATATAATTGATATATGTATTATATGTATTATTGCGGTTATTGTTAGATATTAGAATTAACATAAGTTTGTTAATTTTATATTAAGTACTTTATTAAATAATGTAGTTTCAGTTTTATATGATTAAAAATTTTATGTTTTGTAAATTTATCATAATCAATTTTTACAGCTGTATACATCCATTTTACCATAAGTTTTATATTATATATGAAATATTGTTATTAAATATATATATAATGTATATATATTGTTGGAAAAAAATATTTATGAAATTTTAGTCAAGAGCTACACATTGTTATTTTAATTAGTTTATATATTAATAGATATTATTTTTTATTGTTTCGTCAAATTAAAATCAATATCCATTAAAAAATTTTCATTTATTTAATAGTAATTACAAATTTAAGTAAAATCATTTAATATCTTATTATTTTATTAGCTATTAACGATAGTATAATTAATAAGATATAAATATACAATTAATACAAATATTTTAAAAATTGTTTTGTCATTTTATTATGAATAAATTACTATTAATATTTAATAATTATTTCTAAATTTTATATTCAATATATTAGAGTGTTGTAAATTACTTGTAATCTTAGTTTAAAAAGACTAAACATGAGTGAATTAATTATCATATTTTGTGTTATTTCAATCGTATTAATTAAATAATTTTAATAATTATAAAATTATTTATTTATTAGATGATTCAATAGATGATTTAAAGAAGAAAAATGAATCTGAAATTTATATGGAAAAAGTTGAGTATAAATTATCAATTAGATATTTAACAAATTTATTATTTTTAAATTTTAAAAATTATAATTAAGATATTATCGGATTCATTGGAAGAGTTGCAAATTGAAGACGTGGTTTGGGTTCCCACAAGAAATGGCAACTATTTTCAAGTATACTTTCCGTGTGAACTCTATGAAAACGATTCAATCCTTCATTTTTTAAAATCAAAAGGTTTCGGCACTAAAGCCGAGACATCCATCGGTTACATCCCTTTCAATCTATTCTTTTATGAAGAATTAGGCGAAGGGGATGACGAAGACATTGTTGATACCAATTATGAGTATTTACTAAAATTATTATTTAGACACTATTTAAAAATAGTAACAAATAGTTAATATATTTTTTTGGATGATAGCCTTCCATATGAAACGGATATTAATAACTTTGACTTAAATCATAATAAGAAAGGAAACACATTTAAAGAGATTACACAAAATTTTTTAAAGTCAGTGACTTCTCGACTAACAGTGGCTCAAGTGGTTGAAGGGGTTAAATCAGGTTCAGAAGTGACATTTGATTTTTGTGCGTATACTATATTTGCTGGATTTATTGCCGCATTTGGACTTATCAATAATGACCCTGTTAACATTGCTGCATCCATGATGATTGAACCTATTATGGTAGATTAACATTATAATTTTTATGAAATTAAATTATTGTTAAAAATAAATATATATATTTTTTAATTAATTAAAGGGTACTGTAATGGCGATGACATTTGGTTTAGTGATTGAAGACCGAAAGTTATTCATGTTAGGCGTTAAGAGTAATATTATATCACTTATCTTATGTCTTGTCAGTGGTTTTATTATGGGATTAATAATATTTATTCCGACCATTATGTTTGCTTGGAATCCACCCCCAGGTAGTCATAAAATTATTTAATATTTGCATTAGTCTTAAGAATATTAAATTAAATAATATAATAATATTAATAATAAGCAGGTGTTTGGCCGACACCTGAAATGCAAGGAAGGGGTACTTTAAAAGGTATTATTTACGGAATAATGATAGCCCTTCCCTGTGGTGGTGCTATTGCCGTCACATTACTCAATGACAATCAGGCGGCTCTGGTCGGTGTTGCCGTTGCGTCCACTTTTTTGCCTCCATTTATAAATACTGGACTATTATGGGCTCTATCAACACATTTGCAAATTATGGGTTTAGGACAACAACCACAGCCTTACAATATAAGTGGAACCGTAGTCTATATGAAACCTGCATTCACTCCACAGGAAGGCTATTCACCCTATTATTCATTTGATATGCGAATTGAAAACGCATTGCTTGGATGTGTTAGTATGGCTCTGACCGGTGTTAATATTGTCTGTATGTTAATCGTTGCCTTTATTGTACTTAAGGTATGTTAACTTATAAAATGTTATATTACTTTTAAATATATATTTATTTTATTTAATTACAAATTTTGTTTAATATTAGATCAAAGAGATAGTGCCGTTGAATAAGATGGAGGCGGGAACTCAACGATTCTTCAAACATGATATCAAGGTTTTTGTCAAAAAATCCATTTCATTACATATATATATATATATTCAAAATGATCTTTAGATCGCTCGACAACATAACAGAAAGTCATTGGTATCCGGAGGAAGAAGACAAACATTAGGCGAACAAATCTTAAATGAATGGGCTGTAAGTGAAACCAAATAATTTATTATTTGATAATACACTCTAAAATTAAATTATTGTTTTAAATACAATATTTAAATAATGGTTATATCAGGAAATTTCTGGACTCAACAAAAATCAAGTGATGAGTAATAGTCCTGAAGCTAAAGTCACACAATTTCAGACTTTATATGATATCGTAAGTTTGGTTTAATTTAATTTTGGATTTTTTTAATCATCAGATGTTATAATATTTCAAACTACAGGCTCAAGACGTGGAAATGGATGAGACTTTTCAGACAGTAATGAGTAAGACTACTGGAAATCCTAATAAAGTAATTATAAGTCAATAATTTCTAAACATTTACAATAATATGAAATTTATTATTTTTATAGTTTGGTTTAGGTCGGCGTCTAACTCAACCAATGCTGTTTGGAAATGACTGTCAGAAAAATGTTACACAAACTTTGTCACCACAAGTGTGGAGTATAGAGAATGAAATGTCTGAAAATGGGACCGGAAGGAGGTATACGGTTAACCCAACTACTAAAGCCAAAGGCCCTCATTTTGGTGACAATTCTCCCTATTCTACGGTTGGCTATACAACTGGTCGTGGAATCCGACCAAACGATCTGATGTCTGAAAGAGGACGTCGCAGAAGCACTCATTTTCTTAGGAAGTCATTGACAAAATCAAATCGTTCACCATTTAGTTTATGGCCAACCAATCAATCTGAAGACAGATCTAATTCAATAGCATCACAACCAGCAAGAGATCTCAGAGCTCGTCGACAAACTAGTTATACATCAAATTTGGATAATAATTTCGAAACAATCAGATTCTAAATTATAATAAATTAAACAATTTTCTCTGATCTCTAAGTTTTTATCATAAATATATTTTGCTATACTCTAATAATAGTAATTTTTAAATTAAAATTTAATAGTTTATAAATCATAATTTTAAGTATTAGTATAAAGTATATATATATATGATATATTAATATATATTATTATTATATATATATATATATATAATCTATGCATTATTAACTAATTATAAGCAAAGTCTTAAACAGTGGATATTCTTTTGGTTACGATTTTATCAGATTAACTATACATTGGATTCACAAATGATTCAGATAAAAATTTATATATAGTATCAAAATTTGTAATATTATACATAATTATTTTGAAATTATTTGTATGTTTGACCAGAGAATTGGTACTGACTAATTATTTTCAATATTTTAAATTATTTTATCAACTATACTATAGTATTAAATAAAAATTATAATCTATTATCTAATAACAATGTAACAACAGTATGTAAACTGTTACAAACTATATTTATAATCAATAAATCAATTTAAAATATAACAATTATTATTTGGTATTTTATTTTTCAATAACTTTATAAATTCTTTATAAATCAGAACTTTAGAATCTTTATAAAATATAATTTATATAATTTGTTAAAATATAAATAATTTTACATAAAAGTTAATATTATATAATTTAACATCAATTTTATAAAAATGAATAAAATGTCTTAATTTTTATTTTCATTACATTTTGAGTACTTTTCAAACCAAAACACCATAAAAGTAAAGATAAGAGTTGTTATAACAGAAACGACAAATACGATTATGGGAACAGTCATACTCTCATTATTTGATATCAAATGACTATCTATTAATAATTTATAATTATTTTAATATCAATTATAACATATTTATATTATAGCTAATATTACTATTTGTTGTTTGATTGAAGTCCATCAAAAAGACTTGTATTATTATAACAGATTACGATAATGTAAATTATTATATAATATTTTCAACTCATTTATTTAGTTCATCGTTTAATAAATTTTTAAATATAATTTAATAATATTATAAATATCACGTGAATTTATTATTAAAATAATACACTATTAGTGTTTAATAAAAGACATACCAGTATTTTATAAAATGTCTTATGAATTAGTTATATTAAAAATAATTATTATTATTATTAATAGGTAATAGCTTTTGTCAAATCATATGATTTTTATTATGTATACAATATATATATATATATTATAAAATTTATATTTAAATGTAAAGTACATCAATATTAAGTTCTATATACTGTAGTAGCTATATTAAAATGCATTTATACTTTTATTATATAGTATATATAAATTTATATATAATAAAAAAGCAAGATTTGGTTATATTATATAAAATAAGTTGATAGGAATTAGTAGAGTATTTGAGTTTATAAGAGAATATTCTGGTTATAAATATGAATATAACATCATTAGAGCAATAATATTATTCAAATCAAACACTTGAGTGTAAATAATATCAATAATTAGCATATATTGCAGTTAATCACCAGTACATGTGATATCCCTTAGGGTCCAATTTGTTGCTTTTAAATATAACAGTCACTATTTTACCATTTTTTTTGCTACTATAAGTACTTGTATTTATTAGTTATTAGTTGATCTGAGATATGATACTATGAACTATACGTATAGTTAGATAGTTGTTAGCGTTAGTTAATAATAGGAGCGATGCTTACAATAGTTAGTATTATTAAACTCAATGATAAAAGTGATGTTTTGCTTCTTATAGCTCTAAATTAAGAGTGAAAAGACTGGGATGTGATCGCCTTACATGCCTTACATGCCTTACACCCATAATCGGCTTATTTGAAACACTTCGCACACATCACCAAATACTACATATTATATACTCTCAATATATCTCCCTTTCCCTCTCCTATATAGCAATGAGAGTCTCAAAACGAGAATAATAGCAAATAATAGGCATTAATTCAGCTTCTTATGAGTTACGGTAGGTTTGTTGTGAACTTTCATTGACTGCTTTATATAAGGGATAACAATGAGAATTACAATATATCTAATATACAATACACTACATACATACCGGTGCCATATAGTGTACCAGTTTAATGTACAGTATAGTACAGTATGCTAACAGATCAAGTTGTCATAAATCCGTAATCGGAGTCTCTATTTGTTGGCTGCAATTAATTAAACTAAAATAAGTGAACACTTTGTTAACAAGTGTCTAAATTGGCAGTACTTTAAGCCATTCAAACTACACTTTTATCCTTTAAAATGACTCACATTTTATATAATGCCATGAAATTGGTGTACATTTTCAATATAATTAACACATTTTTAAGTCACTATAACTTGTTATGTGAATTAGCTATAGTTTTCCAATTTACTATTTATTTATAGTTAACTTTTTAAAAGTTTTTAAATTTATCTTTTTATTAATACATATAAAGACAATTATAGACTAATTTATTAAAATAAACGCTATGATGTAGTTATTTAATATATAATATATGATATGTTACTTAATAATATAATACAAAAATACCTTTATTTTTCATTACTTACTAATGATTATAATATATATATATTACATCAAAATATAATTAAATCTGTAATTTTTTTTTAATTTTTAAATTATAATCTTACTTTACAACCTATACTTATAGGACATATTGAATATAAATTTAATACAATATTAAATAATATAAATTTATATTTGCTTAAATAAATTAATATAAATACTTAGATATTTTTACTTATTATAAAAGAATAAAATATAATATAATACAAAATATTTATTTTTATTAAATAAATTAAAATTAATTAGTAAATTAAAAGTAACTTAAATCATAATTTTCTGAAAATGAATTCAAAATTTTCATTATTCGAGTTTATTTTGCAATTATGTGTAATTTAACACTTTATTTTCGCTTATTTAGTTACAATATATTTATAGAGCTTAAAATTAGATTTTATTATGTAGTTTACTATTGATTTTAATATAATTTCATATAAAATTGTTTTAAAAACTAATGTTATATTTTATGAACATTAAAAACAAGTTATTTTTAAAGTTAACAAATTGAAAGAAATATGTAATTTAATAAAAATAATGTAAATTCAAATAAAATAATTAAATGATTTGAATTATGAAAGTAATGCATATAAGATGTCATAATACATGTATATAGCAATACTCTCTCGTATACTGTATTTCTATGTTATTGTATATCTATCTAAATATAGTGTTGACTGCCATTAGTTTCTATCATATATTGTTAGACTTGTCGATGCATTTCAATAATCAAAGCTTTCATACCATTAGCATAGCCTACCATTTGAGCCCACTTTACATAAAGTCATTGAATTAGCGAATATATTGAGAGATTCATTGAGCCCATAGTGAGGGCACTTAGCTTTAATAGAGACAAATATTGCCGAAATAGTGAACAATGTATAGAAATGTTAGTAAAATAGATATACTGTGAAAATCAATGGATATATTTGTCATTTTAGTATTATGTGTATAGTTAGTGACTTATTAGGTCACATACCGGTTAAGTTGGGCGCTATTGTAATGGTTAAGCGCCTCGAGCTCAGGACAATCGTGTAATACTATCTATAATATTATCAATCATTAATTGAACATTTAGTTAGAGATGAGGCAAAACAGTTACGACAATATTTGTCTCATTTTTAGAGTACGACTACCAATGTTTTGCTGCTAACGTTCCCAACATTTTTCAGTCCAATTATCCAAACGTTATTTGATATGACCCGCAGCTAAATGTCATTATTATAAGTACTCAACAATCAGTAGTATTGAAGAGTATATATACTATTAATATTAAAAAGTAAAGCAACTGTTATGTTGTGATCGCAAAACACGTGCCAAACATTTTGTTGCCTCAAATGTCACTCATTGTCTACTAATTGAATATTTTAAGTATTTTTATCAATTTTATAAAAATGTTATCATTTATTATATTCAATAAATAATCTCCTTTTAAATTATATAATGCTTGTTATCAAATCTTGTTTAATAGTAATATTATATAATTATTTATTGTTAATATTACATTAAAAAATATATATAGATATAATTAGATACACTATATAATTCATATATAATTTTTTTAATGTATATTATTTTGCATGCTTTTGTAATTATTTGATGTATTTATTTTTGTAAATATAGCTTAAAGTAGATATTTTATAGTATAAATTAATAAAATATTATAATATAGTAATAGACATAAATAATAAACAGTATTAATAAAGTATGGAATCTAAGGTATAAATACCTAATAAATAGCTTGAATTCCACGCGTTGTTAACATTTATGAGTTCAGATATCCGACTATAAGTTTATATTAATTATGGGTATGAATCACATAATATATATAATTTTTATAGATTTTTATACGTTTTAACTATAATATTACAATTATTAGTTTATGTTTATTATTTAACTATAGTATTTAATTAAAAAATTATGTCTATTGCTTATCTTGTTCTTGAAACTAAAAAAATAAATCTAAAAATAATATATAAAGTAAAAATCAAACAAAAATATTGATATTTTGCATAAAAATTTATTAACAAAATTAACATACATTACAATAAAATTTTTGAATTTTATATTAATTATAAGTTTATATAGTTTTGTAGTGATATAATAAAAAATTAGATTATATTATGTTTAAATATAAAAAATATAGTTAAATAAAGTTATATACATAATGTTATTAATGTAAACAATATCAGGGTTGCGATATTGGAAGTAGGGTGGGATAAATCCGGGTAATCCATAGAGGCCATGATTTTAGAGATTTAACCATGCAGAATTTTTCGGAAATTTGAAAAATTGTTGATTAAAACAATGAGAAACTGACCCTAAAATTTCGGCACCGAAGGAGCCGACATTTTTTACAAATTATAAAATTTTAATTTATATTTGTTAACTAACAATTTTTATGTTTTCAAAACTTATTTACATCAAATAATTCAGCAAAATAATTTTTTTAAATTTATTCAAAATTTAGTTAAAATTAATCTAAATATAATATTATTTTAATAAAATTTTTAAAATGAGCTATGTTTAAATAACTTTCTCTATTATAATATTGGTAGATTATTTTTAAGTAATTAATATAATAATGAATTATACTCTAAATATTAATGTTTTTCTGAAAAACTAAAATTTTTATAAATTTAATGTTAATTTTAATATTATAACTTAATTGAGTTAATTATTTTATTAAAAATATTTAACTTAAAAGTTTAATATGAACTATTTGTTTAAAATGATTAATTTTATTTAAAATAAAATATGATCTTAAAATAAAAATTAAAATCCTAGATTAATTAATGTATATATTAATTATTTTTAAATTTTTCATTATTAATGCAAAAGTATTTTTTATTTTAAAAATTTATGTTAAATTTAAATCATTTTATAATTTGAGAAAATTTTCCTAAAATAAGGAAATATTTTCCTATTTTCCTGGGAATTTAATTTTATTTAAATTGGAACTTTAAACTTTGGAATTTTAAGGAATTTTCTCATGACTTAATTTTCAAATTTTGAAAAAATTGCTTTTTTAAAATGAAATTAAAGTCGACACCCAAACCATTATACTCCAAGATATTTTGTCAGTTGACCCCCAAGTACTCCTCCCCTATACCCAAAAAACTATCGCAACCCATGGAATAATCTATAATTTTAATTAGTAGTAGTACTACATATATACTGTATATATTTGTATATACACTCTACTGTTTCTATTAAACTAATTTTATTGACTAGAATTCATTGCTTTAACTATCAATAAAATAAAATCTACTGATATATCAAACTTAATAATAATGATATAAAATATTGATAATTGATGTATAGATAAGTAAAATGTTATAATAAAGATTATTATCAGATGTAGTGATGAGTAAGCAAATAGACTAAAGAATTAAGTCTTGGATGAGATGTTATAATACTAAATGATTGCAATCGTTAGTCAAAGATTAGTCAATTGAAAGATTAAGTAAAAGATTGAGTCAATTGAGTGAATGTCAACAGCAATACAATGACAACTCATTTGTGGCTCTCTATCCACTCCCTTGTTATTAGAGGATTATATTCACAATCATAAAGCTATCCTTTAAATAAAAGATTTGCTGAAAACAGTTAGTTAGCCATCAATTGGAAACAATTTTCCGATCATTCGTTTATTTCTTTAGCAAACAAAACTTAAAACATCTAAGGATTTATTTTTTGTCTGTTTTTTGCTGTTATTTGTTTGTATTAACAAAAATGTTTTCAAAAAATAAACATAATTTATATGATATTTAAATTAATTTTTGTATTTTATAAATATTATAAATTAATAAAATAAAAATAATCTATTTATTGTAATTAAATAATTATAATTATTGAAAAAATGTTGGTTTTTATAGTTATTATATTATTAATTGTCGTAAATATTTGTTAATAACTATTAATATTAAAAATTATGAATATGTTTATAACATGTTATTAAAAATGCTTTAAGTATTACTATAGCAATTGTATTAAATGGAATGCTATTAAAGAGCTAAACATTAAATAATGTTTACCCAATAATTCAAATTAATTATTATAAAATAATAAATATTATATATATATATATATRATTATAGGCTTAACTTGCAATTATGATTATAATAAGATATAGTAAAAAAAACTTATAAAATTTTTATTAATTAAGAGAATTTATAGAATTTATACGATAAGTGTTACTATTATTATTACAAGAAGAGAGTATGAAAAGCATTGACAGAACATTTAAATAGAGTAACAGATAGTAAATGTAATATAAATTTATGTCTAATGTATGTCTAATTTGCGCAGATGTTGTCTTTGAGGAGTTAGCGGCCAATTGGTGAACATTGGGCGTGATTTATCTTTTATCGGCCGATTAGCATCTCATGGATCAGTTGGCTATGAGTCGACCGTTTTGCCTCATTATGCTGTTTGCGTGCAATTATGGAACACATGATTAACAAATTAAGTGAATCCGAGTCCCGTTCCTCATCACCACAAACTACTACTGGCTCTTCATTTTTTATCAAAGATATACTTTTTAGGTATTTGTTTGTCATTTACTAAATAACTTTATTCATTACATTTTAATTAATATTTGTATTATTTTTAATAAGTAACAAATGTTCAAATTCTCAAAAATCAAAATATGTATCAAACAATATTACAAGCGGTCATTTGGGAGGCATATATAGCGGTACAGCCACTGGTGTGCCTCTTAATCAACAGTCATATGCAGTCAATCATCAAATTCATTCGCAACAGATATTTGGGACAAATCCCAGTTCATTAGCTGCGGCCGCAGCGGCTCTTCTGCATAATCATCACTCGACCGCCAATTCATATGTAGCGCTTCAATCACATTCACAACACCACGAGTTGCTGCTTCAACACATGCAAAGAGCAGCCGTGGCCGCAGCCGCTGCCTCTCATGTGGCCGCAAGTCATCGCAGACGTAAAGCACGTACTGTCTTCTCAGACCAACAACTTCATGGATTAGAGCGAAGGTTTGCTTATATTATAATCAAATATTTTTTTAATTTAATTATAACAATTATTTGTCAAAATAACTTATAAAAATATTTACATATTTATCAATAATAGAAAATTTTAATATTTTCATATAAAAACACTGCAACGAAAACGCTATTATAATCAATGAACATATATTAAACTTTGATTAAATTGATTCATAATTATAGTTAACCTAGACCAATTCACACACACATATATATATATATACACTGTATAGTTTAACATTATATGTACTGTATTTTTAATAGTAATCAGTTAATTATAATAACTATATTTTCTAATGTCTACTGTATTCTCTGAATTAGTTGAGGTTAACTATAATTTTGAATGAATTTAGTCAAAAGTTTAATACAGTATATGCTCATAGATTATATAGAGTTTTAGTCACAGTTACTATTTGTTTTAATTATTTTAGTTAGCCTTAAGTTTAACTAAGTATTAAACAAATCAATTTAATTATTAAGTATTCGAGTAATTAAAAGCTTATTCATTAATAGGAAATTATCAAATAATAGTCTATTAATTTTGATTAATACTGTATTGAATTTAAAATAAAGTTATAACTTATATTATAACCTGAAATGACACTCACTTACAATACTTTAATTTATCATTTTCAATAATTTTTAATAATTATTCTTTCATAAAATTAATGAATTATAAATGTTATATTTATGCTATGCATTTGTTTAATGCATTACATTAAACAGTATATAATATGTAATGTCATAATCTAATCTAATCTAAGTAACATCTAATATATTATTAAAATATTTATCAAAACAATTTTCTAAAATAAAATCAAAATATTTATGAACTATACTTTTATTTGATACAAATTACATTTTGATTTTGTAAATAACTAATTAATTTAGTAACTGTTTCAAAACATATTAATATATTATTTGATTGAAAACATATAGTTTATATCTAGTTATAAATGTTTATAAGTCAGAAGTTATACACAAATCATTTGACTATAAATATTAATATATAAATATCTATTTTCATCGATTATATTCATATTTGTATACAAAAAAATCTTTACTATAGATTTGAAACACAAAGATATCTATCGACACCCGAAAGGCTAGATTTGGCCACAAATTTAAATTTAAGTGAAACACAAGTGAAGACATGGTTTCAAAACCGGCGAATGAAACACAAAAAACTTTTAAGAAAGTCATCGCAACCGCATAATAATACGTCCAGCCCTTTATAGATCCCGGTGCTAACACATGTTAATATACTGTATATGACAGTAATGTAAACCGTTGTATAGATTCCCATTACTATAGTATGACATAAATTTGCACATTTGATTAAACTATGAGTTGTTTAGCATTTATTATCTCTATTACATACATTTAATAATAATAATATTAATGATTTACAAACACATGTATTACTAATAGTGTAGAAATTAACATTGTGTATTAAATTGAATTAAAAATGAGCGCTGATTTATAGAAAATTTAATAATTTGATAATTGATATTACAGTATTAACAATAAATATAAATATCAATAATGAATTATTAAATAAGTATCACAAGTATATTTGATATTTATATTCTAAATTTAATTAAATAATAAAAATTAATATCAAAAATTTTGTATATGTTTTATTGGATTATGTAAAAATAAATTTTATTTAATTAAATATAATTTAAATAATATATACATATGTATACAATAGAAATTAATAAAAATAAGCTTATTATCATTAGTTTGTTTTTGTATTGAAAAAAATGTTTATAATTTATTTGTTTTATTGGTAATATGATAAATAACTATTTTTTAATTAATATTCAATGTAATTGGTTGTTAATATATTTTAATAAAGTTGTAATCTATTATTATACAGCATTAAAGGTTAAAAATACATTACATAATAGATTATACAATATTATCATATATAATATTTTAATAATGTATTATCAATTAAATATATAGATTAAAAATAAATCAATGTAATATTTTTAAGTTTAAACATTTAATTAAAGCATATCCTTTTGAAAAAAATTATATAAATATATTTTAAGATTATTTTTATTATTATCAGTATATTATTAATATAACTATTTTATTACTACAGGTATTTAACAACTAGTTTATACTAAAAACTAATGTACTATTTTATTATCAAATATCAATGTTATTAAGTAATATACTCATGTGTTTTATATTGTATTGTAATAGTATATTACTACATTGTATATAATTTTGTAATCTTTTATATTAACAAATTATATATATATATATATATATATGTTATATTTAATTTTTATCATAATAATTATTATTAGTTTACAAATGATATATTTAATGTTTATTTACAACATAATTAAGTATATTAAATATGTCTGTATAATAAATTATTACATTATTAATAATTGTCTTATAAGAAAGTTTAGGCTAACAATGTGTAAAGTATTAACAATATGATAATTAATTTACATTTAGTTTAATATTTTATATTTTATGTCTTTTGACAATATTTAATGACTTTTACTTGTAGTAGTAGTTTACAAAATTTCATTTATATATTATTTACCGGTATTAAAATCTTATAATTTAATAATTCAGATAATTATATAAATAAACACAAAATGCACTGCACTTATCAATAGTTATGAATCAAAACATCAGAGAATTCATACAATTAGTAATAAATTGTGTGGAAATTTTCAATTTATTTTATTGTATAGAATAACTATATATTGAAACTCAATGACTATTGTTATCGCCGGTCAATAGGCAGTCACTGTTATCTACTTGTAGTCCATAGTATTAGTAGTACTGTACCAGTGCTCTCTCTCTCTCTCTCTCTCTCTCTCTCTCTCTCATTATAGGTTAAGCACCATTTTCACCATTTTCGCTATTTTTGTCACAAAAGATGTGTATTGCAATGAAAATCCAATGATTTTATTATACATTTTTTGCGGTTTGATTTAATTGACAAATAGTGTCATACAATCGCTATTATATTGTACAACACTTTTTGCTTTATTTGTATCTCACAAGAGATAAGTCATGAAATGGAAAATAAATTGATATAAATTGAAGCCATTATTGTTTGCTATACTACTAGTGTTATTCAATTAGACTATGAATATCATTGAATTAACCGAACCGTTAATGAACACTATATTTATCATTGAATAACATACGAATGCATCAAATCTAATCACTCACATCATCACTATATCTCTAAATCTAATTTATTGACCAAAAATGATAACAACTGTATAAATGGTACAAACAGTACAAACAGTATATATTAATACTATTTATTAAGATTCAGAATAGAAAATAACTCGTGTCTTACTTACGATTTCATATGACTTATAAAAACATCAAAATCTTCTATTTATTTAATATTACTAAAACAAAAACTCAGCATTTTTTGCATTCAAATTGTTTTTTATTATTATTTAACCTAAAGTATAACATATATRTATAATTGTATTTAAGATTCTCAAAATTCACATTTTATAATTATACAATACAATAACAAACCAGTTAAGAATGCTAGAAAGCATTATTAGAAAAAAAACTTTCATGTAATAAAATATTATTTTCGCAATTTGTCAGTTGATTTTAGTCATAGTCAAATGACTTAGTATGACAAAATAAACTCAACTATAGTCATGTAGGTTATCAAATGACTCGGTTTTACAAAATAAGCTCAACTTTAGTCATGTAGGGTATCAAATAATTCAGTATGACAAAATATATTCAACTTTAATCATGTAGGTTATCAAATGACTCAGTATTACAAAATATATTCAACTTTAGTCATGTAGGGTATCAAATGACTCGATATGACAAAATAAAATCAACTATAGTCATATAGGGTATCAAATAATAAAGTCAACTATATATTATATCTTATTTTTTATACAATTCTAAATGTTAAAATTTTTACCTAAAATTTTTTACTTTAAAGCTATTTTCTCTATGTTCCCGAAGAGATATCAAAAGTTTAATGCATAGTTCTTATGCTTGTTTTTGATGCTTTATTCAAATCTATACTTAGAAAAAATCTTCTTTAAATTTTCTTTACTTTGGCCGCCATTTTCTATATGTTCCCGAAGAGATAGATCATTTTCGATGCAACTTTTCAATACATTATTAGAAGTCCTCTAATCGAATCTGAAATCAGAATTTCAAAATTCGCAAAATGAAATGCTACAGACAGACAGACTCAAAAACGCTTGTATAGATTTCAGTAAACAAAACTTTTTCAAAGTTTTTTTTTTTAATATCTTATTTTCTATACTATAAATATAATATATGACATTTTATACTATCTGTTTTTATTAGAATAGTTTAATTATTATATTAGGGTAGTTTAGTAAAAAAATATTAATACTGTATAATATAATTCAATAAATTGATAATCTTTTTAATCTATTCAATAATTTATTACTTTTATATCAAATATTTGTAGTAAAATAATTCAATTATTAACAATTTAAAAAAATATAAGAATAAAAATAATTATTATTTTAAGAGTTATTTAAAAAGTAATCTAAAAATAATAATCTAATTATTTATAAAGTATTTACATTAGATGGCATTGTATTGACATTTTTAATTTAATTCATAGAGTATTTACAGTACGGATAATATCAAGTATTAATAAAATGTTATTCAATATACAATGTATAGTACAGTACTTTAATAGCTTTTATAAAGTTTTTAATCAATATTAAGGAATTTATATAAATATTATAAATAAATAATATATTTGTTTATACAATCAAACTATTATCGGGAACTCAACTAAAACGGAAACTAAATCAAAATCTGTCTGATATTTGGTTTGATTTTTCAATTAAAGTATTACTTTATAAATGATTTTATAGTTTTAATACTGTATTACTGTTTAATGTATTTATAGGATAACAGTATTGAATACAAACGTAACGTTATTACTGAAGAGTCCAAAGAAATAGCCATTAATTTGTTTGTTTGTAAAGACAGACATTGTTTGCAATTATAAAGACATAAAATAATCTGTTTTTTTGCCGAAAAGAAATGTTAGGACGACTGGTCAAGTCGGGTGTGACAAGTGTCGGGTCGACAATGTGTCGGATGCCGGTGCGTAACAGTGGTCTATATCCTCCGTATTACAAGCATTTAGTGGCCGCTCCGAGAGAGACCATTGGTTTTACCGAAAAAGCCTTTTGGGGTGTCTTCTTCTTCGTGGGCATTATGGCTGTTCCCGCTTGGATTCTCGTCAATCTCGATGATTATAAGGGAAAGAAAAGTAACCAATAAAGAGGTATTAGTCTATAGTCCACACCATTTGATCCAATAATTCATTTCTTGCATTTTTCTTGCAGATTGTCTTCATTTCTGTGACTATTTATCACCGAAATTGTTGTCTATTTATAGTAAATATTATTATTATAATTGAAATAATTAGTTCATTATAATTAATTGTTTAGTATTTTATTATTTAATAATATTTTTCAAAATTTAACGATTTGTTTGATTTGTGAATATTATGTTATCATATATTGCGAAAAAATGTAGACTTAGTTAACAAATAAAAAGTAAAAAAGAGTTTTATTACATAAAATAATTATTATATCAAATGTTAATTTAATAATAATTACAGTCATTTTAATTGATTTTCAATTGATTTTGGATAACTATTAGCCATTTCTTGTGATATTAGCTCAGATTCAGTTAAATTATTGTTTTTATTTAAATGTAATCTATTTCTATGTAATTGAAGTGAATTGAGTCTAAAATTATCATTAAGTTTGTATGTATTGTAACGGATGTGTAGTTTATTGGAAGGACTGGAAGGGCCCATAAATCCCGTTTGTGTCCAATGGTCAGGAATGACAAAATCAGTCGGACTTAAAAAAGATAACCTATTGGTGACAACTTTTGAGTCTTCAATTGGCTTTAATATAGGCTGACTATTGGTTTGGTTATGACTTTTTGTCTCATTAAACGATTCATTTGATTCTACAGATGTTATCATTTGATTTTTCTCATGATTTTCTTCAGTAACTGAAATAATATTTTTGCCATTATTCGCATTATTTTGTGAGAAATTATCACTTAATTGTCGACTACTTTTCTGTTGATTTATTGGCGATGCCTTAACTATTGTATTATTTTCAGTCTGAACTTCTTTGTTGGGAACAGTTTCTAAACACTTCATTATAGTTGATATTTCCTGTGATGTGATATGTTCTTCATTAGAGACATCTTTAATAATACTTTGTATGAATTGTCTGTCTTTTGAAGCTTTGCTGCTATGAGTTGTTGAGTTATAAATTGTTGGATCTAATGGTTTAATCCGTTTGTTGTCACAAATGGCAATTCCTATCCATTTGTGAAAACTTGTAACTAATTTGTTGCGTTGATTGCCATTCAATATTCTTGACATAAATGACTTATCCTTTTGTTTGTTGCGATGCTGTACTACAAACTCATATGTGGAAAGTCCTACACAATCTGATTAATGAAAAAATAATTATTTTAAATTTATCGATATTTTCCATTTTAACATATCATATATAAACTCAATGAAAATCAAATTGAATTGCTTTTAAATTATCTAATGATTTATGGCATAAATCAGTTAAAAAAATGCTAAATACGTATCAAATTTTATTTTATAGTTACTTTAATTTAACATTTATTAATAAACAGATTTAAAGTATGTTTTCCAGATATAACGCATATTATACCTATTATTATCTATTTGTGTAATTTTGCAAAATAAATGTAAATACATTTTATAGTACAAATTAATCTATAATTGAATATAAGTTTACAATACAGGTGTACAGTACTGTAATTTACAAACATTATTGAAAAAAGACTATTTATACTACTTTTGTACTGATTTTATATATCAATATATTGATATTAATACATATACTTTACATTGCATTACAATTGTAATATTTATACAGTAATATACTTTTCAAGTTATATTGCACTAAATATTTATAAGAAAATATAAAAAATGAAAATAATTTTAATAAATATGTATTTTTTTATTTTGAATAATTATTAATTTAAAAAAAATTATATATCGATCTTTAGAATACATTTTTTTGTGTATTTTTATTAAATGTATAATTTTCTAAAATATTTTATACCAAAGTTTTATTATTAGTTAAAACTATAGAACAAATAATTTCTTTAAATAAAATGTCTAATCATAAAATTTATGGATTTATCATTTTAATTTTTTAAAACTAATTTTTTATATATTTTATACTAGCTTATAATTTAAAAAAATGTTTTCATTTTCTGAATGAATGTGATTTAATTTTAATTTTCAAAATCACATTACGTCTAACTAAATCTATTTTTAAACATCATTAATTTAAATTCATATCTTATATTAATTATAAGATTTGGTATTATTAAGTATTTTTTAACTAAAATCTAGATTAAAGATGTTTCCACACATTTTTTTAACTTTAATTACGGTATATTTCAAACACAGATTAACGACACTTCAAAATCAAAAGTCAAAAATTAAGATTTTATAAACAAAATAAAATATTAAAATTATACATAAATACTATTAATACTGATTATAATTATTAAACTAAAAAATTACATTTTCTCAATTTGATTGAAAAATATTCTATTTTAAGTTAATTAAAACTCAATTGTAAATTATTGCTATAAAATATAAAAACTGACAAAAGAAAATGTTTGAGTAGAATAATCAATGTTTATAAGACTATTTATAATTAAAATTAAATGATAATTATTATTAGTAAATTAAAAATACATTAGTATAAAGTTATATAATTTATGACATTGCCTGTAATTATTATTGTGAAATATTAATTTGATATTTAACAATTCAGTGCAAATCTATAATTAAACTATTGATTAATTCAATGAATACAGAATTTTGAGGCAAATCTCATCTAAATATTTATATTAATAATCGTATATTTGTTATAACGATAGGTTTAATGTCATATCATTATCGGTGAACATGAAATTCAAATCAAATATACGGAACCATAATATATATGATATAACCATATATTATAGTATAAGGTTATCCCTAAAAAATCTTGACATAAAATGATTATAAACACGCTATCGATGTTATTGTAATGAATACTATAAAATCAATGTTAGACTATCTAATGTTTGTCATTAATCATCAATATAAATGCTATTTGGATAAATTTATATATGACATTGAAAACTAACAAATTCAATAAATTACAAATTTCCATATTATCTTTAATTTGATTCCTAACTCCTAGAATTACATCAAAACATAAAATTATAGGATTAAACAATTGTGTATCTAACAGGAATATATTAAAATATTAATTTTTTAAAATGTTAATTTTAAAATTGTTTTCAAACACATATTCTACATATTTAGTAATTGATACGATTTTACATAAAAAGAAAAAAATTAAACAATTATGGTTAAAAATTAATGAAATTTAATATGTTATTTAATATTTTTCAGTGTATTTACACTATGAATACTTCAGTTTATTTCAAAAATTGCTTTAAAATGTTCAAATATTTCAAAACTTACTTAAATACAAATGAAAACCGAGTAAATGTGTTAATAATATGATAGCTATCGACGATAGGATGAGAGTTGATATGATGACCACAATCCATACAATTTGTAGACATTGGTTGATATGCGAGTCATTATTAAAATATAACAAAGTTTTTGTACGATCTATAATCAAAATAAATTATATATTTTTAGAGTATTTCACATTTAAGTGTCAAATATCAACTCAATCATACCATAGAGCCAACTGTTATGATTGAAGTAAGCAATTGTCAAAATTAAAGTGTTAACAAATATTATGGCTATTCCTAATAATGCCGATAATACACAATATATAAACCATCTAATATTATATAAAAATTAATTATTAGATTATAGTTGGATATATATATATATATATTTATTAAAATACCTATAATTTTTACCGCCGACACAATTGTTAAGCCATTTACAGTGATGATCAAAATTAGACACACATTTATTACATAGACTACAGTGTTTGGATTTAGAGCCGACAGTAGTTTCGCAAATATAGCAAAACTGGTTTTCAATAACATGCGAGTGTTTGTTGCGGTCAAACTTCGGCCGATTTCGGGTAACATCGAGCTTATCGATAACGGCATCGTCGGCCGGATTTATAGTTATCGCTTTGATATGAGTTATAAAGTGAATAATAATTACCAGGAGTTTGATGACGACTACTGTACACCTGATAGGTGTTGAGGGAAGTGTGGGTACAATGAATGTAAAGCATATGACACTAATTAATACAACGAAAAGCCAGGCAATGATTTGAAGCCAATGAAAGGGATCACTCAATCCATTCACACGAATAGTTTGTTCAGTAGATTCTGGACTTTGTTTTGACAAAACACTGATTTTGTTTTTAATTAATGCCATTAATTAATGTCATTTGAATGTTCAAATCAAACGTCACTTTTTCATCGATTTTGATCACAATTTATGATAAATACCGCAAAACACTATCTCATGAATTCAATTATAAAAATATATTTTACGTTATAAATAATAATCATAGAAATACCTGTGTATTGTCTGTAAAATCATTTATTAATGGTTGAGGAATACATACAATACAATGCATGTGCGCTCTATTGCCTTGCATTACACCATTGTATGGCAGGTATGACCAAACTCAGTGCATTGTGCAGTGCATACCTTTCCCACTATGTTTGCGTTTTTACCTTTAAATCGATTTTTATGATTACGTATGAATTGTGGAGTTTAAACATGATATGTATTGTATAGTCTTATTATTAATATGATTATTATAGCAATAATATTATATCTTGAATAGTAATAAAATATTCTAATAAATCTTTAACAAAGACATTGATTAGTTATTTTTAAAAATATCTTTTAACTAAACAAAGTTTTATAATATTAATGAAAATAGTAATATTTGAATTTACTTTTTATTCAATTTCTTAGAAATTATATAATTAATAGATATTTATAAATTATATTATTTTCTATAAAATTAAATAATATAAATTGTTTTTACATTACTTTAGTTATTGTCAAAAAAATAATATTTATTATTTATAAATTAAATTCTATTAACACATAATACATTTTTTGTGTATTAATATGTTTATATAACAATACATTAAGGATATTTATTTGTTGCACATTAATGATCTATTATAGTATTATTTAATTATTTATAATGTTGTAATTATAATAAACGATATAAAGCTATTTTCATCAATTTAAATAATAGATACAAAAATTTAAGTTTAAAGTATAATAAATTTGAATTATCTAACATGTTTGATTAAAAAATCACTTTATATAACAATAGTAAAAATATAATAAATTTGTAAATAAAAGAAAAAAAGATAAAAATATGATAATCAAAGAAAATATTTGTAAACGATATCATAAGTAAATAAATATAATCAATATCTTAGTTAACAATAGCTAACTCTTTAATATAACTGATAACTCGTGGATCACTCATAACAATAATGTGATCGGATTTAGAGTATGCTTTGTAAACGACTTTTTGTTTTTGTTTATTCTGCCAATCCTTACACGCCTCAAGACTCTTCAAGTTAACGGTTCCGTCGCCGTCACCGTAAACAATATGTGGCTGTGAATCGGGAAACTTACCCTTATTGTAGACTAACTTATGCATTGTGTCCAAACCATAACCATGAATGCAATGCACTTCAACACCTGGAGGTGTCATATCATATGTCAAATTTTTGACGTCGAGCCACATATTATAGCCGGTCATGTAATTTAAATCTTCAAAAAACTCTCTATAATTCATAACCGTATAATTTCTTAGAGTAGACTCCATAAGCACTTCATTATTTCCCCAAACTTTATCACTCGGCAACAAATATGCCAAACTTGGAAACGTTCGCTCGTCCTCTCGTATAGTAATCGATGGCACAACTATAACACCAAAATTATCTCCCGAAGCAAATGCTTTCATAGATTTGACAGCTCCAGCCCAGGGAGCGGCTAATGTTATAAATGATTGAATATATTTGTCTTTCCAACCCTGGGTCTGTCTATTGAGAAAATATAGAAGTGTTGGACAACCCATTGAATGACATAACAGAATATTCTTTGTTTGATTATTTATTTCATAAGTATCTTCTATTAGATCTTTAACTTGAATTAAATAATCTGCTAATTCATCTATAATCGTATTATTTAATTAGTATATAATGTTGTATTATTTGTTATATATATAAAACTAATTCTTACTAGGTGCTTTACGAAAATCATATGGTGCTCCTCTAATGGATACTCCTCTCTCATAACCAAAATCGACTAATTGTTTAACTAGATTATTGAAATATCCTGATACAGGTACTCGACTGGGATCTACATATTCAACAGTTGATGTATTGCCTAACCCGGGAACCTGTGTCTCGACACCAAATGTATTAGATGTGGTTCTACTGGTGTTATCGTAAACTAGTTTCATGTTATCAATCCAACAATCGATAACAAATGGTACCAAAAGTGCCAGATTTAGCCATAGATTAAAGTAGTCATCAGTTTTCTTATCACAAAAATAATGGGGAACTTCGGCTTTATTGAGCTTAGCGTCAATTTGAGAACCGCCGTCACCCGGAACTACATTACAAACATTTTAATTGTTATTTATTTATATAATAAATATTTGTTTTCAAGAATATTCTGCATAAAAATTTATTATATAAAATCATAGTCTAATTATATTATATAAATAAATAAAATGTTTTAATTATGTAAAATTATTACATATAAATTATATACTTGTAAAATTATTTTGGCTTATTTTATTTTTTAAAATAGATTAGTTTATATTAATACTGTATTTATTATTTTTAATTATTTACATTGTAATTTTAGTGTAATGTGTTAAACATTAAACAATTTATATATATAAATAATTATATTGATTTAATACAAAAATCGATATGAGTGTATACAGTATATATAACTATATCTTTAGAATATTAGATATGTATAATATTTTAATATATATATAATATATATATAGTATACTTACTGTATAAGTACGTTATAATAATAAAATATAGACTCACCCAAAATAATTGGATACAATTTTTTGTGTCCATCTTCTACACGATTGTCATTATAATCTCTCTTAACAATGGATGTATGCAATGGACTAATCGGTAATATCAACACTAATATAATAACTAAATTATTCATAATTAAATAAAACTCCAATAAAATAGTATAACATAAAGTCAAAAGTGATTAATTAGGATATAATTATTTGGTTGGAAAGGGTTAGTGTATTGGAGTCATGTGTTGACTGATAGGACTCGGATTTTCTTATGGATCGACTAAACGATTTCAATACAAGTGTTGAACTATTTTTGTTAACTTTTTTCATCCGCTCTGTTGCTAATCACTACAGAAATAAAAAGTTTTGGAAATATATTTATATTTTTGACTCCAATTATATTTTTAACTAAAATGGGAAGTGAGTTGTTTAGTGGAGATGCTTATGATAGGCCTGTCCTTAGCCTTCAAAACATATGTTTTGTAAAACTTTTAGTCTTAAAAACTAGAAATAACAATATGATTATAATAAATAAGTTTACTAAATATTAATAATTGTATAAAAATTGACTTAAATTAAGATTAATTTCATAAGACAAATCACATGATAATGTTTTTACTAAATAATTGTTTGTAAAGTTATTTTTCAAACAAACTATTTTACATATTAGACAAATTTGTTTTTAAGATAATATAAATAATTACTCTTTATGTCATAAAATGTTTTATCAATTATTGCATATAAACTATTTTACTTTATTTTGTTAACAATACAGGAATAAACAACATCATACCATCAATATAGTGTTATTATATAAATTTATAAATAATTTAATTAATGTGCATAATACGATATATATTGTAAATATATATACAGTAAAATATAAGTATTATCAAAGTAATTTAAATAATGATAATTAATCAAGCAAAAATATAAAATATTAAAATTTCAAATATAATATTAATATGTAAGAAAACATTATATTTAGTTAATTTGTAATCTTAATAAAATATAGTTAATCTAATTTTATGATAATAATATAAATTTATTTAATGTAAAATAAATATTTATATATTTTAAAACAAATAATAAAACATTTAAATGAGCTTGGTCAAATTAAATTAAATATATTTATAGCTATTTGCTTAACCATACATTAATAGTATAACATAATACATGTTTAACTAAATGACTTTAAAGTTTTTCTATATAACTGTTTGATATAAATTTGGTAAATAGCTATAAAAAAAATCTCAGAAAATTCCTAAAGAAATTTCTCGTAAATTTACCGGAAACTTACTTTATGTAAAATTACAGCGTTTAGAGGTTTGAGTGAATGTAAACAAAGACAATATGTTTGAATTGATTTGATTTGCAATCAATTGATTAAAATCGAAATCATTGACAATATTGATGGCAACCGAAGACATGAGTTGTAAGACATCTAATAAATTGTAATATTTTTTTTAAATTTTCAATTGATTTGTCTCTTCAGATGATATATCACCAACGGATCCACTTTTACAAAAATTTACGGTTGAGTTTAGCGAAGATGAAGACACAGAGACTATCATTGACTATAATTTCGATGAAGACAAACAATTAGCCGATGAGTTGAATCATATTCAAGAAGTTCTAATTAAAGACCTCGAAGACGACAACAGTAATGATAACAACAACAATACCTACAAAACAAATGATGATAAGACTGATAATGATATGGAAATTGTGGTCAACAATGATGACGACCTTCTGTTGGGATCAGAAATCATGACAGAGAAGTATCTGAAGAATCGACAACAGGATAACAATTGTGACAAAAATAATGATAACAATATAGACAACAATAAAGACAATCACAAGAAATGTATTAAAAAGTTTGATAACGAAAGAGAGTTAAGGATTGAATTGCAGACAGAATTAGAGTTAGAGAGACAACAAAGGATTCATTTTCAGAAACTATATGAACAACACATGAATTACTCTCTTAAGAGAGAGTTTAATGACTACAAACATATTAAGACATTAAAGATTGAAATTTTGAAATATCGACAACAATTGAATGCATTAAAGAAATCACTTAAAAATAAGGACAACATTGAAGATATTAATACCATTGTTGAAGATAATGAAACTTTAATTCACAATAAAGAAAAATTCCAAGAATTTAATTGTCCCGATTGTTCTAATACTTTCAAATCGGAAGTCTCGATGATATTACATATTGTTAATCATTGTATCGAAGAACAAGAGTTCCGATTGGAGACAACTGTCTTCAGATTAGATGAGTTCTCGGATTCGATGATAGATTCGATTCGCAAAAGTGTTGTTTATTGTTGTCCGCGATGTGTCCGTACTTTCAATTCACTCGACATTTATTATCATTTATACAAATGTCATACAAAAGAGCGGCCAATCATTTGTATTGATTGCAGCAAATACTTCACTCATTTAGACTATTGGACAGAACATAACCATTTGGTTCATAACGGACTCATTCAAAGTGTTAATTATATTGATATTTCATTACAAAAGCATAATTCACAAACTTTAAGACAATCATCAAACCTATCACAACAGTCAGGAAGGAAACAAACATTACCACCAAATCGGAAGATATATTCAAAAACTAATGGCAACTATAGTTCAAAATCATATAAATCTTATTCTTCAATTCGAACAAATGAGAAGATTATTCGATTGAGTGATAAATTAAATATTTTTGATTCCAATCCGAATGAAGACGAAGATGAAGACGACGACGAAGAAACAGAAGTGGAAGACGAAGAAGACGATGACAATGACAATGAAAATGGCAGTCGTAGTGATAGTCCAGAAATTATAACTTTAGATTCTCCCACTCCTTCACCTTCTGTAAAGCAATCTTCTAATATAAGAACTTTTTCAGTAACCAAACCATCAATATCTACGAACTCTAATCTACCGAATAATTGGAATTCGAGAAAAACAATTGAATCTAACTTTACCTGCGATTTCCCCGACTGTGACTTCAAGACAACCAGTAGAGAAAAACTTGAATTTCATGTCAACGCTCACACAAAATCTAAATATAAGGTATGAATCGTATAATTAATGTTTTATTTTGAATCCTTATATGTTTTTGACTTAATATTACTCAAACTAATAGCAATTTTGTTTGTTGTTTAACTGGCATTTAGTGTCCGTACTGTCCATATGTAGGCAACATATTGAACGACATCTTGAAACACATCCAAAAGAGTCAAAAGCATAAAAACAGTTACGTTTATAAATGTCGCGACTGTTTCTTTGGGATCAACTGTAGGCAAACATTTACAGAGCATTTAAAGAAAAGACATTTTCGTAATACCGACGATGAAGATGTCATCAATGATTACATCACTGATATGTTTCGTAACGCCTATTCAACAAACGACAGCTGATTCCAAGTGTTATAATAAGATGTTTATATGTTATATAAATTTTAATTTTAAAAAATAAGTTTTGTCTTAATGTTTAAAATCATTTTTTTTATTTAAAAAATTAATAATTACACGAATAAATAAATAAATAATCTTTTAATACTAACCATATTGTTTATCTCTCTGAAATTGACTAGAATTTCACAGTCATTAAACAAAAATATAATTACATTTACTGTAAAACATCATTTCATCAAAATTTTATGAAAAAGGCACTTAAAAATCAAATTATATTATTATATATTATAGGAAATGTTAATAATATTAATATATTTTTTAAAAATGTTAGATAAGAATTGCATCGATTGTTATACTTTTGGAAAAATTAAATGTCATTTTCAGAGATCTGTTTTTGCAAAGATTCCATCTCTTGTTTTAATGAGTCAACACATGACTGAAGATTGACTACAGAACTGAAAGGGAAAACTAATGTTATTAACAAATGTTAAATGTTTTAAATAAAATAATGTTTTAAATACTTGTTCTCATTATTTGGAGTCTCATTAAGATTTTGATCCAACAGATTGTTCACCATTTCTTCATTAACCAGTGATTCTTGAGAAACAGATATATGATTTGCGTCCAAACGTTGTCTGAGTTTCTGATTTTGTTCGCAACTCTTTTTGATGACAACCGACAGTTCAGTCAAACGCGATTGAAAAATGGATTTACTTTTTCTTAATTCATTCAATTCATAACTATAAACCTGTTTCTTATAATTTTCCATTTGTTGTCTTAATGAACAAATCTCTGTCTCATATTTCTCTTTAAGACAATTCAATTGAACCTTCAGTCCATCGATTTCCTGATTTTTTTCGCTCAAACTTAGACTCAAGTTCTTGAGTTGATCTAAAAGCGGCCCATTTTTATGTGAATTGTTTTCAATTAGTTTTTTAATTTTGAAATTTTCATCTTTTGTTAATTTTAAATCGTTAGCAATCCTTTCAATTTCACTTTTCAGTGATGACTCCATTTCTTTCATGACTTTCATTTCATTTTCACAATCTATCACTTCTTGTTTTCGTTTATCTGCCACAGCATTAGACTCTTTTAAAGATGTCTTCATTTCGTTCAAATCTTTTTTCAAATAATTATTTTCTCGTTTCTCACTAAATATGGAATGTCTTAAGTCTTTAGTAACAGCCCTTTCTTTTTTAATACTTGTTTCCAAATCATTTAATTTTTTATTTAACTTCATTTCCATCTCTTTGAACTCTTTTGTCTTTTCATTCAAAGTTTCTGTCAACCGAATGACTTCTTCAGATTTTGAAGTAATCAATACTTCCAAAGACTTGATGTGTTGATTGGTAGAGTTCTCCCCAGAACTCGACAACTTTCCAATTTGATGATCCAAATCAAGAATTATTCGTTGATTTTCTTCAATAATAGTTTCCTTAAGTTTGATCTCATCATTAATTCTAATAGTTTCTTGTTTTAACAATTCATTTTCATTTTGAATAATATTTATATCACTTATTCCAAGAAATTCTTCTTCAGTTTGTGTCGAGACTAGTATTTTATTGTTTAATAAATTTTGATTTAAATTATTAAGTTTTAACTCCAATTGTTTCTTTGAATCACACGCTTCGCGATATCTTTTGGTCAATAATTTTACATTTGACTCAAGACATCGAATTTTTTCATTTTTTGCTTTAATTATATTATCACTCATTTGTACTCTTTGTTCATCTTCTAAACTATCATTAAAACTATTATTACCGGTAATGTTATTGCAATTAGATTTTAATAAATTCAATTCTGTCAACAATTCATTTATTTTAAAGTCAGAAACTTTTAGTTTTTCATTTAATTCTTTCAATGAATTATTGTCTTCCACTGAAGTATTGGTTAATGTCTCAAATCTATGTTTCTCTTGAGTTAACATTATTTTTAACTTTTCGTTATCTTTTAATAAATGATTTCTTTGTTCATCAAATTTTATTTGGTTTGCTCTCAATTCTGTATTCATAGCATTCATAACTTTTTCGAGCTCTTGATTTTGAAATTTCAGTTCAAATATGTTTAATTCGTTTTCATTGTATTTATTGTCATTTAAGCTAACTCTGAGTTCTTGTATTGTCTGATCTTTCACTTGAATAGTCTCCAAAAATTTCATTTTTTCATTTTCAAGTAAATCTATTTTACTTTCTTTTGCTATAAGATTGCTTTGAAGTCGTTTTAAACTTCTTTCGTGTTTTTCAATTAATTCTTTTAATTGTTTTGTCGCCGATTCTAATCCTTTGTTATCAAATAAAAGTGAATTTAATTTAGATTCCGATTCTTTCTTGTCTTTTCTTAATAAATCATTCAATTCCTTCTGTCTCTTCAAATCAATGTTCAAACCTCTAATCTTAAGCTCCAAATCATTACTATAAGACTTTGAAGTTTGCAACTCATAGTCTTTATCTGTCGATTGTTTTATCATTGAATTCAATTGATTGACATTCAATTCCTGTTCATTGATTAGTTTTTTGTTAATATCAGACAAATTATTTAAATCATTCATCAAATTATCGATTTGTAATTTATTATCAATTAATTTCTGATTTATTTCAATAGATAATTCGTTATTACTTTTATCGTTAACAAGTTTACGATGATTTGGTGAAAACAATTGTTTTTCCGTTTCATTTTTAATCAGATCTGAATTAATACCCTCTAAGTGTTTCATCAATTGATCTTTTTCTTCAAGTGCTTTATGTCTGGTTTCAGTCAATTGTTGTTTTAATAAGACATTAAAAGTCTGTGCTTTTTGCCATTCATTTCTTGCATTTATTGATATTTGTTGTTCAGAAACCAGCTTTTGATGGGTTTCATTAAGACGTGTCTGTAATTTATTCATTTCTAATTTAAACCATTCATTTTGTGTCACAATTGCCTCCATTTCTGCATTCTTTCGTTTGATCTCTTCTTCGAGAATCACTTTTGACTGAACTAATGACTCAATATCTGTATTCATTTGAATCACTTTTTTGTTTAACTGTTTTATGATGTTTTCTTTGGACTCCAAATCAATCTTCAAGTGTTCGCAACTAATTTTAACATTAGTATTGTCTTCGCTGAGTCGGACAATATCATCGCTCAAATTTTTAATCTCTAATGTCTTGGCGTCGACTACTTCTTGATATTCACTTACAATTGATTCCCATTTATTGATTCCAGACTTGAGTTCTTCACATTCAACAACAAGTGTCTCTCTTTGTGTATTTAATTCATCTATTTTTTCGCTCTTCAATTTGATCTCTTTATTCAATGAATGCAATTTCAACATTAATTCTGACCTTTCTTTAGCCATTTCTTCCATAATGTGATCCAATTGCTCGATCTGTCCTTTCATTTTGGAATTTTCACGTTTTAACTCAAAAAGTGGACCATTAGTATCATCATTGATGGCCACTTGACTGAACTCACTAATCATAACCACTTTATCGGTTTCAGTCGACACATCATATGAATCATAGGTTTGTCGAAATACTTCATTTGATTGATTGGATTCAATGCCGGAACAAAAAGATCGAAGAGATATAACTGACTGTCTGTCAAAACTATTATATTCTTGCGGACAGTCATTAGTGACAACACTTTCTTGACTCGACATTCGCCATAATTTCTGGACATTTGCTTTAGTTTGAGATCTTTTAGATTTTATATTTTGCTGACTAATAAATGGTGTCTTTGATTGATAACCCCAATCACTAACTGTTTTTCGTTCAACTGATGTCGATATGATGTCTGGTGGATAGGGAACAAATTCGTGAAGATGTCCATTAGTTGTGGCACCAATAGACTTGCGGTACTCATTGACCATATAATAATTATCCGGATAAGTGGTCACCAAATCGGTTGTCTTCAACGATAACGTATCGGTAGTCATTGTCATCGACATTAATGGTGATGTTTGCAGTTGGATGTCATTGTCCTCATGTGTTGTATTAAACTTGTTATCCATTAATAGTAATACTGTTTGGATTTAGTCATCAAATCTAACGTTAAATCGTATTAAAAGATAATATTAGTGCCAAACATATGTCTCAGATATTTCATGTCATCAATGATTGTCATCAATGAGTGAATCAATGAATTCAATACTTAATTCAAACGACTATTACGTTATATCAAATAATTGTCAATCAATTCAATGTTTAATTATATTTACATTTATTGACAATCAATATATTATTATATATAAAACATTTAGAAAATAACTCACATTTTATTACATTCATTGACTATAAAGTAATTTAAGTTTAAATATGTGTTGTGTTGTCATCACTCACTCTATTAGATATTATATGTGTAGTATTGCATCGATTTTCATAATACAGGTATATATTGTCTATAATGTTGTTTTACTGTATGATAGAGTTTGTCAATTGTTTGAAAATATATATATAATATATAGTATATATTAAATATGTTAAATCTTTAACAATTTCTAATTTAAAAAATACATTAATAGTATTTAAAAATACATAAATAATTAAAAATATGTGCTAATTATCTTTAATATGTAATGAAATGTTAATTTCTATTTTGAATCTATGACTATAAGTTATAGTCTATAACAATATACTATATTACAGTACAGTATTATATACACTGTATATAATATATTGATATAAATTGAGTTTCAATTGTACTTCAATTTTATGAAATCGATGTTAATTTTAAAAAACAGTTTTTGTTATCAAATGACAGGTTTATTATACATCAAATAAATTGCTTGTAAATCATAATCTAATCAAATAATTCATACTTTCACTCAATGCAATCATTTGACAGTACTATACATATATTATTATAATATAACAACATACATACTATATTAAGAAATATAATATTAATAATAATTAACAAATTTAACAAATCTTTTAAATAATTTATTTTCAAATCTTTGAGTTTAAATTAATTTAGCAATTAATTAAAAACAATGATTAGAAACATTTTGGCCATTCATTGAGAAAATTATTATCAAATATTAAATTTAAAAAAACTAAATAAATATTAAATTAAGAAAATAAGGTTCATTTTATAAATTAAATATTTTTTAAGTAAAACATTATTCAAAAAATTTAGTATCAAATCAATGATCATACAATTGGTTATAAATAAAAAAATTCATTTTTAAATAAACAATTTCAAAATAAAATTTTATACAAGTTATAGCATAAGCTTATAAACTAATAAATAAAAATTAATTTAGTTTAAAGGCGTTGAAAACCCGTATAATAATTATTACATAATATTAAGGTAGTCAACAATATATAAATAACATGAGTCTAGCATTAGTTACTTCTAAAATAACAAATAAAATTGTTTGATCTAGCTCAACTTTAATTAAAAATACTTAATCATTATAATTCATTAAATTCTAATTATTTTGTAATTATTATTATTAATTTCATCTGTTTTACTATAAATTAATTGATAAATAAATACTATTAGAACTTAAACTATTAATTTTTTTAAACAGTGTATGATTTGTCTAACTATTGCACACAATCGATGAAACATTTTTAAAATATCTTAAATCATTCAAAAATATATTTAAATTATTGACAAAAGTTGGAAAGTCTTTGCTGTTGGGATCCAAGTATTTGGTCGCCAAACTGTTACGTTGAATATCAGTCAGTGTTTGACAGTTATAAAGATATTGTGGAATAAATTGATTGAAAAAATGATTGAAATCAACTGAAGCCATATTATAAACTATGATATAAATGTCGTCTTGAAGTAAATTCAATGATTTATCGACTAATGTTTGTATAAATATTGATAAAAATGTTTTAATCATTGTTTGTCTGAAGATCTCCTTTTGATATAATTTGAGTCGTGTGTTGAGCAGCTCTAAGGCGTCCAAATTATGTTTGAAAATAGTTATGTCGTTCTCGAGGAATGATTGGGCAAAGATATTCATTATATGAACAAATGCTTCACCATTTTGCAGCACTTCTGGCTTTTGTTGATTTGTTGATAAATTAAATGCATTACTTGTGATTGAATTATTTGGATAAAAGTATTTCCAATTATTTAAAAGTAGTTGAAATAGAAATTCATATAAATATCTCTTCAACTTTGGACAGTCAGCACTGGCTATTGTGGGACAGATCTGATCGAAAGCAAAGCTAATCATACCGGGAATTAGTGACTTGAATACAGTTCCCGGTTGTTGAACAATAAATATCAACATTTTCAAGAACTTTGGAATCACTTTTGTGAGGAAGGGATCACAGGCCGTACCACTCAATCGATGACTTGAAAATAATTTAAGCATCAATTGAATTGTTTTCTCAACGAATTGAAAACTTATTTGAATTCTTAACACATCGAAGACTAATATCAATAAATTGAGACATTTTTCAGCTATAAATGGATTTCCAATTAAAGCGGGAAATAAATTAATGAATGACTCTAAAGAACTTTGAATACTTTTAAATAGTAATTGTTTTGTTCGAGTCGGAGACTCTTTATGGTTGTCCATAATATCACATAAGAGAGTCAATGAATGGCATAATTGTGTTTCATTTAATTGGTGAAGAAGTGATCCATTAGTTGGCATTTGGAGGCATTTGAATGCTATACTAAACGGTTCGACAATGGCCTCAATAAACATGTCGTGATATAAAGTTCTCGACTCCCAGTTCTGTGAGGAATCGTTGTTCATATTAAGCCACGGAAGCAAAAGCATGTTAGATATGGAACGGCATAACAACTTCTCGTCCTCTATAGTAATGCCTGGAATGCCGTTTGTCTCGAAGTCATTGCATGGGTTGTGACACTTGACATGAGAACAAACTCTTGTGAACAGCATTTGCACGCATTCAAGACTTAGAAGAAATACTGGTCTCACAGTCGTTGCCACCGAATAAAAGAGATGTCCAGCGCTGTGACACATCTGGCTATCATTGCCTCTATTATCACATATTATTTGAATGCAATTCTCAACAATTGCTGATATGATTCCCAATCTATCATTATTTGACTGTTCGTCGTTACAGAACTTCTGCAACCAATGTCTGTAGGCTTTTATGGTTGCCATGAATTGAGCGCAGACATCAATGAATTCAATAGATAAGTGTTTTTGTTTATGAAATTTGTTTTTGTTGAACAATATTAAGGCTTGAATTAGTTTCTCTATTAATGATTTGGTCGAAACAAACCATCGGTTAAAGTTATCGGACGTGAAGTGATCAGCGAGTCGACCAACCAGTTTGAGTGATGTCGATAAGTCTCGTAACGTACACTGCAATCGACAGATATCCGCTTCCGATAACTTCAATCCAATTGTTTCATTGTTGGCATTGGTTTGCAAACAGTGCTCTAAACCAAAAAACGACTGTAAGTTTTCGTTATGTAATTGACTAACAATTTCATAGGTTTCTAACGGATACATATCCGCTATGTTTGCCATCAATTCAATACATGTATGTAAATATCGTTGCCATTCAGTTAATGAATCGTCATCTAAGCATTTATTATCTAATTTAACTAAATCTCGTTGATTGTACTTAAACTGTATTTTACGATTTAAATGCATTAATAGGGAAACTATAGGTTCCTTATAATGACTCACTATTTGATTCACTTGTTTTGAATCGTTTTGTTGTTTTACTTTAACGTTGAGAAAATCAATGAATATATTCCAGAGCTCTATAGCCAACACAAATGTCTCGCAATTGGTTTGTTTGAAAGTATATTCAAAAAGTAGACCCAAAAACTCCATTATAGGAAATGTCGACATCTTCTCAAATCGTGGCAAATGTCCACTAATGAAGAGACGCATAAATTCTGTAAACTTATAGATATATTCTTCATCTAAATTATCAAATGGAGATCCATTTGAATGATTATTAATGTCATTAATTTTAGTTAATTTCCTCAATAAGTGGAATGTATTTTGAAACATATTAAATATAAATTCATTTGTCTCTGTATTTGTTGAACACTTTGCCATCAATTCATTGATACAATTCATGGCTAAAATTGCTAATTGAGTTGAACTTAGTTTATGACAACTTATCACAACTGAATTATTACAGCCAAAAGTCGCGAAAACAAATACGGCTGCGAGTGTTGAATGACTTATTTGATAACAAAGATTTAATGGCATGAATGCAAACAATTGAGACAAACAAATCAGCACTTGTGATGATATTTGAATCGATTCTGAATCCATGTCTGGAATTGTTTGCAAGAGTCCTCTGCGAAGACTCAACTCAAATGCATTGCATAAAACATCTATAAAATATAAAAAAATGATAATTAAAACTTTGACATTAAAACAAATATACAAACCTTTACTAATTGTTGGATTGGACTCTGAGTTAGGGCTTTGCGATGGAGAAGGCGGAGGTGTGGCCGTCAAGAAGTTGCAGTGTTTGTCAATAATCTGTTCCATCAAATTAGTCAAAGAGTGTAAAATATGTGGTATTTCTGAAACCAATAGTTTGTTTAGTTCACACTTTCTTTGGGCACTAACGTCATCGCGAGTCTGACTAAACTCTTCAATCGTTATATTCAACAATAATAGAGCTAAAGAAGTGTTTTGTTTGGATTGCATCAAATCCAAGACATTTTGCATATAATCGGGATAACTGTTGGGCCAATCAATACGTGCAATAGTGACCAACAGTTTGGCCGCTTTATTCCGAACGTATTGCGGCGTCGAATGATTGGAGGACAACAAGTAGTTCCAGATTGAGTGCCGACGACCACTCTTTTCCGCACCAAATGAATGCCATTTAATAACAATCAGATTCTCCAAAACAGACAAACAATACATAAGAGTGTATTCATTATCTGTTTGCGACAGATATTGAAGACATTGTTGCCAACAATTGTCTTGTTTGGAGAACTCATTTAATATCACTTCAATCTGTCGTTTCCTATCATTAGTGGTCGACTCGTGAAAGAACTCATTGAGAAGTACTTCCAGTGATCGCAAACACTCTGCAGACGCCATCCTTACAGTCAATCAATTCATATGACAAACCAATTGATTAGATATTAAGTGTTAATATGTTTGACAATCAAGTGATCACTCGTTGGACATGACTGTCGACATCTCAAGAAGTAATACAAACGTTTTGATGGCAATCATGTAGTCGTTTGTCAATTGATATCACAATTAGTTAATAGTTTTCATTTTGTTAGTCAAACAACAGTCATATCATTACATACTATAAAACATTCATTTATTAACTTAACATTCAATTCAATGCATTCAACATTCAATTAATTCATTCATTGAGTCTCTAATGTTATGTAACGCCTATTATATTGCTTTCAATATGTTTTACAATAACAACGTTTCACTTCAAGGATAGTGAGAGTGTGTATCAAACTTACAAATGGTTTTTAAAATTATAATTTAATTGTTAATTAAATTTAATATATTATTTAAGACATTTTAAGACATTATTTTTTATATAAATATCATTAAAATCTTATATAGTATTTGAATATTTACTTAATATAGACCATTAGTTTGTGTTGATTAAACATATTGTTAATCTTAATAAAATACTATATTTTACAATAGTTTTAAATAACATTGAAATCGTTATAATACTGTATATAATTTATCAAATACTAGCTGTAAATCTAGTGATGTACCGATTGCAAAATGCGCAATTGCATTGGTCGGAAATTGCGTGAAATTGGCGCAATTGCAAAAAGCTCTATTGCGAAAATCGCAATTGTAACATAGAACAATTTATAATTTTTTTAAAAATTAACAAAATTTGAATGGTAAAGCAATATGAATAAAAACATAAATTAATTATATAAATTTTAATTATTTTATCATAAAATATTGCCATCTAAAAACCATGTAAAAATAATAATAAATTAGTAAATTCTCTTAATCTATAGTAAATCGGTTGTAACGTTGTCAAAGTTAATTTTTATACATTCCCTCATGCGCGCAATTTCAAGCAATTTCACGCAATATTCCGCAATTGCGGCAATTGAAAATTGAATTGCGAAAAATTACCAACACTATGTATATCTAAACAGTGTTAATAAGGATACAATACTGTATACAGTAAGTATAATATAATTTAAATTAATAACTACAGTATAAGCATATTCACCATAGACTTTAATATAAAATAAAACAATTAATTTACAATACTGTAGTTTATTATAATAATAATTTAAATATACTAAAAAATAAAATACTTATAAATTAAATTTGATTATACTCTATAGTTTTATTAAATATAGTAATTTAATTCATTAATATTAAACAATAATTTAAATATAATTACTAATTAGATTATATAGTATTAAACATCTATAACTCAAAACTGAAATCGGTTTTTATAGTTAGCCTTTAAAAAACTTAAAACAAAAAGTAATTTGGTTTTATATATTAATAAATTTATATATAGTTTAGTTGGTTTTAAAAATTGTTATTTATTTTGACTTTAATTGCAGTTATAATATGAATAAATTGATTATTAAAATAGATTTAGAAATTTATTAGAAAATTTCTATAATTTGTTTAATATTGTGTTTAAATTTATAGAATAGATATTTGTTTGGGTTATGAAAAACTTGTGTTTAGAACTCTGTATAGTATAGTGTAGTGTAATATAAGGTGTAATTTACTTTAAAATTACTATAAATTTGATTATTAATGAAAAAACTATTAGATGTTAGATGTCATGCGCTTTCACTGATTGAATGCATTTAAAGCACACGTTTATTGTGAGACCTGTTTAGTGATATTCAGATGATTATGACTACAATAATGGACAACAAGAGTATCAACAAAACACAACATCTGGTCTGTGATTCCGGACCTTTCATTGTCGGCACACAAATACAGGTTTGTCTCAATTAAATGCCATTAAATTTAGCAAATGTGGTAATAATTGCTAAAACAGTCTCAAAATTTCAATTAACATTATGTCATCAATTGTGGTGATTATTGTTTAGGATTTTGGACTAAATATCTACACTTTGCCAGAAGTGGTGTCTGAAATTAAAGACGAAAACACGAGACAACGTCTTCAGTTAATTCCATATGAAATCAAGTATCGCGAGCCGTCTGACGAAGACATAAAATTTGTGGTCAATTTTGCCAAAAAGACGGGCGATTTCTGCCAATTGTCTGCAACTGATATTAAAGTAATTGCTTTAACGATACGATTAGAAAAAGAAATAAATGGTAATCAAAATATCAGAAGTGAACCACAAATGAATAAAGTAATCAAAAAAAGTGGACACGAATTGTCACAACCGTTGCCAGGCTTTGCATTTGCCAACAAAAATAATGACAAATATAGCAATGAAAACAAAGAAATTTCTGAAAATGTTGGCAAAAAATTAGATGAACATAAAGAAGAAGAAGAGTATGATAGTGAAGAAGATTCAGAAGAAGGTTGGATTACATTGAATAATGTGGAAGACATTAGAAAACAAATGATAGGAATCAGAATGGATGATGAAGTGGAAGAATGTGTATCTGTTGGATGTTTGACTGGTGACTACGCCATGCAAAATGTCTTATTGCAGATGGGATTGAAAGTGATAAGTATTAAGGACGGACTTCTCATCAGACAAACAAAACAATTTGTTTTGAGATGTTTCGCTTGTTTTAAGATCACCACAAAGCAATCCAATGAGTTTTGCAGCAGTTGTGGTAATATGCGAACATTAAAACGGGTGGCACTTACTGTCAAAGATGATGGAACTAAAGAAGTTTTTATAAATTTTAAAAAACCGATTAATATAAGAGGCACCCGATATTCTCTGCCAATGCCCAGAGGCGGCAAACACACAAATAACCCGATTTTAGTTGAAGACCAGCCGATACCACAACAACGGAAGAGTAAGTTTGCCATTCAAGAGAAGAGAGATGTGAATTGCGAGTCAATTCTTAAAGATCCGGATTATGTTAACCGATTGAATCCATTTGCAATCAACGATGTCTACAGTCGGGGCTCACGAATCAATGCAAATGTTCACCGATTACGCAATCCTAATGAAACCAGAAAATCGACGGGAAATCGGAAAAAGAAATCAAATAAATATTAGATGTTTTTTGTATAAAATAACAAATCATTTAATTTTATTTTATCAATACTTTAAAATGATGACTATTTAAAAAAGCATTTTTGCATACAAACAAATCAATTACAGTAATAAATACATAAAAAGCACACTTTTATGTTTAAAATAAAATCTCCTCTCATATTTTACATTAAAAATTAATTTATAATAAAAAAAAACAAAGTTTAGTGTTGTTTGCAATAGATTGGGTCGAGTGGACAATCATTGTTTACGACCAAACTCTAACATTGATTTTTTTAAATTTTTTCTATTATTGAATGCATATTTATTTTGGTATAATTATATATATATATATAATTGTCTCTAAAATACAATTAAAATTTAAAAATGTATGCAAACTTATTTTTCAAATAAATAGTCTTAACATTACATTAAATGGCTTAAGACAATTACATTATATAATGTTATCAAATTGTGGTATTAAAGCCGTTAATATTAGTTATTTTTGTACAATAGTTATCAATTCTGTATCATACAGTTAATACAGTTATTCAACAAAATAAAAACGATTCAATACTATTTGTATTATTGTTAATCAATTAATTATTTCTCACATCTCAGCTCTCATTAGTTGTACGAAGAGTATTGAATGATGGCTAACAACAATCTTTATCTCACCATATCTTCGAAATATCAATAGTATATATAAAATCATTTGTTAACCAAATATATGGGAGAAATAGATCTTTTGATAAATATATAACTCATTTGATGTTAAAATCAATTTACAAATAAAATATATACCTTTAACCTACAGTATTGTATATACTGTATACATCGGTAATTATATAAATTAAACTGTATTTACAATTTATATGATTTGTTTAAAATAACTAAAAAATAATATATTATTATCTATTTGTTTCTTCGGGTGTTTGTGAGAGATGTTTAGGCGTACATTCATCCCCTCTGTGACCAATTTCGCCACAATTATAACACGAGACGATAGCTTTGGCACATAACTCATCGCTTATTGTCTGGTGTGGTATCGTTGATATTACATATGGAGTTTGATTTGGCAAAGACTCAACCGGTACTATAGTATGCGCCACAAACTCGGCGTTTATCGGTAAAGGAGATATGGCCGCTACTGAAGTAATTGAAGATTTACTCGAAACGGGAGAGTTTGTTGGAGAAGTGGTTGACACAGACGGTGCCGTCATATTTGAAATCCGCAGATTTTGTATGGGAGGTGCCGTATATGACAGGTTGGCCACTGGATGAGCCATATAAGCAAATTGCTGTGTATTTTGGTGTCCAATATTGGGATGAGTGTGACTATGTGTGTGACTGTGTGTTGGCGGTCCTCCCGCTGTGCTTTGAGCGTGAGTTTGTGTCGTATGGCCACCAATGTGTGTGTGAAGGTGTGTGGAGTGAACCGGATGTATGGCCTGATGTGCGCCATAATTCGGGTATTGATTTGTCGTATAATTAGTATTCTGTCGGTAATGACTTTGCCTAAAGGCTTCAATGGTCTGCACGACGTCTTCTTTCTGTTTGGTTAACAGATCTCTCTGTTCATAACTAAAGGCTGGTGAGTGAAGAGCCATTGTTAACAATAATAATATTCCACTAAACATATCTTCTAACTCATAGATACTCTTTCTATATGTTAAATAGCGACTGACAGCTGATCCGATTTGTTGAGCCGTAAGTTGAGTCCGAAGAGCTTTGAAAGCAATGGTCGAACAGTTTCTATTAGTCGGTGATAACAGACATAACGACACAATAAGTCGCGATCTTGAAGACAGTTGTGACAAATTACTAGAACTGCTTGGAGGAGAAGGCGCTGCTGGAGGTACTGAACTTATTAAGTCGTTTTGAGTACCATTAGGTGTGGCCATCTCTGATATGGTGTTCTTCACCGACATTGCATTTGTCTGCAGGTCAGAGTTAACCGGATTTGCTTTCAGATCATTAGTATCGACAATAATGTGAGTGTCGGCCAAAAGATCGCATTTGCAAATGATGTCCAACTCTTGATATGCATTAGCCTTCTGTTCGGCCTCTCGTAAGGCGTTTAAGTCTTTTTTGGCCAATTCTTTGATTATGGACTCAAAGAATCTGATTTCAAGCGGAATACACATTGACATGAGTCCGCACATCAGTTCAATCCGTTTGGCACCCGATTGCTCTTTGAACCAATTGAACACTTCTTCCTTATATACCATTGCTTTCAATTATGTTGATTATCACCAAAACAATCAATATTTGTGTATAACTTAAAGACAAACAATATTGCAATAGTCTTGTATCGGCAATGAAACGATGTCCGATATGATAGTCCAGTGACCAATGATGATGCCGTCGGCAATGTTTTAAATGACCAAATGGTTCATCTAATGGATGGTAAAGACAACCAAATCAATGCAAAACTCAATCAATGTTTTCTTTATTATAATTATTGCTTCAAAAGCATGAATTCATTTACACTGTTATTCAATGAGACTAATACTCAACACATTCACACACTCTATACTACTGTTATATACAGTATATATTGTATACAACTATTCAATGCTAATATCAATACACTATATAATACACAACTCTATACAATACATACAATACATACTCAACACTCAAATGTCCACAAAAAATGCCAAAACGTCGGATCAAACATATAGTATGTTATCATTTAGACACACATTTCAATACATTTTTAAAGTAATACTAATTTCAAACTCTAATAAACATTTACATAGCATTCAAATTAATCAAATTATTACAAATTTTATTAAACATATCTATTATATAATTTAATAAACAGTTTTAAATATTTTTTAATTGATTCAAACTCTATATCTAAACGAAAAACATGTCTTCAAATGAATTCAAAAATAACTTTTACTTTTATTTCACATATTTTTTATAAAAGTTAATTATTTAAATAAAATAAAAACACATTTATATTCAATATAAAAAATATTGAATTTAGTAGAAAAAATTAATTAATTATTTAATCAAATAATAATAATTATTATTATTTAAAAAAATATTATTAATAGTTATTAAAATATCTGTTATTGAAATATGAATCGTAACGTAATTTATGAACAGTTGATATATAGTGAACAATGTTGTGATTCATGTGTTTTATTTATCGGACAGTTGTGTTAAAAATGGCGTCAACTGGAAGTGATTACTTGATTGATGGCAAAGACTTATACTCTTTACGTGTCATTGATTTGAAACAAGAGCTTCAAAAGCTAAACATTGCTTTCAAGAGTAACGCCAATAAAGCACAGCTTCAGGCGCTTATCATTGAGGTATAAAACCAGACCATCGATGACCACAACGCCCATCATTTTATCGGTTAAGACATTATTACTAATTAATTGTATTCTTATATGACTAGCATTTAAAAGATTCTGCAGAAACTGAAGACAAAACAAGCGAAGACTCAACAAATGAGATCCAAGAATCAGTTAATGACACTAATAATGTCCATTTGGCTGAAGATGTCAATCAAGAATCAGTGACTGACTTATCCACTGAAGCCGGCATCACATCTTCGCTATCATTTGGCGACAGAAATTCAATTAAATTGACAATAAAATTACAGCCAAATGATAGTCCTAATAGACAATTGAGTCCAAAGAAGTCGCCGGTAAAAGAGATGAGATCTCCAGTTATTTCTCCAATTAGACCGGAAGATGATGTCAAACAAGTCAAAGAAACAGAGATTGTCTGCGAGAAATCATCTGAGAAACTAAGTCCTGTAAAAGATGACATTCAAAAAGAAGTGGTACCAAAATCTAGGGAAAAGGATGACTTAAAAGAAGAAATCACTTCTCATGTTATCTCACAACAAGATTCTGTATCTGAAGCGCCAAAACAAGATGTCATCGACGATTCGCCACAGAAATTGACTAAAATTATTGACGAGAGTTGTGATAATGAAGGCTTAAATATCCCACAATTGTCACAAACAGATTCAAATGATTCCAGTTCTACGGAAAAGACAGATGAATCTCATGAAGAAACTTTAGAAGAGGAAGTAAATAAAAAAATTGTTGAAGAAAAAGATACAAATGAAGAAGTTGTTAAAAAGTCTGAAGAATGTATTGTTACTAACCCTGAAAAAGAAAAGTCAATTGAAGAACCAGTTGTTACACAATTGGAAGACGAGAATAATAAAGAAGAAAAGGATATAATTAAAGAAAAACTTGTTGAAACAGAAGCTAAAGAAAAGAATGAAAAGGAAGAAGAAAAGAATGAAAAGGAAGAAGAAAAGAATGAAAAGGAAGAAGAAAAGAATGAAAAAGAAGAAGAAAAGAATGAAAAAGTAGAAGAAAATGTCGAAAAGGAAGACGTAAAGATTGAAAAGAAGAAAGAAAAGACAGAAGAACTTCCTCGTCCTCGAAGGCGACGTTGGGGTGGATCTAATGCCAGTGAATTACAATCAAATATTAGAAAAGGTATATCTAGTGATCAGCTCAAGGAATTAGTTCCTGATTTGGAAACAAGTAATAGCAATGCAAATGCTGAGAGTGTGAACACATCAAAGGTGAGTAAATCTGATACAAGTATTGTTGTAACGAGTAGTCTATCACACAATCAAACCACCGCTGAGACCAATGAAATAAATACAAAACGAGACATTCGTGTCGTCAGAAAATCAATTTCTGTTGCAGAAGAGGGTCAGATTGGTGTCAATGAAACAGTCAAATCATCGCCGCAACAGAATATTGAAATCAGGAAAAAGATTGTCATTGAAAATAAACCTAAAATTGAAGAACAATCGCCTAAGAAGCGAGAAGTATCTCCAGCGAGAAACGCGGCCACAGAAGTGTTGTTTATCCAAAACCTCGTCCGTCCGTTCACTTTACTGCAACTTAAGGATGTTTTGGGTAAAAATGGAAAAATAATTGAAGAAAGGTTTTGGATCGATAGGATTAAATCAAAATGTTATGTCACTTACGAAAACATCGATGAAGCGATCGCTACTCGTCAAGCACTTCACGGCACTCAGTGGCCAACTTCTAACCCGAAGCTACTCTCTGTTGATTTTTCTACTAAAGAAGAGTTGGATACCTATTTGGTTGGAGAGACTGTAGTCAACAGAGATTTAATTAAAAATAATAATGAAAATGTAAACAATAATAAATACGATATTGTTATCAAAAATGATGAAAACAAACCCGCATTACAAGAAAAAGATTCAAATAACAGTGAGAGTCGACCCATAAGAGAGTGGGACAGAGAGAAATTGGTTCCAAAAGAAGATGAGAGACGCAACAGACGTAGACCTATCAGTCCTGTTACAAGAGATCGGAGCCAAGAAAAAGACGTCAAACGTCGTCGACAAGGTATGGATACTATTATTATTAACATTTATACCAAATATTTATAATCAAATGTATTGATTAGAAACATCAAAAGATGGCGAACGTCGAGTGGCAGACTCGACATCGGGAGACCAAAAAGCAGAAGTTGCTCAACAAGAACCCGAATCTCCTGCCAAACTATTGGATGATTTATTTAAGAAAACAACTGCAACGCCCAGTATATATTGGTTACCATTAACTGAAGAACAGATTGTTATCAGAGATGCACTCAGAGCTGATGAAGAAAAGAAGCGAAATGAAGAAAGGAATACAAGAGAAGAACATATGCGACAACGACAAGACGAAAGACGACCTGTCGATGGATTTAGAAATGTTTGTATTGAATGACCGGTTCATCCAATATATTAACACTTAAAATGAATTATAGGAACGAATGCAAAGACAAATATCTCCAGTTCGTCGAAACTTTGGTCGCCGTTCACCGCCACGTCGTTCACCACCTCGTCGTTCACCGCCTCGACGTTCACCTATGGCTCGTCGTTCATCTCCAATCCGTCAGCGAAGATCACCTCCAAATCGCTTTTCCCGTTCCCGATCTCCAGCAATGCGAAAAAAACGATAACTTAAAGTAATATGCGTTACTCTAATGGACAACAACCTACTCAACACTCACTCCACATTAAAATCTAAGAATTGGACGAAAAGTGCTAAATATTGTGATGGATTGGTCCAACTGGTTGGACAACGATTCAAATGGATCAGTGGTTCAAATTGATCGACAGATAATTAAATGGTAATAATTAGTGACTTCGTTCTCTTCTTTACTCTTTCTGTAATATTTTTTCAAATAGTAAGTGAATGAGTGACTAATGATTTCTGTGTGAAAGTGAGTCGTTATCTATTATTTTCCCTTTCTATGTGTGTTTGGTGTGTGTGTGTATGTATGTGTGTGTGTGTGTGTGGTGTGGTGGCTGTTTAAGTATGTATATGTTGTGTGTGTGTGTGGTTGTATTCAGAAGAGGCGCATATATTTTTTTACAGAATAATAATTGACATCAAATCTCAGGTTATTTTACCATCAAAATCGACTAATTATTGAAATGCGAAACAAATATAATAAGTTAATTAAAATCGATTGAAATCATTAAATCAAATATTAATTGAAGTGAAAGACAACAACAAATGTTTGACAAATTGGTGTAATATTCGTGTTATTTATAATTTCATTTTAAATAAGTTGAACTTAAATTACAAGACACTTACAAATTGACAATATTGTTGATTAGTTTCATCACACAAAACAAATGTCAATTTATGTAACAATGAAATACAACCAATCGATGCTTTGTTTGTAATTATAATTTTGCACAACATTTTTATCTTCATTTCTATTAATGCCTTAAATTCAAACCATGTTTTCTATATATTGCTATTTAATCAATAGTGTTATTTTGACAGTAAATAAAATGTTAAGATTTTCAGTTGAATTGCAAATAATTCTTTATTTAAAAATCTTTATTATACTTAAATCAATAGAATTTACATTTAAAATATTATAACATTTGTTCCCAAAAAAATAGACACTAAATATAAGTGGTTTAAAATACTTATGGTATTTATAATTTTTTTAATAACAACTAATTGTATAAATAAATTGCAATTACTCTTATTTTACTATATAATTCATTTCAATGTATATAAATTATTCAATTAATAGTAAAAATATAATAAAAATTTCAAAATAAAAAATTGTTTGAATTTGAATGTAATATAAAAGATAGGGAGAAAGTAACTGATTATTTTATTATATCAGGCTTTCATTTATTTGTAAACATTAATTAAAAAACATGCATTTATTCTAAGAGCTTTTAATTTATATTATATTAATAGAAAAACAATAACATTTTAGAAGACAGTGTTAAAATATCAATGACATTGATAACTGATTTGAAATTATAATGTTATCAATAATTTTAAGAGAAGTTATGCAAATAATATCTATAAACAACAGTAGCGAGTAGTGCAAAGCCGACGGGTATGGCCCACGAGCGCCAACTGCTACTGTCACCCGATGGGACCGGAGTAGAGCCCCAATGGTTTTTCTCCTAATTGGACACCAAAAGAGATTTCAAATAATCATTTTATAGTAATAGTTATTAATATTTAATCATTTATATTGGAAATTATTATTGGATATTTGAAAATTCTGGTTAATAGGTTAAACAAATATAAGTAATTGAAGCCTCGCTTAGTTAGTTAGAAAATGTTAGGAAAGAGGGAAATGCATGCAAACTCAGGTATATATTTAACAAACATTTATTATATTAATTGTTGATCTCTACCCTAAAAAAAATTTGATGCGGTTTTTGCATTTTTTTTGTTTGACAATCAATTGACTCAATTGATCTCTACATTAAATCGCAAGACTTTTGAGTTTTCTATGAGAAAGTTAACATTTATAAACAAAATTAACATTTTCGGGACGTAAAGCATTATTGCATTAGTTTTTATAATAATAATAAAATAATATTTACCTGAATTTTCTTAGTCTTTTGCTTGTCCTCCTATAATATAAATTATACATTAAATTATCATTAATTCATTCAAAATACTTATTTTGGTTAACAAGTTTTATATATTAAGGAAATGTTGACATTTGTCAATATAAATAATTGCAATTTTATGTTAACTATTCAACTAAAGTACAATTTTTTTAATATAAAAAATCTATTTTAATGTTTTAAAAAATAGATTAAGATTATCTATATTAAAATTATTTGCTTATTATAAACTTAAAATATTGACATAAAATTGAATATAATCAACAATTATTGTTAATAGATTGTACCCAAAATTTAAACAATCAGTTAATTGATACAACACATGAAAATTAGTTGATATTTTGGGCACATTTTTGAGTGTTTGGTACAAATCTGTCTGTGCTTTCATATGACAGCAATGTATGTCTTTTACAGTACATTGAGTTAAGTTGTCTGTTATTTTCTTAACTAATTATTACCAATAATATCGAGAATTTTCTATGAATTATCTTTCAATGTCATTCATTTAAGTTTACTTTTACTTTAAAACCATTTAATTCATATTATTTTATAATATATTTTGTTAATAAACTGCACTTAAATTATATACTATATTATATTGTCGACTTTGTAAACAGTTTTCAGTACATTTGGGACAATAAGCACTAATACTATATTTTAGTACAATTATATTACCGGTACATAAATACCACATTTTTTTTTGTTTTATCATTTAATTTAATACTTTTTATATGACTAAGGATTAAAAAATAGGTAATTATTTTAAAAATTTAAATAAACTTTTAAATACTCATCTCATCTATAGATGATTAGATTTTTTTATATATATTATACATTATTTTTTTATATTAAAATTTTCATTAACTAATAATCATTTTAATAGTTATTTAATGTTTAAAATTAAATTGCATGAAAATGTTGCAAATCATTGTAAAAGTAAGCATTTTTACCCTAAATATTAATTACGATATATTTTTTTAGTAATTAAGGAAATTTTTTTACTAATTATTTAATTATTAATAATTTAAATGTTTAATAAAACCAAAAGTATACAAAAATTCATTAATTTATAATATAAAACTTTTTTTTATTAACAAACGCCAGCAAAATAAATACCAGTAGTTATTTGCGCTCTCATTAAATCACTTAAAATACTTAAAAACTAGTAAATCATTTGATAAAGTAATGTCAAACCTCACAGAGCTCTCCAATCTTGTATTGAATCATCAGTTCCCGAGCATCGGATGAATGTCCGACGTCTTCAAATGATTCAGTCGCGTCCCGACCCGCCTGTTCTATCAATACTTCTTCACCTCCCGGATGCTAACAAACAGTCAATCAATTATTCACACAATTATGTCAATCATTTCATAGATCAGATGACAACATACCTCCTCAAGAAATTTGGTCACATCATAGACCGAGTCGTGAATCAATAGCCAAACAGACTTCTTCTCGTTATGTTTTGCCACTTCTTCTAATGTAAATTTCTTCACTGATTCAGCCATTGCTCTGTCAATCGTTTAATAGTCTAAATCAAAAACACAAATGAAGACAAACTTTTAAATTAAAACCAAATCTAAAATTCAAATGAAATGAAATGTTGAGTAAAATCAATATAAATGAAACAAAATTGAGATAAAAATTGCGATAAAAAATATATGAAATCTATTTAATGTTTAAATCAAATAATTTTTTAGATAATAATTTTATTAGACATTTAGCTAACATTATATATATTGTATGACTGTTTGGCATTTGATTGGACACCGATTGACACCACAAGAGATAGCAATCAATTGATTTAATATATAAATCAAATCAAATCATTAAAATGACTTACAATTCGATGATTTTGATGACAGTCTATAATCACTGAAACAATAGTTTGTTTTACAATCAATTAATAAATACTAACTAAATATTAATAATAGTCGACGTATTGTTTCACTTAAATTAATACACTGTTTGACACAACTATGTGTTTAAATATCAATACAAATATCGTTACATTAAATGACAGATATTTTGAGTCCCCATTCAAACTGTTTGATGGCTTTCACTCATTGACTATTGGCTTAAATGAAATGCATAGACAATAGCAAAGACCCCAACCCTACAAACGTGTCGTCACTTGTAATGACTGTCCCTTTAATAACACGTTTGCGTATTTCAATCGATAGACAACTCTTTAGTATAGAGTTGAGGAAAAATCCTTGAATTGCTTCATACATACAGACTGTATAATACAGTCATCGCTTTCATGTCTATTATATTAATACAAAACTATAATATACTGTACACTGTGTACAGTATTACAGTATTCAACAGTTATTTTTTCATATCATTATATAAAAAAGTTTCAATGCTTTCAATTTCTTCAATCATTTTAAGAAATATTTAATTATTTTACATTAATTACATTACAGAAATTAATTGAAGTAAAAATATACTATTTTATATTACATTCTTCAATATTAGTTACGATATATACAAAAATTAATATCATAACTGATTCATAAGTAATGTAAAACATTTATATAAAATATTTTTTTACTATTAATTTTAAATTGATAAAAAAAATAAGCATTAAATATATAAAATTTTGATCTTTAAATATCGAAAAAAAATAAAAAATATACTTTTTATTTTAATAAATTCAAAAATAAATTAGGAAAATGTGCAAATAATTATATAATTTATCCGCCATAAAGTAACCGGAAATATTAGATATTAATTTACATTGTAATTAATAGTTGGAAACTTTGATACAATAATTAATAGTAAACATTGAAATTTATTAAAAATAAAATCGTTTATATATTTTTAGTTAACATTAAAACTAATTTAAGTTCATTATATTAAATTATTGAATCATTTTTTAAATATTTTTATATACAGTAAATAATTTTTTTTGAAAATATTTTTGTTTCCTTATTAAGAATACAATTATTCTTCAAAATTGAAATTTTTGTATTTAATTAATATTTAAATAAAAAAATAGATGTATTATTAATAATTGTCAGCAAAGATTTATTTCAATCAAACTTTAAATAGTATTTTTAAGTAAAATATATTTTTAATACTTAATTTAACATTATCAAATTGTTATATTTATTATGATTTTAATTTAATATTATTAAATATGAAATAGTTTATATAATTTTAAATTTTATTGTATTTATATTTTATTATACATACTTTGCTGCTTTTATTTGCTTTTATGAATTATTTCAAATAATTATAAACTTAGTTTTGACTGTTATCATGGTTATTTATTGATTTAATTGAATATTACTTTACTAGTTAAAATTTTATATGATTTGTATGAACTACTTATTATGATGACTTAATTCATAAATTTAATTAAATTACTAATTAAAAAATATTTAAATTATTTATATAATGTATTGATTGAAGTAAAATGATTTACAGGTAATGTTAATGTGAATTCTAAATATTTATTGCACTTAAAATTTCGTTTATTTAACTAAACAAATATAAAAATAATAATAATTCATTTCTTTTGAATAATTTAAAATGTTTTAATTGTTTTCTATTTAAAAAATGATAAAAATTGTTAATAATATTTCTTTAATAGTGACAAATAAATTTACAATTATTTACAAGATTTAAATGATGCAAACAATATGAATAGTAAATAAATGCAAAATTTTTTAATTAACTCCTAATCTTAGACTTAATAATATAAATTAAGATTATTTGTCTTCAATTTTTTTATGAAACTGTATTATAAATTATATTTAATATAAAAATAATTTAAATAAAATATGAGAATATCATCCAATAATTGCTGAATTTCAAACTTTTATTTCAAAAAGTGTCTTATTTTTCAAAATATTACTATTTTCAGAAATGTTGCATTAAATTAACATATAGTAGATATAGTAGCCATTTATAACAATTTAGTTCATCTAAAGTATATTATATGAACTACAACTTCAATCATAAACATTGCAAATATACGATAAATACTATTAAATTAGTAGTAGTAGTAAATCCGGTATCAAAATATACAGTACATCTAATTTATTTCAATACATTGCATAAAATTATTGTAGTTATTACTAAAAATACTACATTAGATTACATTACATTACATGAATTTCTGTAAAATTCAAATATAATAATTAGTGTCTTGATTTCCAACTAAAAAAATTATTTTGTCGGTTTAACGCTTTTAACTGGGACTTAGTATGTCCACCTAGTTAGTTAGTTAGTATTCATGGCCGTAGCCTATCCTGTGCACAACGCCTAACAAACGTCACAGGCCAGCATTTTATATAGTATATATGCTACCGGGGATAGAGTCACAGTTTTAAGAGCACACCCCTGGACGCTCCGAAATAGCCATCTGGTGAGTCAAACAGTCTATTTCTCCTGGATAACGGTACCAGTAGGACCCGTGGTCATCTTGCCCTCCTAAACCTTCTCCACATCAGCTCTTCCGCCAGAATGGCGGCGCCGGTGGCATCTCCTCATTGAGGCGCCTGATGCTGTTCCGCCATCTGGCGGCGCTAAGGGCAGTACGCCGAGGAGGGTTCGAACTCACTAACTCTCACTTGCATTGAAACAGACTGTGCGTTTAACCCACTCAGCCACAGTCAGAGAGCTATGTCCTTTTTTAACAATAGAAATAATTAGTTTATTTATATAAATCATTTTTTAAAATATGCTGAAAACAAGTGAATTATATATCAGTTGAAATATTTATAAGAAAATAAATAACTATTTCAATAACTATTTGGCTTTTTTGGCAATTATATACAACTATTTAATACATTTTAAATAACTATTTTAACAACTATTTGACGTTTTTTAGCAACTATTATAACAACTATTTAATAGAGTATAAAAAATTATTAATCAATACACTAATAATAATTAAGTTTAGGATATTGTATAATACAGTAACTGTAATATTGTATGAATAAGTTTAAAGCGCAAGCGTTATACACAATAAAGACTAGTATTAGTTGTGATAACAAAATAAATGTAAACATAATTTATCGTTGATTTGAGATTTTGAAAATCACTTAAATTGGTCCGCAATGTACTAACTCGTGTTTCTTCACTTTTATCATTAACTATAATGGCATCTAAAGACTTACTTAAAGTGATACCATTATTGGAAAGATTATCACTGATTAGGTTCGCCAATGAGGGCGGTATTAAAAGATTAAACGAAGCCATTGAGTTCGCCAATCATTTACAAGAAGTTAATGTCGATGGCGTGCAACCCATGATATCACCAAATGAAGGCAAATGTATTCATATGAGAGATGATATTAGTGTTGTCACTAACAAGGATGAGATCACACAAAATGCTGTTCATCTCATTGAAGGATATTTTGTGGCACCAAATCAGTAATCAATTATTTTTGCGGAAATAATCCATTTTTCTATTAATTTCAATATTTATAAAAAATTTAATTATTTATAAATTTTTTTTAATGAAAATAAAATCTCAGAAAAATTAAATCATTATAAATATAATTGTGATTTAAAAATATGAATAAAATACTGTTAAATGTTGAGATAATTTAATAAAATCACAAATTTAATTATTAAAAGTATTTGAAGATATGATACAATGTAATCAATACATCATTTCTTAATTGTCATCTTAAGAGGTGTTCTTTTAATGGTATTCTTGACACAAGTTATACTATTATCCGACTGTTTGTCGACAATTGTCTCCAATTTCTTCACTTCAAGTGTTTTGTTAGACGTATCGATCTTTTGGTTCTCTTTTTCGCCGAAACTTTCATTTTTGTTAATCAATTGTTCTGAGCTCTTGTTCCTCATATTTTGGATCTGTTCCCTGATCTTAGATCTGACTATTGGTTTAGATGTGTGTTTGGGAAGTACTTTAATAACTCTTTTATTGGGCGCAGCTTTGGGTACATCTTTAGGCTTAACTTCGAGTTCAGTCCATTTGTTGTCTTTGAGTTGATTGAGTCGTTCAAATGATTGATGCAAATCCAGTATTTGAAAGTAAATCATTTCCCAAAAGCCTTGAAGATCTTCAACCTTTGTCTCTTTGACACCTCTTTTCATTTCGCAGTCATCGATGAGTCCACTAAACTGTTTAAACCTTTGATTTATGAATAGATTTGTTTTGCCGATTGTTGACCGGATATGACCGACGGCTATAACAAACATTAGTTATCATTTCAATTGCTTCACAACATATCCAATGCATACCTTCTTCGGTAATATCGGGTTCGTTGTCCATCGTTTGTGTCCACTGATGGCATAATATTTTAAATTTATTGGTCTCAGTAGTGACCAAATCTCTGTAGTAATCGGTGGTCAAAGTAGTGGCCATTGAATAAGTGTAACAAATGGTGACAATCAATGAAGTGATGGTTTAATTGCAATCAATGTTTCAATGCTTTCAATGTTTGATTCACTCAATCATTGGACTCAATGTTAATGTGTTTCAGTTTTAGCACTAAATTTCAAATTCAATGCATTCGTTGAAAACTAGAGTATAAATGGGTCGACACTCACGCACTCACAACCAATCAAAACACAGATCACTCACAAACACGTTATAATACAGTACTGTATTAGACATACTTTAACTGCTTTTCAAATATTAGACTTTAATTATTTACAAATCTTTTGTCCCGTATTTTACCAATCAATTCAAGTTAAATAATTTCTTAAATAATTTTATAATATAGTAATAAAGTTAAATTTTACATTTAATTTAAATATTCATTAATAAAATATTATTACATTATTTACATTAAATAATCTTGACTTATTTAGGTAACAAAATACTTAAAATAATCAACATTAAAAGTTGTTAAAAATAATAATTTTATTAATTATTAATTATAATATTTAGTTATCAACTTCTTAAATTGGTTTATTAAAGATAATCAATATATTTAATAAACTTATCGTAATAAATATATAATTATTTAACTAATAAATTGATAAATTAATTTTTTAATGATTAAAAAAAAACATTTATAATACGGGACTTAAATTGCAGTATCTGTTAGATAACAGGACTACTTATTTTGTATCTATTGTAATGCCATTGAGTTATAACTTATAAGAGTTGTCCTCATATTATATAAGAGTTAATCATTTGTTTAATTGCTTTTTCAATGATTTTATGGACTTTTAATTATTAAATATATATTTTTACTTAACTTTTAATTTTATTAGTCTTTTGTTATAACTATATATATATATACAGTATTTCTATACAATGATGTCAACTATTTGTCAACACTAACATAAACTTAATTTATTATTAATTAACAAAATCAATGAACTCTCAGAAATTTGTTTGTTATTTAATTTAAGTTAAATTTTTTAAGTTTTGAACAAAACTTTGCTTTTATTACACTTGACTTTTACAATATCTAAAAAACACACTTATAATAAACTACTGAATTGTTTTATGAAATTATGCTTTTAATAGTAAATATTTAAATTTGTTTTGTAATAATAGACTGAAAATTAATATTGAAATCACAATATAATTACAATATAACCACAAACTTGATTTAAACGGTGTTTTTTGTTTGTTTGTTAGTTAAACGCTTTAACAAATAAATCGTGAATTTAAAAAATAAATAAAAAATTTATAATTAAATGTCGAGCATCACTACAACAGATGTTTTAGTTAAATATTTATTTTTGAAAAAATAGTTAATTAGTTTTTGACATAATTTTAGGCAAACATTTGCATTAAATTTTAAATTATTCTAACAATAAATACTAAAGTTTATATAATATATAAATAATTATAGATTTCATATTATTTTTAAAGAGTAAATAGCCTGAGGTATGATTTGGTGTATGTTTTGATTTAAATATGATTAAAATCGGAAATATATTGTTTATATTCTAGTTTTACTAAAAATATCAAAAATTATCTCATATTAATAAATGTTTTATTTAATATTAATTCGTATTTATTATTAAATATAATATTATATTTGTATAGTGTGTTGCATATTTAGGTTAGACTTTATGAAGTTATATCAATAGATAATTTCACATTTATGTTAATTACTTAGTTTTTATTTGTTTGTGAGAAATCATTGAATCTAATATCTGATAAATTTTTAATATATTGGAAATACTTATTTAAAAATACAACAAATTGGTTTAAAATAACTAAAATTTATAGTATTAGTAATACTTACTATACACATGTATTTTTAATAAAATTACTTAAATACTGTAAATTGAATATAAGATACTAGAGCTTTATTTATATAAAATTTATTATTTAAATTAGATGTCATTATATATATATAATATAATTTATGTTGTTGTAAATCTAAATAATTTTTTTAAATTAGTTTAAAATAAAATAGAAAAATCTGTATAAAAAAATGATTTAAAATATCTATTCAATTATTGAAATTATTCAAAATATTCAATTTATATTATATTTCATATCCATTTACTGATTCAAATTACTGTATAATTTACTGTACTTAATTACTGTTCAAAGTACTGTAATTATAGCTAATATTATTATAATATTAATTTTTATAAATTGTAATATTCATTCACTATAAATATTCTATTGTAACAATATAAATAAATTTGATAAATTATAATATTGCTTATATTTATAACTAATCATGTTTGCATACATTGTACAGTATATGATAGTTGTTTAAAAATAAACATATATTTAAAAGTTAGACACTATAATGTGTTTTTAAATAACTTTATTAATTTTATTAATTAATTAATTATTAATATATTTATTACAATATTTTTAATATAACATTAATTTTGTTTGTTTGTTTTAACTACAAATTATTTTATTTATTATAAAATTATCTAATTTAAAAAATTATTATTTATCTAAATTTAAACTGTTTACAGTTTTACAGTGATTTTTTACAGTACATTAAAAGGGAAAACATTGTAATTATTTGCTGATAAAAAATAATAAATTCAATCCATATTAAGGAAGATTTGTGAGCTATAATATTATTTACTTTTGAATCCTAATTATGCATAAAATTGAATTTAATTTAATTTAATTTCTCAATAAAACTATATTATACCGGTACAAGAAATTATGTGGCAATTAAAATGTAACTATTTGTTTGTTAATAAAAAATAATGAGAGCAATGATATTCATTTGTAAGTTAGATAATAATAATATCACAAAAAAATAAATTATTAATACCCACTCAAATACAACGATAGTGTTGTTTGCTTTAACGGTAAAATACAATTATAATTATTGTTACATAACTTTTAAAAACTGTCTCAATTATAATAAATCTTTGGATTAAATAAAATAAAATCTTGTTTTAGGCAAAAATCGTTTAAGAGATGCTTTTCATTAAAAATTAGTTTAACATAACATATGACTAACTTATAATAAAACATAACTATAATGATGTTGAATCAAATAATGAATGGGTGGATTATAATACATTATTGTCATTATTTATTTATAATAATTTATAATTTGTTAAAATAATATTAAATAATAATAAAAAAATATACCGTAAGTTTAAATTTTTGAAATGCAGATCTAATATATGTCGATTCATTGATGTATATTATCTCTAAATATGGCTATATTTTCAATGAAATTAATAATAAATGAAAATATTGATAATTTAATTATATATTAATCATAACATTAAAAGACAAGCAAAAGCATTGATAAAGTGTTTGGTATTTAAAACTTGTTTTGAAAAGTTTGTCCCGAATTTTAGCGAACATTAATCTCTTGTATGCCATTGTATTGATGTTTCAGATCTATTGATATAATACACATGCAATCAATGGTTAATAATTTAAAATCACGTTTTAATGTCAAAAATACATGAATTTCTATCAAAAACCGGTCAATTGAATCATTGAATTCATTGAAACAACTTTATCGATACATTTACTTGTATTTCAGTACTAAATATGATTTAATACATAAACGATTCAACTAAAACTTCTATTTTAATAACATTATTGTCTGCAAGTTTACTGAGTTAATTGCTTTCAAATATATTATATAAATAGATTTATTAAACATTTAATATTTACTGTAATTATAATAAGCTTATAATTTTATTTTATGGTCTCATTGTTTATTAGGCAAAAATATTGCACTATTATTATGATTTACTATTTGTTTTGTGAGAATTCCTATTAATTATTCACACATTAATTTCTATTACTGTTCATCGAAAAAATATTTGGCATATTTATTGTGGAGTATCTTTCAAAATATCCAAAATAAATATTTAATATTTTCATATATCAATCATTAATATTTTGAAGTAGATATTTATTTTGGATATTTTGTTTTTAAACATTTTGAATGACACCCTTTATTGTGTTATATCATAGCATGTTTTTTCTTTTAAGTAAAATTTTGTATCATTTACAACAAAAGCGTCTAAACATTGTCTATAATATTATTAAAATTCATAAATGAATTTAACTAAATAAGATATTTCTAAAATAGTTACTTAATATGTAAAAGACGAGTGCAATAAATTAATTTTATTCATCTTATAAATATTAATCAAAAACAATTGACTGCACTTATTGTTAAATTTATTGTAATCTTTTTTTTTAAAAAAAATATTGTAATTATATATTTTTAATTATTTAATAAATTTATAATAGTTTGATATTTAGTACGACATAAAAATATACTTTAGAAATATCCCGGAGAACAGGGAAAATATCAGTAATGAGTGAATTTATTTGAACTCACGTTATATTTAATAATATAAATCAAAGTATCAGTTTGTAATAAAAATAGATATATTAACTTATTTTCTAAATATTATCCACAAATAATTTATCAAAAATAAATAAATAACTATTTTTGTAATAATGTTTTTATGTAAAATATTTTGCAATGTTTTATCATATATTAATTTATATCGCATAACAATGAAATGTGATAATAAATATTTTTTATAAAACAATTTTTTAAAATGTATAAATTATTTATTGATACTAAACTACAAATTATTAAAATATAAAATAAATTAAAATTCTATATTAACATTATATATTTTTAAATATTAAATTTATTTTTAAAAGTACCATTTGTAGTGTAACATTGTTAATGTTTTTTTAATTGTTGAAATAAAATAATATTTAATATAATAATAAAATATGTTGTTTTATTAGTTTATTTTAAAAATAATGTACTGAATTGTATAAATATAAAAAATGTAATTACATTTAAATCAACGCTTTATATTATATTGTTTTTATTCTTTGATTTTGATTTTTTTTTAATCAATGAATATATTTATTTAATTTGCTTCCAATTGATATACGAAATAAAACAAAATTTTCTCAATTTTTAAGTAAATCAAACACATCTTTATAACAATTTTATAAATAGTTTTAAGTTTTAAGATATTATAAATTTTTTATAATATAATTTTAATATAATATAATTACAATATTATTATTTTTTTTGTGTTTATATAAAATGTACTCATAATTTCATGTATACAACAAAATCATTTGTATTTATTTAAACTGATTTATTGTAATCAACGTGTTATGATTAATAAAGATTATTATTATTATCAAACAAACATAATTAGTCAAAATATTATCAAACATTTTTGCTTTATGTGTTAAATTGCTTAAATATAAAACATAAAAATTATGTAAATAATATACTATAATATTATAACATATGTAATACATTTGTTAATTTCTTGATCTTAAATTTTAATAACATATAAACATAATTATTGAACTAATAAACAAATACTCAATTTTATTATATTTTTGTTACATTAATGACATTACATGTTTGTAATGATAGAAATGATTTATTTTACTTTAATATCAACAAAATATTAAACATTAAGAGCTTTTTGTTTTATTTAAAATATAATTATTTAATAGTAATCATTTACAAATTACTCAATTAGTAATCAATCAATTTTTATTAATAATTTAGTAAGTAATCCATATTTTAAAAATTAAATTTAATTATTTTTTCTATTATATGCTTTGTTAACATACAATTGTTTTTTTAAAATAAGTAATTGACTTAAGTTTAAATTAAATAGTAAAAGTATTTTAATTAGTATTTGCAAAAAAGTGAAATTTCTAAAATAATACAGTAATTTCTAGAAAGTTTCTAAAATAAATTTCTGTCTATGGGTTCTGCATGTTAATTTTGTTATCACGATATTTGTTATCTGTTTACAATAGATTATAATTACAAGTAATAATTAAATATTACTATTAGTATTTAAATTAACAATTTAAGTAAAAATAACTTTTATAATTAAATAAAATATAAAATAATAATAATTTAAAGTAAAATAAACATTCCTAATATAAATTCATAAAAGTACTAATGTTTACACAGTATATACTGTAATGATGTGAATACTGTAAATGCAATAATAGATACAAATATATACAAATGATTACATATACTGTATGTTTAAATCATTAATTTTGGCTAACGGTTTACGTGAAGAGACAGGGATTTACAGTAATGCCATTTGTATGGTCTGGTGATGGCATCACACACTTTGTTCAGCCGTTTCTCTTATTTAAGTTTTGTTATCAAAACACAGACACTCATACAGTGAGTCTAGTGATTGGTCTGACTCTAACTGGGAGTGAATGCACTTTCAGTGAGTGATCAATAATTTAATGTTTTATAGCATAAGTCAGTGCACCGACAGTAGTGCCGTAGCACTGGTAGTAATATACCAGTTGTGACATACTTTGAAAGATTGCTCACACAATTCATTTGTATTGAGACACTGGCTTTCTTTGTAATCATCATTTCATACAATATCTCATTATATTAGTCTAATAATTGGTGTCAATTAAAACTATGTGTGTATTAATATAATAAAATATAAAATTGTTAATTAATATCTAATATTCAATTCATTAAAAAATTGAAGTAAAATGCAATTAATATGAATATCATTAATTGATTCAGTAATACAATGATTGTGTGCTATTAGAGTCAATGATCGCAGTGTTAACACAGAGAGTATGTAATGTAAGCGTCATATATAAGACCGATAGGGGAGAGGAGTGTGCATGAGATCGGCTAATCATAGAGTGGGTGATCGATGAGAAAATGGCGCTAACCGTACCCGGTTTACGCCCTAAACATTTCAATTTAATTACATTAATCATAACTACACTTCAAATAATATGCAGATGTCTTGTCGCTGCCGATCGCAATAGATATTGTAAGTAATGAGTAAATTGTATCAATTGATTAGATTTTCATACAAATGTCATCAAAAAAATATTATTATTATTTGTAACACAACTGATGGTGTCATTGCCGTGAAGTGTTCTTTCAGTTTATTACATATTTTTATCAAAAAATACAGTATTAAAACTTTGTTTCCATTGATAACAATAATTATGAAATAATTTATTTAAATTAAAATAATTGAAACTATATTTAATTGATTTATGTGATGATAATTAATGTGATAATATGTGTCATAAAAACAGATCACATATCAGCGCTTTGTATGAGAGAGCGGATACATCCGTTGCACAAGAAAGTTGACGGCGCCGTCATTACGAGTAAATCTGAGGACAACCTCGACTGTACCATCACTTTCCAAACGGATACAATTCTTCAGCGATTTATGATTCGTTTTGAAAAGCTTGCGCTCGACTGTGACGACCATTTGTTTATATACGACGGCGCACATGCCATCGGCAATCATAAGGTATAATAATTATGAATGTCATCATTCAACTGATCCAATGTTAATCCCATATTTAGGCTGACCTGTCATGTCGTAGTACTCGTACTGAAGTGGGTACTATATTTACCCAGGGAAGTTTCCTTACGTTGCGCTACACAACTGATCCCTACAGTAAATCCGATAATGGATTTCGACTAATAATTACGGCTTTCAAAGAGGCCCGTAAGTCATTTAATTTCAATTTTATATTAAATTTTATTTATTTATTAAATTATTAATTATTGTCGTTTATTATGATTAAAGCGGTTCATTGTAAAGATCACAAGTGCTTAAACTCATTTTGCATATCCAAAGACTTAACATGTGATGGCATTAACCATTGCGGTGATAATAGTGATGAAACAAGTCATGCCAATTGCGCCGGTATGTTATTTTTAAGACTAAACACTACTATTAGTTTTACATTATATACTTATATAAAAAAATTTTTTTTATATATTAATTATTCTTTGATAACCAGATCCAGAAGTATTTGATGGACTAATATTAGGATTAGAGGCGCAAACATTTATAGCGGTTATAATAACAGTGTTTATTATATGTTCCGTATGTGTGGTTTGTATTGCCATATGTTTGTGTAAACGGGAACGACTGATACAACAACAACAACAAAGGATAGCACTTCATCCACAGTCATCACATCCAGCACTGGCTCATCCACAGACTTACTCAAGTTAGTCAACCATATGTTGGCATTCATTTCATTAATTTTTTACCACAATTTCATTATTTCATCAATTGTTTATAAAATCATTGAATGTTTATTTATTCACTCATTTTTAAAGATAGCCTATGTTTATAATATTGAGACAAAATTTTATAAAATATATTTATAATTATAAATAATTAAATGATTTTAATTTTATTTTTATATAAATTTAATTGTGCGATTTTCAAGAATTTAATTACTTTTGTAATTTATAACTACATAATTATAAATATTATATAAATTTTGTAATTTAAAGTTTACTGTAATTTGTTTTGAATTTATTGTAATTTTGTAAAATAATTTGTAAACTAAATAATCTTAGAGAAAAAGATATTATGCTTAGGAAAAAAATCAAATAAAAATTACAAAATTTAATAAAACATACACTAGTTATTTAATAGTAAATTTATAAAATATATTAATATAATTTAATATTTATATTTAACTGTAATAATTGTTATTATATAGTAATATACTGTAGTAATAGTTTAAGCATTGGTCACTCTAACCCTACAATTGATACAAATTTGACTTTAGGTGGACAGCAAAGGTTTGCAACCCTGCCGTTAGAAAAAATTAAAGATAAACCGCCACCATATCCGGGAAACTTGTTTACCCCCGCAGTCGGAAACGCACACTCGCAGGTCATATATACGGGCAAATAATCTCTTGTAAACAAAAACGATTGGTTCGCGTCAGAAGAATCAAGAGACCGGCAACAGTGCCGGCAATGCCTTTATTTTTAGAGCCGACGGCTGCGGGGGAGGAATGGCTCGTCTAAACACACCATTAATATCCTCTCAAATTTAGTCATTATTTCAATTAATGATTGTCACGATTACTTAATAACCAAATTTTATAATATGTAATGAATTTATTGATAATGTATTGAATGTATTTATAAATGAAGTATAAATGAACAAACTTTTTTTAGACTAAGAAAACGTTTTATACATAACTTGTATTTATAGTGTATATCGTTTTATAATAAATTTATTATTTAACAAAAGGCGGAACTAAATTCTTGACAATTAATCGATGGCCCAATGCTTTGGCTAAAGTACCCGAAGCCACCAGTTTTGCGCCGACTGTTTTCATTCCTATACCAACTCCTTTAATACCAGAGCCGGCAATACCAATACCGGCGCCCTTCAATGCTGTATGTGCTCCAAAAACAACGGCCATTGGTTTCAATAATATGTGTCCCACTTTAATAATACCATTCTTTAAGACCTGTCCTCCGTTTTGAACGTTGAAGTCCCAGATTTGACGACCAGACTCGGCTGCTTCTGCAAACTTTGAAAAAGCGTCGGTACCGACAGATATTGGTATTGCCACCAGTTTATCGGTTGCACCGCTTATGATATCACCAATCTCTACGGGATTAGCTATGGCTGAACCAATTGCAGAGCACATGTCCTGAGATCCGTACACCAGAGAGATGACAAACGATGAAAGTATAATGAAATACATTTTCATATTAAGTAAAGTATATACTAATACTGTATTAAAAAGTGTATAAATAAAATAAAAACTTTAAATATATAATAAAATAATAAATAAAAACTTAAGAAATGTATAAAGTGTTTGAAAAGAGAGCACAAACGACAATGATTTGAAAGACACGAATTTCATGTCTTTTATACTGTTTTAAAGTGATTTTTCAAGTCTTGGATATTCATAGTTTGGATAAAAATCAAATAATTTTCCATTCAATAACATAATGTAAATTAATAATACAGAATATTAATTCAATGCATATTATTATAAATTAATTAAAATCAAAACTTTTTCAACCAATACAAACATTTTATTATATAAAGTTGAAAACTTATGATGTGATAGTTTTTTTTAAACATTTTGATAAATTACTTGCAACTAACTAATAAAATTAAATAATTTTAATCTTTGATTCACTATTTATTTGCAATAAACATTGAATCGATTTAATTGAAGAGTTTTTATTTTTGAGACATTTTCAACATTTATTAAATTGCTTTTCACACATATTTTTAACATATTTATTGAACAAAATATTCCAAAAGTAAATTATAATAATTATACTAAAACTTAGAATACGGTATAATTATTAAGAAATCTTTTATATTTTGTCACTTTAATGCCCTTATCTTTAAAGTTTAAACATTGAGTTAACTTAAACCTTCATTTGATTAATGGGGTATCAAATAGGAGTCAATTTTAATAAAATAATAACACATCCAATAAGAATCAATAAATGGCATAATTTTATTGGAGATAATAATATCTGATTTATTGCACTGATTGGTAATCCATATATATATGCCATTAGCGGAATGATGCTGTCCGGCCGGCCAGTCAATTGGTTATACATTGGGTTTATTACATTTCAGTGCTTTTTTGTTTTATATATATGATTGATTGATTCATTTAATTAAAAACAATTTTTATATAAGTGTTGTTTAGTTAATTATAATAATAATAAACGCAATGAATTCAACTAATTGTATATAAAGAAAAAATAAACAATTTTTCAAATACAGTAATTAATAATTTGTTGTCGTTATTACAATATATTTTTGATTCTTAAATGGGAGGGTTTGTGTGGTGGGTGGGGGACAGCAATAAAACAAAAATAGATAATTTTTCAAAACTGTTAAAACTTGTCAAAAATGGCAGCATTTTTGTTGTATAATTGTTTAAATTGCTTAAAATTGTTTAATTTAATATAAATTTTTAAATAATATTTAGATAATAATAATAATAAGCTATAATTAATAATTAAAACGTATCTCAAAAATCTTTTCCCAAATAAATCTATGTTTTATTTTAGTTGTTTATAACAATATTCTGTTGATTTTGTTTTTTGTCAAATAATGTTAAAAGTTTTGAGTTTCTTCTTGAGTGACAAAGACCTGACGGGTACCGCCGGGGACTGTACTGGTCGTCACCCATGATCTATGTTTGGCTCTAATAAAAGAAAGGTTGCTCTCTGCCTGATCGGCCCGATCTTCGGCGGCCTCCAACTCGCGTTGGAATCGTCGCACGCGCTGTAAGTTTGATGAGCTGACGCCTTCCTGTTAGACCATAACAACAGATATTTATATTACACTATAATTTATAAATATTTGTAATTAGTATTACCTGTTCTTGCATTTGTCTTTTATAGACTTTGACTTTTTCATTAAATTTATCGCAATTTTCTTGCAATAGAGTAATGGTTTTGTGGTCTTCTTCACTCTGAAGTGACAATTCCTTGACGCGATGGTCTTTCTTTCGCAAAATCTTCTCAGTCTCCGAGTGTCTGCGTTTCTCTTCTTCGACTTCAATCTCCACATCTCTTATTCTTGACTCTAATTTAGCGATAACTCTTTTACCGCCGGCCAGTGCGTTGGCCTCAACCTCTTCAATTCTGATGTGTAGATTTCTGACTTCATTCTCCAATGATTTCTTAATAGTATCGATTTTGACGAGTCTTTCCTGTTCTTCAATCAATAGATCTCGAGTTGATTTCAACTCAATTGACAATTTCTGAACTCTTTCATCTGAAATCTAATTAAATTTAAAAAATGAATATATTTTTTTTAAATAATACAATCAATTGTAGACAAACTCTCAATTCTTTGTGGACTTCATCGTAATCGTTCTGAAGAGCAGAGAACTCTGCCTCGAGTTTGCTCTTAGCCGACGCCAGATTGACGTTAATAGTAGTCAACTCATTGACTTTAGTGACGGCTTCTTCATATTGTTGTTCTGCAATACGTTTGGCACGTAATGACTGTTCCAATGCCACCCTTTGTTCATCTAACTCTGCCTGTAATGCTTGGCATCGGCGCTGAGCGACACCCAACTGGTCGACCGCTTGTTGCAACTGTCTGTGCACTTCATCGTAATGCGCTTGTAGTTCCTATTAATTATAATAATCATGAATTGATATCAAATAAAAAAATCAAAAGACATGTCTAACAGTGATTTGAAGCGCCTGTCTCTTAATGGTCTTCTGTAAGTCGAGATTTTGTTTGTTTGCCGCATCCAATGACATCTCGAGTTCAGTGATCTGTGCCTGCATTTTCTTCTTGATTCTGGCCACTTCAGTCTTCAACTTGGCCTCTGCCTCAGCCAATCGCATATTCAACTGTTCCACTTCAATCTGGAACTGCTTCCTATAATATTAATAACATATTAATTATTGTTATAATTAGTTTACATTTAAAATCAATGCAAACCTGAGAGCTTCGAGCTCTTCCTCCTTCTGTTGCAGTCGTTTTTCGTAGTCGTGTCTAACCTGTGCCAACTCTGCCATCAATCGCTGTGCTTTGTCTTCCGCCTGTTTTCTCAAAGTCTCCGCTTCTTTATAAGCGGCGGCCAACTCTTCTCTCTCGTTCTCCAAGCGTTTGATTTCAATCTCCATTTCATGTATTCTTCTGTGAGCGTCATTCAACTGAGACTTCGCTTCTTGCAAGTCGTCTGAATTTAATTAATGATAATTAGTATAATCACAAAATGAGATTATTATAGTCATAAAGTCAATGGATGTCTTACCGGTGAGTTTCTTGTTTTCTCTGGCGAGAGCATCCCTCTGATCGCGCAGTTTCTCGTACTCGTGTTGTAGTTTCTGGAGCTCAGCGGCCTTCTGTCTGGCGTCTCTCTGTGCCTGTTCCATAAGGACAGTCACTTCTTCAAGTTTGACTTTGAGGTCGAGATTAAGCTTCTCGAGCTGAACACATCTCTTCTCCAATTGCTGTGCGTGAGTCGTGGCCTTCTCTAAGTCCATAATCAACACCTCGACCTCACTCTGGAGTCGCGACTTTTGTTTTTCAAGTGAACTGCATTTGTTCAATAATGCCTCCAATTGTTCTTCATATTCAGATATCTTTTGAGCCATTTTGCGACTAATTTATAAAATTTATAAATACATTGAAAACATAATTAAAATATAATTTATGATTAAAATGTATACCGAAGTTCTTCGACTTCATCTGCGTGTGCCTGTAGTTCGGCCTCATATTTTGACTTCCAGGCGGCCGCGTCTGCATTGGCTTTAGTTAGTTGTCTCTCGAGCTCCAGACGTGCTTCTGATTCCTCTTCGAGCTGTACTTTCAAAGACTCCAATTCAACCTCAAGAGTGTGCGCGTGATTTTCAAGAGTCGATCGTTTCTGTCATTTTAATTATTAATTAAGTTTTAATTTGAAAATAACTAAATATAGCAAACCCTCTCTTCATCCTCAAGACGATGGCGAGTGTCCTCAAGTTGTTGAGCCAATTGTGACTTCAAATGGTTGACGTTATCCAAAGAAACTTTATATTCGTGAATCTCTTTAAGAAATTCTGCATTTTCTTGACTAAGTCTTTGCTTTTGAGAGGTCACTTCAATAACAGTCCGATTGATTTCTTCGATACGAATATTAAGTTCATGAACAGTGTATTCAAGTTTTTCAACACTCTTAAGAGCGATCAGCTTATCCTTGTTTGCGCTCTCGATCTGTGCCAACAATTCAAACACTTCCGCCTGAAGTTTTTGCTTCTCTTTATCAGTTCTTTTGACAATTAAATGTTAATATTAATTATGTTTGATATGATATAAAATGTATGTAATCATACTTGTTCTTAGATTTCTGAAGCTGATCCATTTGGTCCTGCATCTCAGCCACGGCCGCCTGATGTTTTTGTCTCAAATGATGGGCTGTCTCTTCACTTTCCAGGTGTACGTCTTCTAATAGTTTCCTCAATTTAGCCAATTCTGAGTCCCGTTTCTTATTCATCTCGATCTTTGTATTTTGTATTTTATTGAATACACATTACTATACAATTACAGAATAATATCATCAAAATCATACCACACTTTCACTCGATCCCTCAGCTTCTTCCAGTCTCTCAGTCAAACTGATTAGTTGGACGGTTAGGTCGGACCGTTCCCTTTCAATCTTAAACATAGCAACATGGTTAATTTTTATATTAAACCCTCTGTGCATCATTATTTTCAAATATATCTCAACCACTTTATGTAAAATTGTGTTATATTGAGTGTAAATTGTTTAACTGTGTATAAAATAATCCAAATATTTTATGACCAGATTTAACAAAATATTTACAAATTAATTATAATAATCGTGAAATAGTTAGTCATAATTAAACAGAAATTCAATTCTTAATTATTTTAATTATACGCTTATAAACATTTGTATTATATTTTATTGTTATGTACTTAATTTAATACATAAATTTAATTATGCATAAAATTTTGAGGTCATTTATTAATTGATATGCTTTTTAATTATTTTTTAATTTTAAACATTACTTTAAAAAATTATAAAAAAATATAAATTATATAATGAAATAAATAATGAAATAATAATAAATTTCACTTCTTATATGTAAGCGATGCAAGAATTTCTTATTTGAATCTATTAATAGATGTAATACTGAAGTCAAATCCAAATTAGTCTCAAACTATAAACTCATTTTCACTACAACTCCGACAAACTCCTTGTTTGCCAAAAAAGTTAAACTAAGAGATCGCTAACAATAAATACATTGCAAACATGTAATTGATTTTAATATAGAAATCAATGGCGTTATATAATAAAGTTTTAAAGATTTGTTTTAGGATATTTAAAAATAATTATTATACAATAAATGTCATTTTATATTATAAATCCTCAAAATGTTGTCAAAATTTTTATTTATTTATAGTTAAAAATGTTTTTTTCAACTATTATTTATTTTCCAGTAATTTGTAGGCAACAATTTTATTATTATTGTATTTTTATGTTATTTAGTTTTTTTAGATAATTTTTGATACTATTTTTATGGTACTTATAGACACTACACTTACTCGTTGTCTGAGCTCTCTTTCAGTCTCCAAGTCCTCCGAGAGGAGTCGTATTTTGTCCTAAATTTTAAAAAATGTAATTTTTGTAATAAATAAGATGTAAAACAGATTTGTAAAAAATATGTATAAAATAGTTAATAGTATTTAAAAGATTTGTTGATATAAATGATTATCTATATATAAATGTAAATATGAAGCAATTTTATGGACAGAAATAATGTAAAATAAACAAAGTTTTCGCAGAATATTCTCATATATTCTGATCTCAATGTCATATGACGTCAATTCTGTGATACTTTTTACCATTTATAATGCCTTTACTATCATAAGTCTGATAATTGAATGAATTACTGATATTCTAACAAATTAACAATTTATTAAAATCTATGATTGAAAATGATATTGAAAGCCATATTCGGATGAATACAAAGAAAACTAAAGTTTTTATCGCATTTACAAAATGAGGTCATTTGACAAAAATTCAATGGCTTTCATCCAAATTATATATAAAATTCAAATTCAAGTCAAACACTAATCTTTTTATCCATAGCAGGATATATTCATAATTATATAATTTTATTAATATATTAGTAAAATTCAATCAAAGAACGCTTTAAACTATATATCAATAAATTATTTTTTTAATTAACCATAAAATTAAATTAATAATAATATAAAATAAATTATATTATATCTTACCTCAAGACGAGTAAGGGCTCCCAAATCAGTTCCATATTCAATGGACAGATCTCCGCCCTGACCGGAGGTCTGACGGTAAACATATTTAGTACTTCTAATCGACATATTATATATGAATTGATGATAGCTATCAATTCACTATAATTAACAATAACTATAAAGCAATTGAGAGAACTGGAGAACTTAACCGAACTGGCAATAGGACTCTAACTTGTATACTATGGGCACTGATAGTTAACTACCAAAGCCTTGTCTGACAGTGGAAAAGGTGGAGGAGTTGTGGATGAGTTGATGCTTATGGTGTCAATTAGGCAAACGCAAACTGACTGATCCACACATACAAACACAACCACCCCTTGAATTCTTGAAGAGCGCAAAGTCTCATATTTCCCAAAACTATAAGTCGGTCTCAAAACACATCACTATTGCATACATCGAGTATTCCTTTTATAGCCATGGATGCCATGAGATGCCGGAGTCCTCTAAATTAATCCCATGCCTTACCATACTATGTATTACTGATGTAACTGATGTTGCACTCACTCGTTGTGTTTAATGAGAAAATCCTAAACTTATTGCTCATTCCTGCCATACATTGTTTTTTCATGTCTTTTTCACAAATAGTTGACTAACTTTTTATCATTTTTTGATGACCTAAAGACCCACAAAACACTTTTATCTAAATTTTCGACAAATTGCTAATCATTTTTTTATTTATAGCATTTTTAAATTATTAATTACATTACATTATTAGTTACATTATTTATTTTATATAAAGACTTTAAACTAATTATTATTGATATTTATAATATTATTTACTAGAATAACATTTGAGTGAATGTATATAAAGACTATCATATTTCATATACCAAATAATTCATACAATTTTTTATTAAATTACTTATTAGGGAATATATTATCAAATAAATGTTGCAATTTTTATAATAATTATTATTATAATTTCAAATCAAGTTTTTCTATAAAAGATTGTATTTCTGGATCTGAGATCATATCATCCAAAGGTGTAGTACTTTGAGGTTCAATGGGAACCCTTGCAAATGCATTATAAGTAAAATCTTCTTGAATTTTATCGATGATTGATTTGAATCCAAATGAATCAAATCTCTTAAAATTAAAAGGTTTGTATTGCATAACCCTTGGATGTCGTGACACTTTAAAAATGGTTTCTTTAGTGACAAATCCCAGTTCACATCGAGTCTTATGTCTTAACTGATAGAGTTGTACTAAATTTGTAAAATACTGTTCCTCTAAATGTGTTTCAGGTCTCAATATTGTCAACATTTTCCAGTCGATATCAGTCTCACAAAAATCATTTAAATTCAAACCAGACATTGACTCCGGTATAGGATTTTTAAATGAAAACTTTGGCAATAGTTTAGTAGTATTGAAATCTACTAAAAGTGTTTGTCTTCTCGTGGAATTTGAATCAATATTTTTTGGTAAACATTTTGAATGTCCAGATAATTGAATTGTCTGTAAATCATTAAATCTTTTATCAATTATATCATCGATTGGATCACTTCTAAGCTTAAGATTAGGAATTCTAGATATGGTTTTATCCAAATCTTCTTTTGTTAAAATAATAGTTTCACTCAAATCAAGAAAAATGAGTTCACTTTTGCTTTCTTTATAATCATCTTTTAGTTTAAATGACATTTTAAAGTTTTTTTGTCTAAATATTTATTGGAATCTTTATTATACTTTTACTAAATTTCACTATTCATGTACTATTTCACTATTTCAATATATATATTAAAACTATATTAAAATTATATACATGTTTACTGCAACTGTTTTGCAAATATTTTGCAGCAATTTATATACAGTATAAAGTCTATAAATTATAATAAACTATAATAAGGGTGGAGTATTGTTGCTACTGTTACCCAAAATTATGATTTTCCTAAAACATACTTTTGAACTATTAATTAATATGTGCCACAAATCGCATGCAATTAATATGAATTTACTGTACATAACTTATATTAATTATTATGTCACTTCATATTTTTCACTTGTTAACACATAATTTTACATTATTTTATATACTAATAATAACCATCAGATAGACTAAAAACTATATAATCACATTATAAAATATTTATAATTTTTAAAATGTTATTTTTATCATTTATTTGATTATACTGTATAATCAATAGTACATATAAACGACAAGCAGTATTTAATAATAATTAAAGTGGTTAAATTATATTTTTATATTTTCATCATTTTCTATATATATATATATATGAAAATATTTATTTATTTATCTATTTTGAATTTCTCGCAAATATATTCCTAAAAATAGTTGACTAAAAAGTCAAAAGTGCTGACTGACAGCTCTTGTTAAGCAATGAAACTGATATTATGTGACAAATAAGTGTCATTTAAATGAAGAATAGACACCAAAAAATTGTTGGGACGAGACTTATTTGAATTCATATATTATTATTATTTAAGAAATAATGTATTAATAAAAGATTAATGCTTTCAATAGTAGTATACTGTAGTGTAGATCATCAATATTATTACACCAGAATAAGTAACTTTAATACTGTATTATCAAAATTTGTTTACATTATTGAAATATTTTTGACTTAATTATAATTAATAATTTTTATGAAATCATTGATTGGATTATTTAGGTATAACTTATTAAATCCTTTAAAAGAAAGATGGCTACCATTATCTTAAATCTATTAAAATTATGGTATCTATGCAATCATAATCATAATCACAATAGTATGCATTATAAATACTGTAATCAAATGATAAACTTTTATAAATAAATTATATAATCATACAATTGTATAATAATAGTTGCAATAACATCAGTAATACTATGTTCATAATTACTGAAATAAATAATTATAAAATAATTAACAGTAATTATAAATATATTTTTCATGTTAATAGTAATTCATTTTAATTAGAGTTACAGATGAGTCAATAAAAGTGATTCAAATGTTTATTTAATAAATAATTAACAAATTAATAGGTGTTATACTGTTTTAATAAACTATAGTATTTTACTGTTAATAAAATACATTATTATCTATTAAATACAATATTTAGTATAATAGATAAGAAATTGTATTTCAATAAAAAACGATAAAATTTGGTAAATAATTAAATGTCAACAACTAATGGCAATCAATAAAAGATATTCAACTAATATCAATATTATCAATATTTTTTTATTAATTAATATCATATATACATTAAATAAAATCAAACTATCATATAATTAAAGAGTAAAACTAATCACTAAACTAATGGTGTGAATGTCCCGAATCAGTGTCTTTATAAAACCGAAGACCACAATAACCACAAGTGCCGTACTCTCCCGGATCATCCAAATTAATGAATACTTTTGGATGACCTAACGGTCCTCCGCCACCATCGCAACTAACCCAACGATTCTTCGCACTTATCGGCTGTACTTCGGCTATCAAATCGATGGCAAAACGAGGATTAATCTAATGATAATAACATAAGTCATGAATAATAAAACCATTCATTTTAGACAATAATATCAATATTAGTACCTCTTTTTGTTTGCCAACAAATCGGACCAAACGATAGTCATCCTTAGCAAAGGTCTGTACGAAACGGCAAACATTATATGCAGTCAATGGATCGGTAGTTATAGATAATAGTTAATTGCATACCTGTCCCGTATGTGTCTGTCTGTCCAATACTTTTTCTTTCATGCGTTTGTCTGCTTTGTCTTCATATATCTTGAGGTCATTTGAGGTCACTTTCGGGACATTAGTCGACGCAAAACATTTAGTAACAAATGGATACCAATGTCTTATCAAATCAATTGATGACTTGTTTTGAACACCTTTTATGTAATTCAATGCCATTTCTCTATTATTTTTGTCACTTAAATACAAATTAATTTAATAAATGTTTCATTTATTTCAACATTTAATATATTTATCCGATTTCTCAATCAATTCATTTTGTAAACATTGTTAAAGCATTCAAAATTTATTTCAGTCCTTTTTAGTTAACATTACATACTTGTAAATAATAGTTATTATGTATTGAATAGTACTAAATTATTCAATTTAATAGTTACTTAAATAAATATTAAAAACATAATAAATAAATAATTAATTAATTAATTATCCAAAGTTAATAATTTGAAAGATTAATTTAATAGTATATTAATTTAGTTATCAGTTTTAATAATTATAATATATTAGCTAATATACTGTAAAGTATGTATAATAATAAAAATACCGTATTATTGGTTACTTTACTTTACATAATAATTGTGTTGTTATTTGTGTTGAATTGTACTCATGTTTAATACAGTATTTAAATATTAAATGTAATGATTAATAATATTATATCTAAATTGAGTTTAATTTAATATAATAAATAATATTACAATATTTTATGATAATTTATCGTTGATATATCAATGTTTAATATTGGCCAACACATTAATCTACCTTGATAATATTTAATTACATATCAATTGTACATTTAATTGTCATAAATCTGACAAATATTCATATATATATAATATATTAATTATACGATATTTAATTAATATTTAATTTATAAATCATTTGATTGTTAACATTATTATTATTATATGTAAGTAATTTTTAATTTAAATAATTATTTATTATGAAAATAAATGAATGAATTCAATGGATTCAAAATTTATTTATTGAGAAACATTTAATAATAAATTTAATCAATAAATTTGATATATTTTACAATATAATCATAAAATACTTGTTTTAATTATTTATTGCTTATCTTTCAATCATTTAATACCACTTTTAATGTTAAATTTTATCGCATTGTTTGAATAGTATATAAAGTAATATATCATATCATTAATCGATATTTGGACTTAATTTTTATAATTATCTTATAATAACTTTTAATTGATTTAAAGACAGTAATCAACAAAAAATGTTTGGTTTGCCGACTCTTGTGCACCGATTGTGTTATAGCGGACAACAAATGAGTCGACAATGTCTGCGATCGACATTATCTGTTGAGTCGCGGATCAATCACTTGCCACTTATGCTTCAGATCCGTGGCTTTAAAGATAAAGAGATTCTGAAGATTCGGTGCAATGATTGTTACTTCAAGAAAGTGGACGACCGGTGGTGGGTGTTGTGTAATACTCATCCCAGACATAAACAAAGACAAAAGATTGATGACATCAGAAACCGATGGATTGTCACTCACGTTACCAGAACTGGTCATCCATTTAAAAAGCATTATCAATATCCCGGACAAGACTTATAAAAACTTTGTTTTTGGGTCGACTCTAAACTATAATCATTTATTGCCTTTTTATAGTACAGAATATAATTATTGTATTAATTGATAGTGTTTTTCATGTAATAATTATTGAGTCATTATTACTATTATCTTATAGTATATAACGAGAGACGCCTTGAATTTAATTTTTCAAATTATAACAATAAAATAATACAATTTTTTACACATAAATCTGGAATAACTTTATTGTCATATCTTTAGCTACACTTACAATGAAAATTGTTTTATTTCATACAATAATGATTATTCAAAAAAAAAATTTGTTTTAAAAACACAAAATCGATTTTTAATTTCTGTTTTGTAAATCACCTAAAAAATAATGAGTAGTTTCGGAGTTTACATCACAAATGTTAATAAAGTAAAAGTGTTTGACTAGTTGTCATAGCCATCATATCAAGACTTTACAGACAATTTAGATTTTAAAGTTTATTTAAAAGGAGTTTATAATGTGAAACCTTATAATATACACTTAAATATTTAAGACAATCAATGAGACCATCAATTATTTTTTCCTTAATTATGGTTATATTATATCTTTATAATTAGTTTAATGATTATCATAATAATAATATCATTGCAATAGGCTATACAATAATTGAATTAGAGTTCTGTCAGTTTTTAACAAAATAAATGAATTTAACAAATAATTAATTTTGAATAAAATTTAATTAAAATCCTATCTAATGATTATAAATCTAGTTTTTTAAATATCTTTAGATACGCTATGATATGAAATAATAAGTGGAATGATTTGACCGTTTGTTTAGTTGTAAAACAATTAACTCTTTAGATAATCAAATACTTTAAATAATAAAAAATAGATAAAAATATTAATATTAGTTATCATAGCGTAAAACCATTTACTATATAAATCATAATTAAAAAACAAATATAATTATCGACAAAACGGGTGATATATTTATCCGGTTTTCGTCGATAAGACGAGAGCGACGATCAGTCCGTAAAGACCCAACACTTCGGCAAAAATAAGGATTAGAATCATTCCTACGAATAGTCGGGGCTGTTGTGCTGTCCCGCGAACACCGGCATCACCGACCACTCCGATGGCAAACCCGGCAGCCAAACCACTCAGTCCAACACTGAGACCGGCACCCAAATGCAGAAATCCATGATATAATTTGTAACCTCCGCCGAGACCACCATTACTATCGTCACCGCCTTCTTTCAGTTTGTTGGCGATAAGTGCGGCCACAACCAGACCATAGATGGCTATAATACCAGCCATAACTACGGGAATAATTGACTTCATGATAAGTTCGGGTCTCATCACAGCCATGGCTGCAATGCCTGTTCCCGATTTGGCCGTTCCGTATGCGGCGCCCAACGCACTGAACACCATAGCAGAGGCCGAACCCATTACGCCAAAGAATGGCCCGTAAATTGGCATTAATTCTGAATTCATCTTTTTATCACTTCTTTACTTTTACTTCAAATCGCCAATTAGTGGCCACTATTTGTCGCTAATTCAATGATTTTATCACTGATTTTAATGTTTAGTTAATTAGTGGGCGTTTATAACACAACTATTTTTCATACGATTTATACAACAATTAGTTTTCAATACAACTTATATCACGAATAATACAATACTTACTGTTAAATGGCGTTCAAGTGTTCACTCAATCAATGCTATGATTCCTATGTATAATACAGTCATTCCATTCAATGCTAACGTCATTCATATGACTGATAATATTAATACAACAATACATATATACATATAGACAGAGACATCCATTGGCTAACAAACTAACTATTGTTTTAATATTACGATTATTATATTAATACAGTAATTATAGGCAATTCATAATTCATTATCAATTCAATACAATAATAATTAGTAATTATTATTAATAACTATAATATATTTAATATAATAAAAATTTATATGATTTGTCAAAATTAATTGAAAACACTTCAACCAGAAATCCCTTTTTATTATTTAATTATTTATTATAATATTATTAATTTTGTTAATCATATAATACAGTAATATTGTTAACATTTATTGAAACATTGTATAATTCAGTTACAAACACAATCAAACAACAAATTTAATATAATGTGATATTTTATATTTTTACTAAATTAAAATTTATTAAAACAACAATTATTGTAATATGTTTTTAAATATTAATTATAGTATTTTGATGTCTTTTAATATTTTTTGTCAAAATCCATAAACATCTTATAATTTTATTAACTATTAGTAAAGATTTTCATAAGATTTTTAATTGATAAATATTATTGATTTTGTAATAATTATTGTAGAAAATGATTAGTAATGTTTTGCAAAAATTTTAATCTAAAATTTAGACTAAAATGTAATTGTTTTCAAAAATTTAATTTTAAACTAAATTTTAATTTATTGTGACTCTTCAGTCAAAAACTTATGCCATTTGAAAATACTGACTGAAACTAAAGTTTGATTTCATTGAATATATTAAATGATAAATTATAATAAATAAGTTATTTTGATTATTAAAATGAAGAAACTTTATAATTATTATTATTTATTTAAATTTTATTTAGAGTTAAAATTATTATCTATAAACTTAAATAACTCTTATCGATAATTATTGTTATATAACATGTTTTCTTTAATGTTATATAAAAGTTTGACTATTTTTTAGTAAATAGATATTCGACTTAATATTTTATAATACATTTTTTATATACGTATTTAATAATACGTATTTAAAATATTTTATCATTTAAATTAAATCAAATTTAATCTGAAAAATAAGTAAATAAAACATAGACGGAGATCAAAATCACTGTAGTTGTATTAATAAATTTATGAACTTGATGAACTATAACTAACTATAACTAACTATAACTAACTATAACTAACTATAACTAACTATAACTAACTATAACTAACTATAACTAACTATAACTAACTATAACTAACTATAACTAACTATAACTAACTATAACTAACTATAACTAACTATAACTAACTATAACTAACTATAACTAACTATAACTAACTATAACTAACTATAACTAACTATAACTAACTATAACTAACTATAACTAACTATAACTAACTATAACTAACTATAACTAACTATAACTAACTATAACTAACTATAACTAACTATAACTAACTATAACTAACTATAACTAACTATAACTAACTATAACTAACTATAACTAACTATAACTAACTATAACTAACTATAACTAACTATAACTAACTATAACTAACTATAACTAACTATAACTAACTATAACTAACTATAACTAACTATAACTAACTATAACTAACTATAACTAACTATAACTAACTATAACTAACTATAACTAACTATAACTAACTAACTATAACTAACTATAACTAACTATAACTAACTATAACTAACTATAACTAACTATAACTAACTATAACTAACTTTAACTAACTATAACTAACTATAACTAACTATAACTAACTATAACTAACTATAACTAACTATAACTAACTATAACTAACTATAACTATAATATGTTATAACTGACGTCATAATGTCTTTTAATAATTGTTAATTACATTTAAAAATAATTGAATAAAAACAATTTATATTATTTAAAAATAATCAATTTTAGTTATGATTTATCACAATTAAATGCTTTTAATTATATATTTTAAAATCTAAGTCTTATATTAATAAAAAACAATAATTATTATGTAAAATAATAGTGTAATTTTGTTGAATTTATTTATAAAAAAAATAAATGTAATAAACAATTTTCGTCATTAATTTCATCACTGATTCAATTGTTTTTTATGTTATTTTTATTATCAAATAGCCTTTAACTTATCAGATGTCTCATTATATTCAAAAAATAGTTTTATTTAGTGTTTAGCTATTATTTGAATCCAAGGGCGAGATTCTACAATATTTTCATTGAGTTTAGGACTACTAAGATAGGGATGAAATCTAAAAATATGTTGCATTCATATAATATTTTAGTTAAAAAGTTTTGAAGTTTTGTTGGCACTTATAGTGACTTAAAACTGACAAAAACTTTGACAACAAATCGCTTTAAGATTTTGCGCGAAATTAGAGAGACTGACATCAGTTTGACATCAGATTAACGAAAATGCGTTAAACAAACTATATTTTTGTTATAATTTAAACTCAACTAAAAATTAAATTAATTATATTTATCTTTCTTTGTGTTCAATATTTTTCATTTCAAGTTTTTTTGATAAGTCTTAAACATTTAAATTGGAAATTTAAGTTACCATTGATGGCAACCAACAAATATTCGGCACCGAAAGTATGGAAGAGACCGTATACTAGTATTTATAACAATAATTACAAGTATGGAAACTCTCTCTACTCCGATGCCATTGAAAATATCGACAAAAAATATAATGAAGCCATGGCTCGGACCAGTTTGGCAGTCGATAGACCAGACCTTAATTTGTCCACTTTCTCCGATAGTCAACTATCAGGTGAGTCATCAGTGATTCCAAAGGAACGATCATTGGCTTCGACAATAACTGTTGAAGACACACACAATTCGGATCGGATACGACTTTTTAGTCCAATTCAAAGCAAATTTGATGCAACTTCAAGAAGATTACAACATTCAGATTCACTTAACAGTCATTCAAAACCATTAATCAATAATGGATTAGACTTTGAGGACAAAAGATTAAAAAGAAGTCATTCAGTCAAAACAAGTCAAAGAAGAAATTTTGAAAATATGGTTGACTTGATTGCCATCACTGCTGTCGATGAGACACTCATTGATAATAATGACGGACAACCAGATCAGGCATTTTGGACGGAAAGATGGTATAAAAACTCCGTCAGAAGTGTCTCACATAATCTCTATTCAAAGGGTTTAATGACAGCCCTAACAGTTTGAATATAGATTTAAAGTGGTTTCAGATTCAATAGCTATCAGTATTGTAATCTAAATAAACTATTGTTTGGAAACAATCCAAACTAACATTTGTTTGAACAATAATTTCATCAAAAATATCCCAATATTTTAAAATCCCAATTAAAATATATTATTACAGTACTAACATATATTTATATTTACTAATTATTATTTAGTTTAATTTTAAAAGCTTTGTGTTTAAATTGGTTTAAATTAAGATATTTTAAGACACAAATCAATGTTAAATGTTTATTATAAAATTGTCAAATATTAAAAAGACACTTATTTTAAAAATAATCTCATTTTGATTGACAATTTAGTAAATAAATATTAAAATTTAATTATATAAAATATGAAATGACAATTATTATACAGTATAAGTGTTAACTTGTTATGTCAAATATATTATTAATTTTATCTTATGTAATACTGTACTTAATTTAATATATTTTGTCATTCAAATCTGTTGTAATAAAATATCTAAAAATAAATTAAAGAATTTAAGTATAAAATCTTATATTACTTGATTGCATACTTGAACTTAATATCTTATAACTTAGTGTACATACATATGGAATTGTGTTTAATTTATATTAAAAATTCATAAATTGATCAGTTATTGAAAAGTCATGTGATTTATATTATAAACACTATGGCTATTAATAACTTCAAGAATTGGCTATATTTAGTAGTTTTGTATTTTTGTATATAAATATAATAATCACGAGTATAGTAAATGTATTGATATTAATCATATAAATATTGATTATTAATTTTAATCTAAACGAGTTATCATTTATGGCATCAATCATATATGTAGTAATGATTATTTAGAGTACATCCCAATTCAGCTGCACTTTGGATATGTCTTCAACAATATGTAAACACTTTCAACTATGTATTTTGAATTTCATTTTTTTATATCATCTATTTCTATGAAATAGGTTATCGATATACTGTAGTACTTTGAAAAATATATTGATTTCTTGATGAATTACATACAAAATTGTGTAATTTTATAGTGATTTATCTCTTATTTCTTTCAGTTTACAACTATTTAGTTTAGTTTAATACTAATTGATCAAAGGTTAAGTAATAGAAAATTATATACAAAACTAATTCTGTACTCAAAATTATTAATAATCTATTGATAAATACTATACATAAATTAATGTAATGCATGAACTAATAGAAAAAACTACCGGTAATAGAAATTGTAAATGACATTAAGTAGGGTATTGTATACATTGAATGATAATTGTTTAACTGTACAGTATAATGTATCAAATTTTGACTATACAATAAAATTAAATAACAAAAAATATTATATAAATATTATATAGTTATTATATAATTATTTTATAAATAAAAAAACATGTACTTTGAAGAGCAACAATTAAAGTACCGGTAATACTGTATAGTTAGTAATAAAGCCGGAAAATGTGCAAATGATGCAATAGACTCAATAAATTAAAGCATTTCATTGATGATAAATTTATTATCGTTATTACAGCATATGATTTATGCACTGTATTACAAACTGTTTTATATATTATTGAAGCAAATTTTCTCAGATGTTTAACGAATTAAAACTAATTTAAAATTAAATATTGGAAAATCAATAGATATAAATTATATTAGGTGCTAACAGATGTTAATAAAAAATTATTTCCGATAATTATATATATATATATTAATATTTTTTATCTATAGATTATAGATGTTAATATAATAAATAAATATTTATCGAAAAAAAGTTTGCAATAAATAATTTAATTTTAATTATATTTTATATAAAATACTAAATAATTGATCAATTGATTGATCACTATTTAATTGTAACGATTGACATAAATTCCTATTTATTCATTACAACAGATATCAGCAGAAGTATTGATATTAATAATATAATGAACTCTAGGAAATCAATATCACTGATGACACTGTCATTAGTATATCAATCAAAACTAATTTAAAGTTTATTTACTTTACATGAGTATCACTGATCTGTGTCTCAAATATTTATGTAATATTAAACTTATGTTTTGTTTACTTTAATAATTCAATGTTTTGCTAAATATTTGTATTAATTATCGACACGTTTATCATTATAATTACATAAAGTTATTCAAATTGTTTATATATCATTGATTTTTAAAAAGTTTATGCAAACATAAATCACAGGAATTACATAAACTTAGAAAAATTTAATATAATATTTCATTTATATCAAAATAATATAGACATTAATTTGATACTATCATAATACTGTATATATTGTAGTAAAATATTCTTTATTTGTACTGATTTTTCATTAAAAAAATAAATAGTTTGGTAAATAACAAATATTTTATAAAATTTTATATATCATTATAAAAATGTGTATATATTTGACATGAATTTGTCAATACATTGAAAATAGGGAATAAAAAATTTTGAAACAAAATCTCTTTCGCTAACAGTTATACTGTATTAACATATTTCTGATGCAACGCTTCATAAGTGTTACTATCAATGCATTCAATCATTAACTATAATAATGCAGTGATTATTAGTATTTAAAAAATAAATAAATTAAAAGCAAATGTTTAATAGTTTAACATTAAATTTATTATTAACATTAAATAATAATTGTCATTATTAGTCACTTCACATAATTATATATATATATATAATTTCTTAAGAAAATAAAATCAAGTTTTTATAATTATCATAAATTTATATATTTTATAAAAATAGTATAAAAAATAAATAATGTATAAATACAATATATATATACAATATAAATGTGTATTTATAATGTAAATAATTAATGACATGAAATATACAGATGAGATGTGTATGATATGACAAGTGGTCAATGAATGGTCAGATGAAGTGGCCATTGAGTGGTCCTTCAAGTTTGACTATCAATGTTGAGTTCGTCATCATTGGGTGTATATATCCTTTCATTTTCCACAAGAATTCCGATACAGTATTTGTCTAACATATCGGTCGCGTCTTTGCTATGTCTGGATCCGCGAAACACAAGAGTGGCATCTCTTCCGGCGCTTTCCATAACGATATACTCTCCTCCCGGATGTTCGGCTAAAAAGTTGGTCACATCGTAGACCAGATCATAGATGATTAGCCAGCAGTCATTGTAGTGACAGTGTTCAGACACCTGTGACAGTGTATATTGCGGTAGATTTCGCCAACTATTGTGTGGCAGACACGGAGTCTTTGACTCTTGACTCGAGTAAAGCCACGAATTAGTTGTCGAAGACATGTTTGACACAAAGTTTTGCAGTTTTTCCAACATTTTCACCGATTTTTTAGTCTGTGGTTAAGCCAATCAACAAAAGTTTTGATATTAATGGTTAATATGTTATCACTTAATGATATAATAATAAATTGATGGATGTTTTCAATGCAATTCATGCTTTTATGCAAACTGTTGGATATAGTTATCACTTAATACTATCAATACATTACATCAGATTTTGACGCCAAAACTCATACAATGGGAGGTACTTATGATAGTTGTCATAGATTTATACTTCACGTCATGTGTGGTACCTATTGTGACCAATGGGCTGATCCATGGGTTGTCATGTGTTGTGATGTTTGTGCCTAATGTTAATAATGTATGTGTTATTCAGGCACTGATGTACTCCCTAAGCACTGATTGAAAATCAATTGAAAACAGTTATCAAATATAACTATTAGTGCTGTCAATCAATTGATTGATTTATTAACTGTTGCTAACATTTATTATTAATTATAGCCAACCTTTCCGTATCTTCACTGCACTGTTGCCTTGACTTGAGTTTTGCAATCAATGCAATCACCAGTTATTACAGTAAACATAACAATAAACAACTAAATGCACCAAACAATTCAAATATTTGATTTTAAATCACATAATTATTTATGATTTAAGTGCCATATTATCGGCCAATAAATTCATTCACTTTTATTTCAATGCACTCTTATTTTTAAAGCACTTTAAATTTTTGTTGACTTTATTTTTATTATCGTATTCAATATAAAAATGACCCATCAATTATCACTATATTCTCAATAAATTGATACAATGATAAACTAGCTAAATATAAACCAATAGTAAATTTAATGTCTAATTATATTCATATAAAACATTTTTTAGCTAAATCAGGAAAACTACTTAACTATGAAAAAGTTTTTCCAACTTTTTTGGCGCTAAGCCCCGGGGCTCACACCATACTATACTACTGTACTGTACTGTACTGTAATACTGTACAGTGTATACAATAAACATAAATGATTTGATAAAGTTGTTTGCTTATAGCAACATACATATCATGATATCTACTACTAGATAGACACATATACTAAGATTATTGTGATAATTATGTTCAAAATTATATTTTCTAATATTTTTAAAAATAGTTGCTATAAGTTAATTGTGTTGTCCTTCAACTCAAAACAAAACTTATTTGGGAAATACTCTAATAAAATGCCAAAAAACATTAATTGGCAGATATTAGTAATTTTATTGACAAATATTAATTGAATATAAATAAAAATAAAGTGAAAAACACTTTGAAACTCGAGTTCAGTGAGCAGTCATTGATTAGATGTTGGCGTCAATTAAACAAATAAATAAAAAATTTAGATTTAATTTGACTTAAGGACAACATATAATAGCAGTTCCCGATATATATACTTGTATTTTATCTATGTTTGCTTGATTTATGTGATTATATTTTATAAAATTTAAAAATACATAAATTATTTTTTATATTGTAATATTACTCTAAAATAAAAATGTATATAAACATAATTGTGTATTTAAATATTGTTTATACAATATTAAATATAAAAAGTCCATGTACAATTGCATAATTAAGTATAAATATTATAATTTTCTGTTTATAAATATCCACAAACTTATTAACCTTTTAATTATATTAAATTATATAACTTTGTAATCATTGTAAATATTGTTATGATTATCTCAATTTACTTTTGATTTTAGATATATTTGTGATAAATCAACTAAATATCAATTTATTAGTAAATTATATAACTTTCCAGATCAGGTCAATATAATAACAAATATAATTTCAACCACACGTGTCGTTTATAATAAAAATAAAAGAAAGTGAATCAACAAATTAATTGATAATTTTAACGATAATCCTTAAACGTGTTATGAATACAAATAACTTAATATAACATTTAGACGGGTAATTGCCTCAAAATTGGTTTCAAACTTTATTTTGTAAATATTAAGATATTTTTGTATATATAATACATATTAAATAAAGAATATTACATTACACTGAACTTTATTAAAGATTATTACAATATAATAATGTAATTAATTTAAGTGACAAAAACAAGTTTAGTTCAAAATAATATTCATAATCATTAAGTGATAATTGTTGTAAAGTATAGTACATTAGTTATAGACTGTAAATTTATGATAGCTATATTTTTCTAATTTGCTAATTAAATATCTAAATTTTATTTTTTACATTTAAGATAAATTTAATAAGTAGTTAAAGTATAAGTTATTAAAAAAAACATCGAAAGATTATGATTAAATCGGTTAACAAAATAATGTGTAATCAATTAGGCCTCAAGTTATTTGACATGAAAAACATATAATCAGATGACGTGATACTCGTGTGAAAGCAATTAAAATTTTAAACACAAATAATTTAAAACAATATGAAATAAATATTTTTGTATAATTTAATAATACAGTAGTCAATAAATAATTAATCATGGTTAGTTTGCGAAAACATAAATACGAGCCAAAATATTGTATAAATAAATAAATAAGCATGGTCATATGAACATTTATATTATACTATAGTTGATTGGTTACAATTCATGTGTAGGCAAACATCACGCGATTTATTATATTTTCATTAATATAAATTTATACCGAAAATTGCTAATCGATTATCAAATAATAATAAACAAATAAATAACCTTTTGATGGGAATCCACTAAAAAAATATTGGAAAAAATATGGGAAAACACTTGATATCAGTTATGATTAAGATATAAAACATTTGATAATTAATTTTTATACTGTTTTTATCATTCATGTTAGTCATTATAACTGTTTTAACTTAAAGACAATACATTCATTATATTTTTACTCTAGATTTATGTATTTTAGTTTATAAGTTTTAATTATATTAGGTTATAAAATATTTGATTTAAATAATTAATTAGATATTTAGATATAATTTAGATAATATCATAAAAACTATTAAAAAAAATAATTAGTTAGTTTAAATATATAAATCAATTTATTAATAATATTTATAATATACTTATTAATACTGTATATACTGTACATACTTAACATAAACTCAACATTTCAATAATACTAAAGTAATTAATTATATATTACAGTAATACAGATAAAGTTTACAAAGTATTATAATATGAGATGTAAAGTGTATGGGTTACACATATATTGTATTTATTAAATTATTTGCAATTTTTGTATTAATATTTTATGTAAATATAAATAATTATAAAAGTAATGCTAAAGTACTGTAAGGTATATAATATACTATATATGATATCTTAAATAAAATCATTTTATAGTTCAATAGAAAAACTTGCAGAGAATCTGAATGAAAACAAAGTTATTATAGATATTGTAAATTACAATACAAATGATAATAATATTAAAAATAATAACATTATTAAAATTATAGTAAACTCATTATCAAAACAATTATATTGTGTAACAAAAGTATTATTCAATAATATAAATAATGTTTTTATAACAAAAAATTAAATCATGTTTTAAATAAACCAATTATTAAACACATTTTTTTTATTTATTAATAATATAATAATAATAATTACAGTAAATTATAGATAAATGAATCCCTTTTTGCCATTTAGTTAATAAAAAACAATGCAAATGACAATCAATTATAAAACCCTATTATATAATGTAATATCATATATGAATGTAACAAATAAAGCATTTAATGGTAATAATTAAAATGTGAGAAATGTTGATAACTTTAAGCACACATTGAAATCAATGCTTTTAATTGAAATTTAAACAATTTTTTTATTAATTATTAGTTGTTTTGTTAATATTTGAACGACAATTGCAATGATTGTTAGTTACAATCAATGATATTATTATAAACTAAATGTCACTAAAAATTTGCAAACATTTGTTGCAAACAAATATGTAAACAAAGTGTGGTTTTGACTGCATTTTTGTTTTTTTATTGCAATGATTTTAATGTTACCATTGATTACAATCAAGACATCAATGAAACTATTGTTATGTTGTTATCACTGTTGTGTCTAATCATCTCATTGTTAATCCAATCCATAGTCACATCACAGACCAGTCCAACCAAATGTCAGACAATAGTCAACCAAAATATTGAGATCGACTTCAAGACTCAGATTGTCAGCAATGGTTTGTTTTATTAAATTATACATTTCATCAATGATCTGATCTCTTGATTTTATATCATTTGCAGAATATATCATCACATTTAAGAGTCGGTATAAAAGTGAAACCCGACGGCGTTTCATAGAGTGGGCATTCAATCACTATAAAGACACAAATGTATCACTTATTGAATCCAAAGACTGGCAGATTATTGACCGCCAAAATGTTGGCCAACACTTTCCCAGCGATTTTGATGTCCTTCACGTGAATTGTAATGTTAGTCAAACACTTTTGTCTGAATGGCTCGAAAGACATCCAAATATCAAGAAATTGACGCCACAGAAGATGATCACACGTTTTATTAAATATGTTAATCAATCAAATTATGACGTTTTGAACGATGATTTGGACGACTTTCTTGATATATGCGACGACCAGTTTTGCTGGAATCGCAATAAAAGCGATGATTCGGTTGTCTTTAGAGGTCGTCAATCACTTTCCTGGTTAAATGCTTTTAGTTTTAGTTTTGGAGGAAATGGTGGTGACACTAGAAGACGACTTTTGAGAGCTATTCCTCGACAGATCACTAGTGTATTGCAAGCAGATATACTTTGGGGAATGGGTATTACCGGTGCCGGTGTAAAAGTGGCCGTTTTTGATACGGGTTTGCCTAAGAATCATCAACACTTTAAACGAATTAAAGAACGAACTAATTGGACAAATGAAAAGACATTTGACGATGGCTTAGGTCACGGGACGTTTGTGGCCGGAGTTGTCAACAGTAATAAGGAATGTCTTGGCTTTGCTCCCGACGCCGAACTCCATGTGTATCGAGTGTTCACTAATAATCAGGTGTCATATACTTCATGGTTTTTGGATGCTTTTAATTATGCGATTCTCAAGAAAATTAATGTTTTGAATTTGAGTATCGGTGGACCAGACTTTATGGACCACCCGTTTGTTGACAAAGTTTGGGAATTGACTGCTAATAATATAATCATGATATCAGCCATTGGTAATGATGGACCACTTTATGGAACTCTTAACAATCCTGCCGATCAAATGGATGTCATAGGTGTTGGAGGTATTAATTTTGAAGACCAAATCGCTCGTTTTTCGTCTCGAGGAATGACTACATGGGAGTTACCTTCAGGCTATGGCCGTCTAAAACCAGATATTGTTACATATGGATCAGCAGTACGGGGTTCGAGCATCAAAGGTGGTTGCCGTTCACTATCGGGAACATCAGTGGCATCACCAGTAGTTGCGGGTGCGGTTACTTTACTAATGAGTGCTGTACTACATATGGGAAATGCTATAAACCCGGCCTCAATGAAACAGGCGCTTATGGCCTCTGCAAGACGTTTGCCAAACATACCAATGTTTGAACAGGGATGGGGTAAACTTGATTTAGTTCGTGCTTATCAAGTATTACTATCATATAGACCTCAGGCTACTCTTAGTCCAAGTTATTTAGACTTTACTGAATGTCCATACATGTGGCCATACTGTACACAACCATTATATTACAGTGCAATGCCTACCATTGTTAATATAACAATTTTAAATGGTATGGGAGTAACGGGTTATATTAGTGGAAAGCCTCAATGGCATCCATATACACCACAAAATGGACAATATTTGGATATTGCTATTACTTATTCTGATATATTATGGCCATGGAGTGGATGGATGTCTATATATATCTCGGTATCAGCTGATGCTCAACAATGGGAGGGTATAGCACAGGGTCATATTAGTTTAACAGTTGAATCTCCTCCAAGTGAACGTGGAGGTCAGCCACAAAAATCTGACATTAAATTACCAATTAAAGTGAAAATAATAGCGACACCGCCTAAAAGTAAACGAATTCTATGGGATCAGTACCATAATCTTCGTTACCCTCCCGGATACTTTCCGCGTGACAATCTTCATATGAAGAATGATCCGTTAGATTGGAATGGAGATCACATTCAGTTGGTTTATATCAAATGATTAATGATATTCACAGTTTAATATTTAATATTTTATTTTCAGCACAAACTTCAAAGACATGTATCAACACTTGCGAACCAATGGTTATTACGTAGAAGTATTAGGTGTGCCATACACTTGCTTTGACGCCAAACTTTATGGTACATTACTAGTCGTCGATCCTGAAGAAGAGTTTTTTCCCGAAGAGATAACAAAACTGAAACGAGATGTCGATGACGGTCTATCTGTCATTTTATTTGCTGATTGGTATAACGTTACGGTTATGAAAAAAGTCAAGTTTTATGATGAAAATACTCGTCAGTGGTGGGTATGTATTGATTCAAATTTAAAATTGATAAACCAATTAATTTACCGGTAAATTAATTTGATTACTAAACTTGTTTTATAGGAACCAGACACCGGTGGTTCTAATATTCCAGCACTTAATGATTTATTATCCTCTTGGGGTATAGTACTGGGAGACTATGTATATGAGGGTGAGTTTAAGATAGGCACACATGATATGTATTATGCCTCCGGTGCTAGTATTGTGAAATTCCCACAAAAAGACAGTGTTTTAGTTAGAAAGGATCTCAACGATCAAGGATTAGAAATATTAAACGGACAAAAACAAGAGATCAAAAATGTACCCATTCTTGGACTCTATAGTTCTTACAGTGAAATTGGTGCTCAAAAGGGAAGAATATCTATTTATGGTGACTCTAATTGTTTAGATACGGCTCATATGCAAAAAGATTGTTTTTGGATGATTGAAGCTTTGCTTCAATTTTCAACCACTGGAAAAGTTCCCGTCATATTTGAACAATCAATTAAAGATGAAGATATTAAGGCAAACGAAGTACAAAACAGTGATATTAATGATAAGCAGAGACATCAACTACAAGAGGTTCCGCAACGAATGGAAGGCAATCATTTGTATCGATATTCAAAAGTATTAGAACATCACTTGGAAAATACACATACGATTCGTAGTCTTCCTTCATGTTTGTCATTAAAATACGAAACAGCGGTTCCACTCAACAAATCTTTGCCAACCAATCTGTATAAATCGCAAAAACTATTATCTGTTAGTGGAATAGATATTCCGATGTCATTCCCGCAGCCAAAACACACCAACAACTTTGAACACTTTGATTCATCTCAATGGGAAACGGGAGCCCTTTTCTATGATGTAAAGGATTCAGAAGTACGCATACCATCTCTAACTACTCTTTTTTTGGTTGTTATTATGGTTTTGGTATTCTTTCTGCTTAAACAATGGTTTTTCCATCTGAGACCTCACAGACCGCGCAAACGAAGGTCACGAATAACTGTTAGACGACTATTACTACAGGCTTTGCCTTCACGAGTGCCCACTGTATGACTTGTGATACCATTGAAGGCAAGAGTAACTAAAATTTATTATATATTTTTTATAATTATAATTAAGTTTTTAGTTACTTTTTTAAATTTTCATATTCACTATTAACACATTAACATTATTATAACATCATTATATATTAACAATAATGACTATAATATCAAATTTAATTTTTTAATGTTTTGTTGTAAATCTTATAATATATTTCTAATTACATATTTTAAATATATTTACAAGTAATAGCAATAATAGTTATTTGTTAATTCCAAGTAATGTTCCGAGTTTTGAAACATAAAATGATAACTAAACTAAAAATTTTATAAGTAGTAAATAAATAATAATTATAAATTTAAAAATAGTAAATAATATTTTAGCAAATAATAGTTAAATAATAATTAATGTATTTGAAAATATTTATTAGCTTTTTTTATTATTTATTTAACTTATATAATAAACACATTTATTAATTTATAAAGTGATAAAAAGGTTTTAAATTGTAAATTAAAGACTAAATTGAGATGAACTGATTCGACCCGAAATGAAATATATATATAAATGAATGCTTCGATTGTTTGTTGACTGCAAATCATGTTATTTGTTGTTATCTAAGATTATTTCAATACACGACTACATTCACTAAACCACTTATAATCTCAAACCGATTGGACTCTAATTCTAATTTATATTACATTACATTTCCGTCAAAATTTTATTTTTAAAAACACTTTTCATCAGATAATGCTTTTTGAAGAATAAGCTTTTTATTACAATACAAAACGTGTTATACATTATTTAGTACAATGATTTTGGCACCAAATCATTGATAAAATTATATATTGTTAGCTATCATTGTTACAAATTTAATATTACAAAGTTTTCTTTTATAAACATAAGACATAGACATAAGATAATCATTTTTCTAATCAATTGCATGGTTTTGTTTAAGAATTGCTTATATTTTATTAATTTTTTTAAACCGAGTTTTTATATCGAATATTAATATATTTATGATATGTTTATTATTTTTCTTGTTATAGGATTTGTATTTTGCAAGTGATTTATATGAAGAAGTTTGTGATAATAAAGTGGACAACATTTACACGGATTGTTGGCTGGTTTTGATACAAACCTATTGTTACTCATATCCAAACATTGAGACTCTCTTTGATCTCATCGAAGATATCATCGCAACTAAAACATTATGTCTATAAAAATGCAATATATTTATCATTTTAAAAAATAATTTTTATTATCACTATTTTTATTTTATTATTTATCATTATTAACAAATTAGTCATACAATACATTCATTAAGTTTTTTTTATGAAATATGGAAAATGGGCTATAAATTAATTGTAAATAATTTTATTTATACAGTATATAATTTAAAAAGATATCGTTACAATGTTTTGATGTAAAGTTGATATTTTTAAGAAATAAAATAATTTATATATTATTTGTAATATGAGATACATGTACTTAATTACAGTTAATAGAAAACTCCACATAAAAGTGCAATTATTATTAAAAGTTTAGAATTAAATAAAATTTTATTATATTTCTTTTAATAAAAATTAGAATAATAAAGATTAAATTATATGTTTACGATTATAATATGAACATAAAATAATATTTATTTAAAGATTATTTGGAATAATTTTATGAATACAATTTACATTATAAAAAAGTTATAATTGTTAAATTATTTTATTTAAATATTGGACGTACTGGATTATTTTCTAATTAGGAGTCATAATATCAATAATATTTACAAAATTTGTTTTTTTACTACTGAATACTTATTTTTAATTTAAATTTTTAATAAAATTTTTATGTTAATTAGGTTTGTCCAGATAATTACTGGAGGTTTGACAACAATATTGAAATACTAATACATTGTGACAAAAAACATTTACTCGTCAATAAGTCTAAGCGCAAAAACGATACTTTATTGAATTATAAATAAATAATTCATAAATATTAGTTAATATACAATGTTTATAAAAACTATTATAAATAAATTATATATAATATATATATAAAATAGCTTATTAGTAAAATTATATAAACTGTAATTAACGGTATAAATGAAATACTAATAGATATTTTCTTATTAGTGGTTAAAAAAAGTGAATATGCGTCAAATGTATGCACTGTAGTAATGTATTTAAAAGTTATAATTATATAATTATAGAGATTTTATTGGTTTAAAATTTGTTGAGCAATATCTCTGACATTAGTTTTACGAACAAATATTTTTGGCAACGGATTCAAAATGGATTAACAGTTAAACAAATTCTTCCAAATTATTCACTAGTTTTCTGTAATATTTGTTTTGATTTAAATTTGAAATTATTGTCAAACATGACTAAAGTAAGTGTAATTATTTCAATTAATTATTTTTAATTTAATTTAAATATTTATAAGGAATCTATAAAAATATTTTTTGGAATATTTTATATAATATTTAACTTAACAATAATAACAATAACTTATAAAAATATATTATTTACTAATATATTAATATTTATTGTAAGAATTATAAAATTATAGAAATTTTTTTTATAATTTATTTATTCACATAACTATTAATTATAAATTATAAAGAATTATTATTATTGAAATAATTCTTTAAATACTTAATTTATTGAATATAAACAAATGTTTTAAAATGTTTAAAAGTATATTCAAATTTCTACTGTATTGCTCTAATAAAACTAAATAGTCTTATAATAAATTATTTGTGTAAAATTGTATAAACATGTATAAAATTAGTTATAAATTATTAAAATAATATATTTGTGTGTGTGTTATGTAATATTAGTTTAGAATAAACAGTATAAATATATACAGTATAAACGGTATACAGAAATAGCATACATTACATTAAAAAATTTAAGTACAGTTATATTTTATATACTTTTATATATTTGTAATATTTTAAATTAATTAAATTATTGTTAAATGGATTAAATATTAGTAATTAATTATTGATTACATTAAAATAATAATCATTATTATCATATTGATTCAACAATTAAAAAGTAAAATTAAAATAGTTAAATATAAAAATAAATATTATCAATTAATTATTATATTATATATTCATAAGTTAAATAGTTTATTCTATTAATTAAATAATATTAAATAATATTAAATAAATGATAGTATATATCCTGTAATCAATGATTGGCTTCTTTTACATTAAGAATTTTCATAAGTTCTATGGTTTCATAGTTTTATTTATAACTAAATTTTGAATGAAAGCCAAATTGTAGACAACATTTGCTCCACTTTTGATGATTATATTGTGTTTGTTTGCAATGACACCAATCAACTCATAAAATTAAATTATAACAACAATCATGATTTTCTAATAATCTTTTAATTATTTATAAATACTATTATTTTAAAAAATAACATAAAATATGTGGTCATTGCTTAAGTAATTTAAAAACTGATATAATTACTGATATAATATATTGTAAGTACTTCAATAAAAAATATATTGTACTAAAAGTAAATTTATAATATATGATACAATAAGTTTTAATACAATAATATTTATTAATTGTAGAGATCATATATGTGATAAAATTAATGAAGTGATCTCAAAATTTATTATTAATATTATGTGACAATAAAGTTTATAACAATTTAAGATAACTTTTACTTCCTTTAGTAGTATTAAAAAATGTTAGACTTGTTTTAATGGGATGAACTTGATTTCATCATAGAGTATATCATTTTATCAATAGTTAGAAATTATTCATAAAACAAAATAAATAATTTTATGGCAATAATCAATTTTGTAAAAATAAACATAAAACATATTGAAAATTCATGAAATTATAACTACGAAAGCAAATAAAAAATACTTAAACGACTTATAATTAATGATATTATTAACTGATATACTGTATGATTAATGTCATTAAAAAGTCGTTATTTAGTAAAAATGTAATTCATTAAACATAAAATTTTACTTTGAATTTTTACAATTTTATTATATAAAGTCTCTTTTTAATATACTAAACAAAACATTTTTTAAATAACATTTTTATAAAAAAAAGTTTCAAGAGCTAATTTATAATCATTTTGCAATCATAGTTATTTAACTTAATTTAAAATATAAATAAATGTATTATACATTTTTTGCCGTTTTTTACATACATTTGCATATTTTAAAGATTATATTTTGTTTAATAATACATATACTTTCTAATAAATATAATTTATGTAAATACTTTTAATTATAGTGCAAAACAAACCAATAAGTTTTAAGAGATAATCGGTTTTTTAAATTAGACATCTTTCGACATTAAATTTAAAATAAACAAATTTTCAAATAATTATATTTTCAATATTTTTTTGTTAAATAATAAAGTTTTCTATAATTTGATTTAAATAATAATAGATTAGATAATTAATTAATTAATGATATTAAATTTATGTATACAATTGTACTTACAATACTTTAAATAAGTTTGATTGAATGAAACTATTTAAATGATTTACAAAAATATAAGAAAAGATTAGTGAAAGAAAACGTAAACATTCATCATATTTGACATTAAGTTTAACGACACGACTGTCCCAACTAAGCTTCCGTTATAAACATAAGCATTAAAACATTTTATATAAATACTTTCAATACTGTAAATATTAATACTTTTAGTAATACTTAAATAACTTACAAAATACGTATATAAATAAAGTACAGTATTATTTAATATTACAAAAAAATGTTTTTGAATTTACAGTATTATATATTTTTTAAATAAAATAGTTTTAAATAAAACATTAATAATTATTATTAAATTATATATAAATTATAACAATGCTAAATAACTTTAGCAATTTAAATAAATTTTCTTATTTAAATAATTTTCAAAACATAGAAAATAAATTATTTTTTACATTAAACACCTACGAGACTGCTATCAGATTATATTAATTTATTAAAAATAATTTGACACCATATATAATTTTTATATTTATACTTTAAATTTTTATGTATATTAATATAGCTTTTAAGTACTGTACTATAAATGTATAACTCTGTAAATTTTGTTAGCTTTTACATTTTATAAAACCATAATTTATAATAGTTTAATAGCTAGTTTGTACATTATTTTAACATATTAATATAATATTAATGGTAATCGAGCAACTATTATTAACAATTTTTATTTTATATTAATATTTATAGTTATTTATAAAATATTAAAATAAGAACATACGGTACATAAAAATAATAAAAATAAGATTTTTATATATCATGAGTAGACCGTAGAGGTGAAGTGCCTGTGCCAATGAACCGGCTTATCTCACTGAGAGATAGACAGTGGCTATTCATTGATGCCATTCCTACCATTCCTCAGCTTTAGATAGCAAACTTCCTCGATGTATATATATATATATATATATATGTGTGTGTGTGTGTGTGATGACTGAGCGTCTAAAGTCAATATTGTCTTAAAAGAGCAGTTATTTTAGTGATCACATCATTTAAGACACAAATTTTTGGAAACTTTTCAATTTATAAGGAAAAACAAGAATTTAGGAGAGAGAGAGAGAGAGAGAGAGAGAGAGAGAGAGAGAGAGAGAGAGAGAGAGAGAGAGAGAGAGTTTATTTTAAGATATTTAAAGAAACTGCTCTTTATTATGTATATTCATTAGTTATATAGACATCAGTTATTTTTTTGGATCAAAATCCTTATACAAGACGCTAATAAAAAGCCAAAAAACTCAATGAAGACACAAACAACACAACACTTACTATTGTTTTATATCTCAACCGGAAATCTTTATTTTTATTTAAGGCTAATGTTTTAAAACACAATTTAATACTAAAGATTTAAATTAAGTGCAAATAGACTTAAGATTTAAATTTTTATTTATAAAAATATAACTTATTTTAATATATTAAATTCAAGTTAGTAGTAAGCAAAACATAATATAAATCATAATTTAAAAATAAGTTTTAGATAAAAAAAATTATCAAATTAGTAAAAATATTAATAAATTATTTGATGCGTTCATTCAATTCATAAAAAATCACAGCTATTATCATAATATGGAATAAATTAATTAATGTTTTAAATAACTGGTTCCTAAATAATTGTTAAATCGTGTTCATTATTAATGAAAATTTTTGTGCATTTAATTTTAATATTATTTTCATTATGATTTATATTAATATAAGTTAGTAAAATACAGTATAATATCTGTATAATACAATCATACATAATGATATATAAGAAAATCATTTAAAATTAAATATTCAACTTTTATATAGCAAACAACATAGTTTATGATAATAAATCATAAGAGATGTGTTATTTTAGGAGTCAATATAAATATTTTTGATAATAATAGAAATATAAATAATAATTTGATACATTTCCTAGAAATTGTTGAACATTAAGCACTATGTAAATAGTAAGTCATAGAGAAAGTCGATAAATAATTAAATATTTTAAATACATTTAGCAAACAATTTTGAAGAAACATTTGTTGTAAAAAAGAGGAAAGAAATGTTAATAAAATATTTAATTAACACTTTACGGCAAAAAATAACAAAATTCAAGATCATAGTAAAGGTGCAACACTTGTATAACATTTAACACATATTTATATATGAATGGTATCCCCGGACTATTAAGACAACCAATTTAATGAATTAAATGACTTTCAAAAAAGTATAGTTACATAGTTTAATCTATATAATATACAGTATAAAATTATGTGTATTTATTTATAATCTTAATTAAGATTTAGGAATCAGATATAAAAATTAATGTTTAGAGAAAAGTACTTAAAATTGTTTTAAAAAATAATAAAATATTTGTGGTGTTGTGTTCCCATTCCTGGTTAACTTAACAACAACAACAATATAATAATAATAATAATAAACAGAGATTGCTTTGTAAAATAGCAACAAAACAATTATATGTTTAATATTGAAGCAAAGGATCCCATAGCCGCCAATCTATTATTATAGTCACTCATACTTTATATATAACTATTCAATTTATTCACGAAATTATTTAATTTTTATACAAAAGCTAAAATATTTTTTGTTTGTAATGAATTTGCATTTTTGCATAATATATAATTGTAAAGTTTATTTGAGTATATTCTTTAATTTTGGACAATCAAATAACTTATGTTTAGAGAGAGAGAGAGAGAGAGAGAGAGAGAGATTGGATTGAGTGGGTGGGTGTGTGTATGTAAGGGGACTTAGAGTAAAGCATGTGATATGATATATACAGAGTAAATGATATAATAGATGTTACGTTGAACTTTTGCACATTTTTTCATTACTTTTTTCACTATATTGTTGAAACTAAATTTACATGAATCACATGTAAAGCTTATATTAATTAAAAAGTCATTCATTTCAGATGCCGTCCCGATATAGTAAAGGGAACAATAGTTTGAAGTTCAGTAGTGATATAAGTGGCGGTCCCTCAGCCCTCAGTCTCTATACTAATGCAACCAATAATAAGAGTACTTCTTCAGCATCTTCTGGATATATATCAGATCACTACTCAAGTCCATCGAGTTATCACTCACTGTCCGGTTATATAAGTGATGTCGGCAGCAGTAGTCAGCTATCAAAAAGCAGTTATCTTCATTCAAATACATACCGAAGCACTACAGGGGTTAAAACCTACTCAACTTATGGTAGTTCCTATACAAGTAGTGGTAGTAGTAGTAGTACAGTGCCTCGTAATCTATCAACAAATACATCGCGAATGCCATCCATTAGCTATTCATATAGCAATGGTTACGCCCGTAATACGAGTCCAAACCCTCCTAAATATGTGTCGTATTCAAGATCTTCAAGAAGTACTACTCATTCAAGTCATGAGTTTAATAACAATAATAAAATTAATGAAATAACTGAAAAAAGCAAAGCACCGGCAGATTTCTCATCAGATTCAGACTCAGAAAGCAATGAGACAGATATGATAACCCATACAAACATTATAGTGACCTCCCGTTCCACTTCTCCTAACAGAGAGGTCTCCCATATTAGAGTAGATTCCATATCAGCCATACAACAGATAATTCGCCCGAAAAAAGTTATGTTTGGCGTCAGTTTGAAAAAACAATCACAACTAACACAAGTCAAGGAAAATGATTTTATTGATAGACTGCCGGAGTCACGATCTCCCTGTCGATCACTAACACCCACACCAATGAACATCTCACGACTCAGTCCAACAATAAGCCCAAACATAAGTCCAACATTAAGTCCAGCTGTCAGTCCCACTCCAAGTGTAAGTCCAAGTCATTCGCCGTCATCAACAGTTAGGATGCGTTACGGATATACTCCTAACAGAAAGTCTAATAACAGATCTAATTTCAATCGATATTCAATGCCAGTCATGACAATCACTACCTCTGCAATGGAAACCGATTATTCAAATTTCACATCCATTTCCAACAATACAAATAATAGTCATATAGAGAGAGCACAATCACCACAAACTTCAACGTCAGTATCAAACTTAGCGCAACAGTCTCTGCAAACAATGCCTGTCATTATTGATCAACAATCAAATGCTAATAACAATACAGTTAATTGTAATTGTGATCAAAAATCATATGAAAATGATAATAATAATAACAATCTTTTAGTTAATGATTCAAAATCTATAGTTCAGAGAAGATCAGCGAACAGAATATCGCCATCAATTATAAGAAGACGAAGAAGTCAATCAAGAGGCAAACTCTCGGGTCGATCAAGAAGTAGGTCTAGAGATGTATTGGATAAACACGAGTCTGAGTCAACACTTACTACTAGTAGTAGTAGTGATGATGAAGAGCACCGACAAAACAACACATCTGAGAGACGCTCGAGAATCAGGAAAAAGAAAAACTTTGCAAATATTGACACAAATCTAACAAATCAAATGCAATGTAAAAATAACAATGAAATCATTTTGAATACAAATATAATAACACCTGTGGAAGATCAGTGTTTAGGGGACTCATGTGTAAACACCATGGATGACCACATCTGCAATAATCATTGCAATAATTTCAACAATAAATCAAATCAATTGCTTACCGACTCTGATAATATCATTATTAGTCAAACACTTCCTAATGGTTTCAAATTAGCAGCAAATGATTTGATGACAGAACTATATACAACTGCTTCTGAATGTGAAGACAGCGAGTTCTTTGAGTCGGACGCCGAAAAAATTTATCCGACATCAGTCCAGATTAGCACAAGAAATACCAGTAATAGCAATGGTAACGATAAGACAGACCAGGCATTGCAACTCAGTGTTACTTATAGTCATATTAGGTCACAAACAAAGGATTCAAGCGAGAGCTCTGATAACAGTTCAAAAAGTTATGATACTATTAGACTTAATGACCAAAACATTCAAAAATCTACTTCTGATTTAAAAGTAATTTCAAGTAATAGACAGAGAGATGAAGGAGTGTCTGAAGACAAATGTTTGACTTATAAAGAGAGCTGTCGTGACAAAAGTGGTGACAATAGTAGTTGTATTTTATCAGATATGACTCGCGAGTCAGTCGACTGTCTCGATATGAATCCGGTGTCATGTTTGCCATCGTTTCCTAAAGAAGATAATGACATTGTATTACAAGACCTTAACCTAAAAGAAGGTTCATTGCGTGACTCCGGCTTTTCAGAGTCATCTAATCGTCCGGATTCTCCATACGATAATATTGTTAAACCAAATGATGCAATCAGTCTTCAAAATGACTACAATTTAAACAATATTGTCTCTAATAATGAAAACGAAATTTTCAATAAAAAACAATTATTAAATAATAATAATATTAAAGTGAATGACATTAAAGACAACGACTCGTTAAATGAACGCAAAGTACAGACAGTGACTGATTTAGACACAAATCTTAAGACAAATCAACTATCGGTCGAACAGTTTATGAAAGATGAGGCGCGAAATAGTCTGAGTTTATTCATAAGTAAATGTCAAGATATCGATGAAATGATAGGTCCGACCTCTCCTATCAGTCCAAATCAATTATCACACTTTAATTCTTCACATTTCTCTCAAATATTTGAGAGGATTGATGAAGAAGACGACAGCGATTCAGTGGCAGTCGATGTATCAGATGTTAAAGTTCACTACGGATTAGCTATTAAACCAACCGTAATGTCTTAATTTATATTATTGATTAAAAAAATATTTTATAGTTTTTGACAATCAGTTTAATTAGCAATTCATTGATTAATTGATATTTTTGTTGTTCAGGTGGAGGCCTATACTGAAGAAATAGATTCCAGTGCTGTCAGGATTAGAGAAAATAAAGCTCTTTCCGGACATTTATCCAAAATTAGTGAAGAAATTGAGGACAACTTCACTGAAATACATGTGAATCCAGTTTATGAAAACAGTTTTACAAAAGTAAGAAACATTTTTCGCTTGTTTTTCTTATTTTACATAACTTTTTATTATTGCCATTAATTGCCTTCATCTAAGATTTTATTAAATTTTTAAAAATATATATTATATTATTATATGTTTATGTAATTTAATACAATTTTTTTAATCATGTTATTTATTCGATTATTTGTTTAGTCCATTAAATCGATATTTATAGTATTATTTCTGTATTATTAGTTTTAAAACAGCATTTCATATACATATTGTATATACAGTACATAAATTAGGCAATATCTACTATAAATTATTGAATACATTGGATTTAAATATTTATTAATAGTTTCAAATATTTTTATATTAAATACAATATTCAGTTTTTATTATTATAATTATAACTTTTGTAACATAACTGTTCTTATTATTATCATATTTAATATACTCTAAATGTTTGTAGGAGTGGTTAAACAATAATTTATGAAATATTTAAAATTTGTAAATTGCACACAAACACTCAGAGAGAGAGAGAGAGAGAGAGAGAGAGAGAGAGAGAGAGAGAGAGAGAGAGAGAGAATAAATTTATATAAAAATACAATATTATAAGTAAATGTACGGTACATTTAAAATGAATGTGACATTTAAATTAGAAAATTTAAATTTTGTTAATTATTAACAGTACAGTCATAACAGTATAGTATAAGAAAATTAAATATTGAAGTAGTCTTAATGATAGAGTAAAAGATGAATATTTAATGATATGTGATAATAGAAATATTGTAATACTGTAGATAACTACATAATATGTAATACATATTATCATTGTTGTAATTGATAGAAAATAGCTATAAGCAACTAATGGCAATTACATATATACTGCTTTTTAAAACTTGTAAAAATTTAAAATCATAATTTTAAATCAATTAAATGTTTATAAACTGGTTGTTAGTTGTTGTTGATGTTATAGTAGTTGTTGACTCATATATAAAATATTAGTATCATTTAAGTGTTGTTGAAAAGATGATACAATTTTTAACAGATTTGGAAACAAAAAATCTAAAATTTGAAATCAATTAAATGATTTATCATTTTATAATTTTAGCCTCATATCACATATTTTAAAATGCGATTGTAATCTAAAACTTATTTTACTTTTTGATATAACGATTTAATTTTTTATATTTCTATTTTAACTTTTTCAATAAGCTTTAATTAGTGATTAATATTATATGACATAAATGTTTTTTATAATTTATAATAGTAGCTCCAATTTTTTTAGATGATCTCAAAACACACTGTTATTATTGCTATTAACATCATTGCTATTATTATGATTATATTATTAAAATAATTAAACTTTTTATTTGCTGTTTGTCTTTTTAATATTTAATTATTATTATTATTATATCAAAAAAATAAATAATAATAATAATTGCTAAACGTTTATTATAGCGTTTAGTTATGCAAATTAGTTGTCATTCATTATAGCTTTTGAGGCTTTTTATGATATTTAGAAATTAATGAATTCTATGTATTCAATACACACTAAATGATGATTAACTTAAAAAAACTAAATACACTCTTAAAAAATATATTATATATTGTATATAATGTTTGATATAAACATATTTATTGACATACTTTTAATTAAATGCTTTTTTACCGGTATTTTCATTGATTAACGTGTGGGCAGACTTGCACTTGAATTAGTCGAGTATTTTATAACATTTCATTAGTTATTTAATCTTTATTTTCATAATTTATTTATATATTTTATTGATGTTCTTAATATTGTTATATTATATATAAATCGATAGTACATTTTCATCTATTTTTATTGTTGACCACTAATTAGTTTTTTATTTATTATTGTATTTAATAGTATAAAAGTTATTTGTATAATTAAGTTGAAATTGAGTTGTATAAAAGATATTTAATAGTTTATAAACTGTTTTTTTAATTAATAATTATCATTTTTTAATATTTAGAAATTATTTTTATTGTATTGAATTTAATGTATTTAAATATGAAGTCAATTATGATGACAAATACCATTTTAGTCATAGACCTAAGTGTCGGTTATTGTTTCCAATTTGCTTCAAATTTCACACACTATTAGACACAACTAGTAAAATCTCACGAAAGTATAGTCTGCGTGAGTCACGACACTAACGGGACTTATTTTAATATATATTATTCATAAAACAATTTAATACTACTTTAAAAGAATTGAAATAAATATATATAAATTCATTCTTAAAAATTACGTTTACTTTAAATTAATTTATTAATTATACAAAATGATTATCTATTTGACAATTATCTAAAATTGAGTCGATATATCAATAGATTATAAACTATACCGTATATGATATACATTGTATATTATACAACATCTATAAATTGGTTAATTTGTTAATAATAGCTCAGTTTGACGATTCCTATACTAATATTTTTAATACAATTACTAAGAAACAAATGCGCAAAGTTATAGCGCATAGTTAGCTAAGTAATCCTAAAGTATGTCTTTAAGCTGAACGGGTCTTATATTTATAATATTAAAGAGAAAAAATATTGTGAATATTGTAAACATTTATTATTAATCTTACAAAGAGTTGTTTTTAATATAAACTGTTTTAAAATTTTAGTATTATTAAAAAACTGACCACCTTTGAGACATAATTCAAAATAGTTAAGTGGATTATATTAAAGTGAGATAAATATCGCTTTATTCAAATTTCGATAACATTTTTTGCTATCATAAACAAAGATCGACCCATTTTTTTGTTTAATAATAACAAATTAAAAACTATTATGAATTGTGATTTATATCTAATTTCTACATAATTGTATATCATATAAAATATAATATTTGATGATAAATTAATAGATTTATAGTAATATAAAATTAGTGTATTTTATGTTTTTACATTATAACCACACTCTTATATATTTGTGAAAAATTAGAGATCAATATTTCATTAAATAATTAAATGCTGTATTTGTCAATATATAAAATATTTTATGCTTACTTTATAATGTATTTTCAAACCCTATACAAAGTTAATAAAAAGCTAATAAAGGAAATAAACTTTTTGAAATAGTATGAATTTAAAAATAAAATTACTCTCTTATCATAGTATCTGTTAGTTATTTGACAACACAAACTAAAATAGCCCCAAACTATATTTATTATTAATTATTTTAGATATAAAATATTGCTATTATTATACATACATTTGATTGGAATTTAATAATAATAATAGATATTGTTTAAAAAGTGAAAGTATTGATATAATGACATACAATAGCAATGAAATATAATATATATTACAGTATTATTAGAAATGCTTCAAATATTTTCTATTCAATTGGTATTCTTTACATCAATTAGTCTATTGATATGATATGTTAAAACCAAATGACATGCTATTAGTGTTGAGATAATGAGTACAAATTACTTAATAGACATCAATATTAATCAAAAAATGAAATATTTTAGGGTTTGTAAAGGTAATAGTTTTTTGATAAAAATATAGTAAAGTGTGTGTGTGTGTGTGTGTGTGTGTGTGTGTGTGTGAAATGAGTGAATTGTGTGCACATATTTGTAAGATTGGTAATATTAAGGTATATTATTATATTGTATGTACTGTATATACTGTAATACTTGTATTGCCTTTATTGTGGTGGTTGGCATTGCACTGGCAGTCAAGTAAAGGCAATGACAATCAGTGATGCATTCAATGACTTGTTATATCACTGAAAATAATGGATCAAATAGTAAAAACGTGTTGAAGTGCTACTAACTTTCATCTGAATTTCTCCAATTGTATTCAATATCGGACTCAAAATGCCAACAATTTCTCTTCAATACGGGTTAATCACATGTCTATCGCTTTTATAGGTTTTTCACTTTAGATATCAAAAGATACTTAATATACAACAACCGTCACTTGTCTAACAACTTAAGGGATCACAAAACTCTGCGATCAAATGTAATGTTAATATTTTAAATAAAAGTATTTTTTTAATATAAAAAAATCTTGTTGTGTAGTCCGGAGTCCGGAATCCGGATTATATTATAGTAAATGCGACAAAAACTATTTGATTAGACATTAATTAAAAGTAAATACATTACTTATATATCATATAAATTACTTTCTGTTTATATTTGTAAAATACAGTGACCTTTTATAAAGAATTTTTCATATTTTTGATCATAAATTGAATTGAATTATATATTATTTAATGAACAACTCATTACAACTAATTTTATAAGAAGTCTATTGAGTATTAGAATAATAAAAATTTGTGGATTAAATTGATATTTGATTTAGACATTCATAACATTGAGATAAAAGGTAAACATTTTATACGAAAACAAATATTTTAAATATTATTTAAATTCAGTAAACAGTATAAATATCGGTTTATAAATATATAATTAAAAATATTTACTAAATGTATTAATATTCACAAGTTTACCGTAATAATGGGGTCATCATATAAATAACTGCCTGTCCCAGTCTAGTGTTAGGCATCTATTAAAAGTCAATCATTAAGTGCTAACACTTATCTTGGAATTAATGAATATCTTATTTATATATAAAATATAAATTATATAATAATAGCATACATAGTGAACACCCAAACCAGCTCTACCTGGCCCTGTCATGCCTTATCTGTATCTCATTTACGGTACCGGTGTCTTACCGGTGCCTTAAAATACCAACAGATATTGAACCACTAATACAAGTAATGGTTAAGGCATCGGAGGGGCATTTCATCTTTTTTGACTTAAATTTAAGTGCATCTCTGTATTTAAGTTATATAATAAGTGATACCGTATTGTATTATACAATAGGATTTAAAAACCATTTTAAATAGAAGTTTCGTTGGCGTCTAAAATATATAATAAATATATTTATACATTGACTACACTGAGTGTACCGTACATTCAGATAGTCTTTACATAACAGTCTATAAGATATGTCTTATGTATTCATGACTGGTTTGACTCGTGAAAC